ATATATATGTATGTATACCTTGTACCATCTTTTTTTTTTTTTTTTTTTTTTTTTTTTTTTTTTTTTTGAGACGGAGTTTCGCTGTTGTTACCCAGACTGGAGTGCAATGGCATGATCTCAGCTCACCACAACCTCCGCCTCCCGGGTTCAAGCGATTCTCCTGCCTCAGCCTCCTGAGTAGCTGGGACTACAGGCATGCACCACCATGCCCAGCTAATTATTTTATTTTTGTTGACCAGGATGGTCTCTATCTCTTGACCTTGTGATCCACCCGCCTCAGCCTCCCAAAGTGCTGGGATAACAGGCGTGAGCCACTGCACTCGGCCCTTTTTTTTTTTTATTGTAGTTTTACTGGAGACAGGAATTCTCCATGTTGGTCAGGCTGGTCTCGAATTCCTGACCTCAGGTGATTCACTTTCCTCAGCCTCCCAAAGTGCTGGGATTACATGCATGAGGCACCATGCCCCACCAAATTCTTATAATTATATGTTGCCTTAGCATCTATTTTGGATATAAGTAGGACTTCCTCATATCAGAAGCAGAGTTCAGTCACCCTTGACACAGTTTCCAGTTCTACACCTCCTCCCGGTTCCTCAGTGTGGTTAATCCAGGTGTCTGCTGTATACAACTTCCTCCTGGTGCCCACCTCCCCAAGGCATAACTACATATAGCCTACTTTACCAGCCCTGCTGACCCTGACATCCTACATGGACTATGCAGATATGCCACAGTGACTACCTCAGTCACAGCATGACTTCCCAGAACAGGGTTGTCTAATCTTTTAGTTTCCCTGGTCCACACTGGAAGAAGAATTGTCTTAGGCAATACATAAAATACACTAACAACAGCTGAGAGCTAAAAAAAAAAAAAAAAATCACAAAACAAATCTTATAATATTTTAATAAAGTTTATGAATTTGTGTTGGGCCACATTCAAAGCCATTCTGGGCCACATGTGGCCCATGGGCCGCAGGTGGGACAAGCTTGTCCTCAAACGTGTGCTTGCTTGCTTTAAACCCACCAATTAAATTGTGGCAGTTCCTCTTGGGAAATCTATGTGGATAACACCCTGAACACAGTGAAGACATTGGCCCATGAGTCCCTCTTTCTCTTTCCCTGACTTCATTCCTTGACCTCCAGGTGTGCCAGATGCCCCCCAGGACCTGTAAGTAATAAAATTTTTACTTCAATCTATGTTTCTCCTAATCATTGAAGGAGCATGCTCTATCTTAAAATTCCTAAATTAAAACAGTGCCTTGATATATGTTGTAGTAGTCATTGTATTCTTCAGTTACTCAGTGTAAACAAAATCGGTTTCCCTTAAGAATATCCTTAATAAAGCCATATACAGTATTCATTTCACTAAATCCTGACCCTTAATTATACATCTTTTTAACACTCAATATGATGAAATGAGAAGTAGTCATAAAGTTCATTTAAAAAAATTTCTTACAGATGGGTGTCTCACTATGTTACTCAGACTGGGGTGCAGTGGCTATTTACAAGTTCATTCATAGGCCAGGCATGGTGGCTTACGCCTGTAATCCAAGCACTTTGGAGGCCAAGGCAGGCAGATCACCTGAGGTCGGGAATTCAAGACCAGCCTGACCAACATGGTGAAACCCCATCTTTAAAAAAAAAAAAGTTTAGTCATGAAGCACTTTAGCCTCAACTTACTGAGCAGATGGGACCACAGGCACATGCCACCATGCCCAGCTAATGTGTATCTAAGTATGATGATCATCTAAAAGAAAACCACTTGTTAATTGAGTTGTTAGCTTTTTTCATGGAACATAATTTTTACTTGAAAGAATGACTCACAAAGTACAGTTGCTCAGATTTAGGTATCTGGCAAACATTTTCTCAAAAACAAATGAAATGAATTTATCACTTTAAGAAAAACAGGTTGGTCATGGTGGCTCACACCAATAATCCCAGCACTTTGGGAGGCCAAGGTGGGAGGATCACCTGAGGTCAGGAGTTTGAGACCAGCCTGGCTAACACAGTGAAACTCTGTTTCTACTAAAAATACAGAAAATTAGCCAAGCATGATGGTGTGTGCCTGTAGTTCCAGCTACTCAGGAGGCTGAAGCAGGAGAATTGTTTGAACCTGGGAGGTGGAGGTTGTGGTGAGCCAAGACCAAACCATTGCACCCCAGCCTGGGTGAAAAGAGAAAAACTCTTTCTCAAAAAAAAAAAAAAAAGAGAGAGAGAGAGAAAAACAATTGACTATACTTGTTGCCAATTATTAAAATACTTCTCCTTTTCCTAAATACATAACTGAGGCCAGCTTTTCTTTTTTTTTTCCGAGACGGAGTTTCACTCTTGTTACCCAGGCTGGAGTGCAATGGTGCGATCTCAGCTCATCACAACCTCCGCCTCCTGGGTTCAAGCAATTCTACTGCCTCAGCCTCCCCAACAGCTGGGACTACAGGTGCGCGCCACCACACCCAGCTAATTATATATTTTTTAGTAGAGACGAGGTTTCATCATGTTCGTTAGGCTGGTCTCAAACTCCCAACCTCAGGTGATCCACCCATCTTGGCATCCCAAAGTGCTGGGATTATACCCGTGAGCCACTGTGCCCCACCTCTTCATCATATATTATACTTCAACTAAATAACTCACAACATGTTGTCATGTTAGAAAAAGCAGCAAACATAAACAACCAAGTTTGCTCAATCTGCTTACCAGAAGAATTTGATAAAATTCCTTGCCAGGAGAATTTCACAAAACCCAACTCAGTGACTGAGTATAGCTCTCTAGAAGAATGCCTTGGAAACAATAAGCAGACTAGAAAACATGTTCCCACATTTCTTGCTTGAATCAATGCATTTTTTAAAAAGGTAAGTTCAAGGTTCCTAGCCCTTGTCTCTTCCAGTATATAACATAGTGTCCCACAGGATTCATGATTATGCCTCTGTAATCTATATCTAGATGTACTCTTAAATTCAAACTTTGATGAGATTTTGCTTTAATGTAATGTATTTTTTGTAAGAGACAGAGTTTCACTTTATCACCCAGGCTAGTATGCAGTGGCATAGTCATTGCTTACAGCAACCTGGAACTCCTGGGCTTAAGTGATCCTCCTGCCTCAGCCTCCCAAGTAGCTGAGACTACAGGTGCACACCACCACACCTGGCAAATTTTTTAAAAAAAAAATTTTTTTAGAGATGGGGGGTCTCACTAAGTTGCCCAGATTGGTCTTGAACTCCTGGCCTCAAGAGATCCTCATGCATAGGCCTCCCAAAGTGCTAGAATTACAGCTGTGAGCCACTATACTCAGTTTATGAGCATGTTTAATGTAATTTCTGAGCACATGCAGCACTTTCAACACTTGATATGTAAGCTGTGGGCTAAAACACTACTTCAAAGCAGTATAACAGAAACTCTGAAAGGCTGCAATCCTAACTCTAAATTAAACTGACTTTAATTCTTTAAAAGCTGGGTATTTTTCTTTAGTTGACAGTAGATATGAGAATTCAGCTATCCCTTACTGAGCCAGACATTAAAGAGATTTGCAAAAATATGAAATAATCACATTCTTCCCAATTTTAGTTTTAGAAACTAAAGTGATTTCTTATTTTAAAAGTTATATCAACATGTATTAAGCTTGTTATGCTTTTAAATATATACTTAAACATTTTACTTTTCATTTTATGAGTTATTCACAAATATTAATAGATGTAACCAATATGAAACAAAAACTCTCTGGAATCCAGAATAATTTTTAAGGGTATCAAGGGGGTCCCAAGACCAAAACATTTCATAATTATCTGTTCTAGGGAAAAGGTCAGCAAACTTTTCCTGTAAAGTACCAGAGCCCATATTTTAGGCTTTGCAGTCTTATGCAGAAACTACTCGGTTCCACAGTTGTGGTGGGAAAGCAGCCATGGTCAATACGCAAATGAATTAAAGTAGTTAGATTACACTTTGAAGACCTTCGTTGCTATGCAGGAATATCACACCAACATTGTTAAATCTTCCAATTTGTGAAGTTGAAAACTCTCAATTGTGTATTTTGTCTCAAATTAAAAACAAAATCTGTGCCAGATCATCAGTTTCAATCTGTGATCTACCAAATAAACTGACAGCTAGTATATAAAACTGCCTATTTATATACCAATAATAAATCTAGTTTCTCTTGTTATATTGGCTATGTTAAATTTTAAGTGTAGATTGGTAACAATATAGAATTTCTAATTTTCAGAAATGTAGTCAAGTCTTTTGAGGGAGTAAAAATGTAATTCAAATGGCAAAAAACCAATTTAGAGTAATTCAGTTATTGCTTTGTTAAATTCTGAAGAACATAACTGGAAGCTTACTTAGGTGAGATTTTAAATAAGGATTGTTTTCTAAAAAGTGCTTTGATTTACCCATTCAGATTGCTTTCTGTAGTAAATGAAGCCTCTTTTGCCTCTCTGCCCCTTTTTTCTCCCATCCTTCTGCTACAGTTTTTACCTATCCAAATAGAAAAAATTAGAGTGAAGCCCTTTGTTCTGTTTGTCTCTGCTTCAAGCACCTTAAGGACAGGAAACACTGAGTTAATTTAATAGTCCCAGCAACAGGCACAAGGCAAGTATTCAGTTTCTTAGGATTGTATGATCTCTTGGGTTCCTATTTCATACGAGTTCTTGTAGTAGAACCGGGAATGAAAAGATGAATTAGAACTATCTGCTATCTCTGCCACGAAAAAAAGCACGGCAGCGGTCCACCTACCCTCAGCTCCTCCTTAAACACGTATTTCAAACTAAGGGACCACAAAGTCAAAAGACGGCGACATGCAAATGGAAAAGCCTGATAAATTCCAATTTACAACTAAGTCCGTGAAGAATATAGTGAGATATTGGTTCATGTCCCTCTCCGTGACAGGGAGGTACCAATTCTTAACTATTCTCACAAGACCAGTTACTTGGAGTGCCAATGTGACTGATGCGCGCACTCAGCCGCAGTTACGGGATTCAGACGCTGGACGTTCCAAGACCTACGTCGAGCACGCGCTTAAACGACCGGAACCAAAGCAGCCTCCTCAGCCAGACACATGACCTAGCTCCCACCTACCGTGTCCCTCCTCCCTCCTTCCTCCCCACCCCACCCAACCACAACCCGCCAATATCCTTCCCAGTTCCCTCCCCTTTACCCTTCCCTCTTTCCCTTCTTCCCTTCCCTAGATGACCGACCCTAATTTTCCATTTCCACACCCCAAACCCCTCGACGCCCTCGAAAGAATCAGCAGCCTACTCGCTCCACCCACAAACCTCTAGCCCCCTCCCAACAGCTTCCTCTTCCCAGGCCCAGACGACGTCTTCCACTTCCCCACCGGATGAACCGGAAGTGCGTCATGTCGAGGCGCAGAGGCGCTCTTTTGGCGCGCGCACCGTAGGCGGCGGGTCTAAACTAACTTCTTGGATTTTTTTTTTTTCTTGTTTCTTCTTGGTTTTTGACTTTGTCTGTACCCTGGTGTCTACAATTTCCGAGATGCCGTCTTCTTTGTTGGGCGCGGCGATGCCGGCCTCTACGTCGGCTGCTGCCCTACAGGAAGCTCTTGAAAATGCAGGACGTCTAATCGACCGTCAGTTGCAAGAGGACCGCATGTACCCAGACCTTTCTGAGCTGCTTATGGTGTCTGCCCCAAGTGAGTGATGGTGATCCTCCTTTCTCAGCCGAAAGGACTCTTGTCTGACTGCCTAATTTGCTCCTTATCCCCAGGGTTGGTCCCGACGAGGATATCCTGAGATTTATGGCACTACTGGCTGCATTTTTTGGAGAAAATAAGCAAGCATCTCATTTTCAGGTCTTTTCCTGTCCTCACTTTCCTCATTGTAGATACTTGAGAGGGCAAGAGTTAAGAGCAAGCTCCCAGTTGAAGCAGAAAGAGGCAAAGACCCAAACCTTAATGAGTTTCTCGCCGCTCTCAAGTGTTTATGGCTAAGGCCGTAAGAGAAGCATCTCCTGATCCAAGTCTCAAATTAGTTCATTTCTCCTATTCGTTTTGAGTAAATCGTAGGAGCAAACGACGTTAATTTGGGAATTTAGCATGTTATCTTAAAGATATGCTTTATTATTTATTTATGAGATGGAGCTTTGCTCTTGTCGCCCAGGCTGGAGTGCAATGGCGCGATCTCAGCTCATTGCAACCTCCGCCTCCCGGGTTCAGGGGATTCTCCTGCGTCAGCCTCCCGAATAGTCGGTATTACAGGTGCCCGCCGCCACCACGCCCGGCTGATTTTTGTGTTTTTTATTTTTATTTTCGTCTTTACTTTTTTTGTTGCTTTTCTGTTTGTTTTTAATTTTTGTGTTTTTTAGTAGAGACGGGGTTTCACCATCTTGGCCACGCTGGTCACGAACTCCTGACCTCAAGTGATCCGCCCACCTCGGCCTTCCAGAATGCTGGAATTACAGGCATGAGCCACCGCACCCATCCAAGATAATTATGTCTAGAGTTGTGTATTATGAAATGCTGGAGATCTTAAAAGAACTACCAGTAGAATAAAGGAGGAGAACAGGGAAATCAGCAGTGCTTATGTACAGGGAGGAAAAGGCAGAGTATGTGTTGACAAAAGAGGTGACTGGAAAGTAATTTGTTTAATGGTTTTAAATTACAACCAGCTCCCCACAGCTTATAGAATTACATCAGTTGCTCCAGGCGCGGTGGGTTACACCTGTAATCCCAGCACTTTGGGAGGTCGAGGTGGGTGGATCACAAGGTCAGGAGTTCAGGACCAGTCTGAACAACATGGAGAAACCCCCATCTCTACTAAAAATATAAAAAAAATTAGCTAGGCATGGTGATGCGCGCCTGTAATCCCAGCTACTCAGGAGGCTGAGGCAGGAGAACCACTTGAACCCGGGAGGCGGAGGTTGCAGTGAGCCGAGATCATGCACTCCAGTCTGGGCAAAAGAGCAAGACTCCGTCTCAAAAAAAAAAAAAGAATTACACTTAGGTAAGTTGCTAGAAAAAGTTACCCCTTTGTGAGATGGAATTTGGAGAAAAGCAGAGAAGTGTAAGACAAAAGAGATTGTTGGTGAGCAAGAACCATAGTAATCTAAACAGGGTAATTTGTGTGCAGTGTAAACCAAGAACACTTATGATTATTTATAAAAAATTGTTGATAGATTTGTAATTAAAGAAATGGTAGAAACAGCCGGTCACCGTGGCTCATGCCTATACTCTCAGCACTTTGGGAGGCTGAGACAGAAGGACCACCTGAGGTCGGGAGTTTGAGACCAGCCTGACCAACATGGAGAACGCCCGTCTACTAAAAATACAAAATAAGCTGGGTGTGAAGGCCTGTGCCTGTAATCTCAGCGACTCGGAGGCTGAGGAGAATTGCTTGAATCAGGAGGCGGAGGTTGTGATGAGCAAGATCACCACCATTACACTCCAGCTTGGGAAACGAGTGAAACTCCATCTCAAAAAAAAAAAAGGCCGGGCGCGGTGGCTCAAGCCTATAATCCCAGCACTTTGGGAGGCCGAGGCGGGTGGATCACGAGGTCAAGAGATCGAGACCATCCTGGTCAACAAGGTGAAACCCCTTCTCTACTAAAAATACAAAAATTAGCTGGGCATGGTGGTGCGCGCCTGTAGTCCCAGCTGCTTGGGAGGCTGAGGCAGGAGAATTGCTTGAACCCAGAAGGCGGAGGTTGCGGTGAGCCGAGATAGTGCCATTGCACTCCAGTCTGGGTAACAACAGCGAAACTCCGTCTCAAAAAAAAAAAAAAAATTATAGAAACAAAGATAGTATTTGCTCCTTTAAGCTTCTTACCAATGAACACATCTTACAAGAGCTGATTGGCCTATTAGGAACTATCATCTTGAACAACATTACTCACTTTAGCCGCCTTGGGTGTGAAAACAAGATACAAAAAGTGCGTACTCTCTGGTCATCCTCTATTTTTTTTTTTTTTTGAGACGGAGTTTCACTGTTGTTACCCAGACTGGAGTGCAATGGCGCGATCTCGGCTCACCGCAACCTCCACCTTCTGGGTTCAAGCAAGAAGCCTCCTGCCTCAAGCCTCCCGAGTAGCTGGGACTACAGGCACGCACCACCATGCCCAGCTAATTTTTGTGTTTTTAGTAGAGACGCGGTTTCACCTTGTTGACCAGGGTGGTCTCCATCTCTTGACCTCGTGATCCATCCGCCTCGGCCCCCCCAAAGTGCTGGGATTACAGGCATGAGCCACCGCGCCGGTCTCTGGCTCTTACATATCTTATGCCTTTACACACCCTCTTTCACCCAGTCTCTTCCTCTCTTTTCCATCAGATTCTTGCTCTGATTACAGGTGAATTTAGCATGTTTTCTGAAAGAAGCCCCATCTTCAGGATTTCCTCAGGATTTTATTTTACTTTTATTGTTTCTGCAATGTTAATTCTTTGCCTGACAAGCTTCTTCCAGACTCCCTGTAAAGTCTGTAGTTTCTCTTTGTTGTCTTTTTTTTTTTTTTTTTTTTGAGACAGAGTCTTGCTCTGTCACCAGACTGGAGTGCAGTGGTGCGATCTCAGCTTACTGCAACCTCTGCCTCCTGGCTTCAAGCCATTCTCCTGCCTCAGCCTCCCTAGTAGCTGGGATTACAGATGCATACCACCATGCCCAGCTATTTTTTTTTTTTTTTTTTTTTGAGACGGAGTCTTGCTATATTGACAGGCTGGAGTGCAGTGGTGCGATCTCGGCTTACTGCAGTTTCTGCCTCCCAGGTTCAAGTAGTTCTCCTGCCTCAGCCTCCCGTGTAGCTGAGACTACAGATGTGTGCCACCACGCCCAGCCTGTAAAAAATACTAAAATTTTTGTTTTTTTAATAGAGACGGGGTTTCACCATGCTGGCCAGGATGGTCTCGATCTCTTGACCTTGTGATCCACCTGCCTTGGCCTCCCGAAGTGCTGGGATTACAAGCATGAGCCACCACGCCCAGCCTATTGTCTTTCTTTTTCTTGTTGGTTATTTATTTATTTTGAGTCAGGATCTAGTTCTGTCACCAGGCTGGAGTGTAGTGGCATGATCACAGCTCATTGCAGCCTCTTAACTCATGAGCTCAAGTGATCCTCTTGCCTTGGCCTTCCCGGTAGCTGGGACTGCAGGCGCCTGCCACCACACCCAGCTGATTTTTAATTTTTATGTGAAACGTAATCTCACTCTGTTCACAGAACTGGTCTCATTCCTGGCATAAAGCAGTCCTCCTGCTTCAGCCTTCCAAAGTGCTGAGAATACAGATGAGTCACACTCCCATCCTTACTAAAGTTGTTAATTCCTCCCTTTGGGTTCCCATTGTCATTTAATGTGGTGATCTGCCCCCTTTAGCCTATTAAAGTTGTGTTTTAGGATTAAATGGGATTTAATCCTGGACTTGCTTTATTTATTTAATTTTTTGAGACAGAGTCTCACTGTCGCCCAGCGTTGAGTGCAGTGGCATGATCTTGGCTCACTACAACCTTCACTTCCCAGGTTCAAGCGATTCTCCTGCCTCAGCCTCCCAAGTAGCTGGGATTACAGGCATGTGCCACCAAGCCAGGCTAATTTTTCTGTTTTTAGTAGAGACTGGGTTTCACCAGGCTAATCTTGACCTCTTGACCTCATGTGATCCACCCACCTTAGCCTCCTTCGAGCCACTGTACCCAGCCTGGATTTGCTTTAAAATGAATTCAGCCCAGTAATCCCAACACTTTGGGAGGCCTGAGCAGATGAAGTGAGCAGATCAGTTGAGCTCAGGAGTTTGAGACCAGTGTGGGCAATATGGTAAAACCCGACCTCTTAAGAAAAAAATACAAAAATTAGCTGGGCATGGTGGTACACACTTGTACCCCCAGCTAATTGGTAGGCTGATGTGGAAGGATCACTTGAGACCAGGAGGTTGAGCCTCCTGTGAGCTGTGATTGCGCCACTGCTCTCCAGGCTGGGCAGCAGAGTGAGACTCTGCATCAAAACAAAACAATGCTGTTTGGCTGGTTGCAGTGGTTTACAACTATAATCCCAGCAATTTGGGAGGCAGAGGTGGGTGGATCCCTTGAGGTCAGGAGTTTGAGACCAGCCTGGCCAACATGGTGAAATCCTGTCTCTAATAAAAATACAAAAATTAGCCAGGTGTGGTGGCACGCTTATGGAGTCCCAGCTTCTTGGGAGGCTGAGGCAGTAGAGTTGCTTGAACCTGGGAGGTGGAGGTTGCAGTGAACCAAGATCACACCACTGCACTCAGGCCTGGGCAACAGAGCAAGACTCTGTCTCAAAAACCTCCCCCCCCAAAAAAAAGAAAAAATTGATTAAGCATGGTGTCGTGTGCCTCTAGTCCCAGCTACTCACGTGCTAGAGTACAGGAGGCTGAGGTTGCTGTGAGCTGTGATTGCACAACTGCATTCCAACATAGGTGACAGAGTGAAACCCTGTCTCAACGAAGATAAAAAAGAATTCACTGGGAAAAGAGGGAACAGTTATAAAAATGAAACATGATTGGGGATATTACTGGTTATTGTTTAAGTTGGATAATCGGTACATAAGTATTGATTGTATTTTTCTCGTATATGTTTTTTAAATTTCCATAATATACTTGAAGATTGTTTTGTGTGTCAGTTTTCCTTGACATCTTTATACTTACCTGAAAAAGTTATTGAGGTAATTAGGTCATCAGTCAGGTTTTTCCCCCCAGTAAGATACTGCTTGTGGGATATTATTTGTATTTCTGTTATTGGAGTGGAGGAGATATCTAAAGGGAAAAGACATGGGTTGTTTTAATCTATAAATGTTTATCTGGGAAAGCCAGTATTTTCCCCAGTCAATATTTTGTTATGCATAGTTGTTTTACCTTTGAGTCCCAAAGCAGTTTTATATTTTCCCATTTCAGATTAGCAAAATGATAGGAAAACACTAAATTATTATTTTTAAATTTTTTTATTTTTAGTTTTTGTGGGTACATAGTAGATATGTATATATTTGTGTGTGTGTGTGTGTGTGTACATTTTTTTTTTCCTGAGACAGAGTCTTGTTCTGTCACCCAGGCTGGAGTACAGTGGTGATATCTCAGCTCACTGCAGACTCCGCCTCCTGAGTTCAAGCAATTCTCCTGCCTCAGCCTCCCCAGTAGCTGGGATTTCAGGTGCCCGCCACCACGCCTGGCTAATTTTTTTGTAATTTTAGTGGAGACAGGGTTTCACCATATTGGCCAGGCTGGTCTTGAACTCCTGACTTCGTGATACACCTGGCTTGGCCTCCCAAAGTGCTGAAATTACAGGCATTAGTCACTGCACCCAGCAGTGTATATATTTATGGGATGCATGAGTTGTTTTGACACAGGCATGCAATGTGAAATAATCACATCATGGAAAATGTAGTATCCATCCTCTAAAGCATTTATCCTTTGTGCTACAAACAATACAATTACATACATGCTTTTGTTTCTATTTATTTATTTATTTTGAGGCGGAGTCTTGCCCTGTTGCCCAGGCTGGAGTGCAGTGGCCTGATCTCAGCTCATTGAAACCTCTGCCTCCTGGGTTCAATCGATTCTCCTGCTCAGCTTCCTGAGTAGCTGGGATTATAGGCATCCACCATTAAGCCTGACTTTTTTTTTTTTTTTTTGAGGTGGAGTTTTGCTCTTGTTGCCTAGGCTAGAGTGCAATGGTGCAGTCAGCCTCACTGCAATCTCCACCTCCTGAGTTCAAATGATTCCCCTGCCTCAGCCTACTGAGTAGCTGGGATTACAGGCATGTACCACCATGCTCAGCTAATTTTATAGTTTTAGTAGAGATGAGGTTTCTCCATGTTGGTCAGGCTGGTCTCGAACTCCCACCATCAGTGATCCTCCCCGCTTGGCCTTCCAAAGTGATTGTTGGGATTACAGGCGTGAGCCACCACCCAGCCACTGTTACTTTCAAATAACATTACATTATCAAATTTAAACCTTTCCTTTATTATATAACAAGTTTTTGTGAGAGACGACCTTCCCTTCAGGTCTGAAACCAGTAATTATCCCTGCCTTAACAATGGAATATTTCAGGCCTTCTTTGTGTGGGGTCAAAACTAGTATATCCTCTGTACCTTTGGAACCAGCACACGTAATTTTTTTGTGTGCTGGTTCCAAAGGTACAGAGAGGCACTCAGTCCTTTTATAGGCCCAGTTGATGAATAGTACATTATTATAAATACTTCATTTTCTTTTTTATAGATAATCCCACTGTTTCTGGTATGTCAGATATGGATTATCCTTTACAAGGACCTGGTTTGCTGTCAGTACCCAACCTTCCAGAGATCAGTTCCATCCGAAGAGTTCCTCTCCCACCTGAACTTGTTGAGCAGTTTGGACGTATCCTATTACTTTGTATTTAACTATTTAAAAAAATGTTAACATAGATATTTTCATTGTTATGTGCTTAATTAGTGTGTTATATGTATGTTCATTTAGGGGTTTTATTTAAAATATGTTAAAGTATATGGGTTCTGTGTTTAGTGTGTTATATAAGGGTTTTATTTAAAATATGTTAAAGTATATTCTTGTTCTGTGTTTAATTGGTGTGTTATATATGTTCATTTAAGGGTTTTATTTAAAATATGTTGAAGTATATGGGTTCTTTGTTGTATTAAAGAGTGGACAAGTGATTTTTTACATAAATGTTAAGTCAAAAGCTATTGAAAGTTAAGCTTAAGAAAAGCTTAAGAAAAATAAGATTCAACTCTGTCTGCCTTACATCTATACTACCTCAGATATGCAGTGTAACTGCATGATGGGTGTGTTCCCGCCTATCAGCAGAGCTTGGCTCACAATTGACAGTGATATATTCATGTGGAACTATGAAGATGGGTATGTATTTAAGGCTGGTTTGCTTTAAGTGTGATTAGAATTTACATAAACTTTACTGTAGCTAGTGTTCTCATTAGAAGCTGCTTGGTTTATCTTTCATTCATCTAGCCTTTGGGTCAATGCTTTTTAGTATGCATATCAATCATCTGGGGATGTTCAAATGTGGATTCTGTTTTGGTAGTCCTCAGTGAGACCCAAGGGTCTGCATTTGTAACAAGCTGCCAGCTGCTGCTGCTGGTATATATGCCATTCCTGAGTAGCACGAGTCCAGGCCCCAAGCTCTTAGCCTGTAGTAAAAATAATATGTTGGCAATTCATTGAGAGATGATTGGACGTTTTTAAAGACTTCTGTTTTCCTTGCCTTTTTGTTTTTTTTTTTTGAGCTGGAGAGTCTTGCTCTGTAGCCAGGCTGGAGTACAATGGTGCAATCTCAGCTCATTGCAACCTCTGTCTCCTGGGTTCAAGTGCTTCTTCTGCCTCACTCTCCCCAGTAGCTGAGATTACAGGAATGTGCCACCACACCTGGCTGATTTTTGTATTTTTAGTAGAGATGGGGTTTCACCATATTGGCCAGGCTGGTCTCAAATTCCTGACCTCATGAACCACTTGCTTTGGCCTCCCAAAGTGTTGGGTTTATGGGGATGAGCCACCACACGCAGCCCTTTCCTTGCATTTCTATGGAGTAGGCATCTGATATTTATTAATTTTGTTGTCATTTCGTGACTTTGACCCGTGTGTAAATTGTTATGTATAGAAATGATTCTGAGTGAAAGCCTAAGGTACTTTTGCTTAAATAGAGCATATTGGTCTGGTGATCTCCCTCTTAACTTTTTAGAGACAAGATTTTGTTTTACTTCCAGCTGTCCATTATATTATCCATAGATGAGGTAATGGGATAACCATAGGAAGGCCCATATAATTAAGATGTTACTCTTGCTCCTACGTAATTAAAGATCTTTTTAGGTGCACACATGCATTTAAAAAACACTGTATCAGCCGGGTGTGTTGGCTCATGCCTGTAATCTCAGCACTTTGGGAGACTGAGGAGAGCAGATCACCTGAAGATACGAGTGTGAGACCAGCCTGGCCAAGAAAACCCCGTCTCTACTAAAAATACGGAAATTAGCTAGGTGTGGTGGTGCATGCTTACAGTCCCAGCCACTCTGGAGGCTGAGGCAGGAGAATTACTTGAACCTGGGCAGTAGAGGTTGCAGTGAGCCAAGATCACACCACTGCACTCCAGCCTGGGCGATAGAGCAAGACTCCGTCTCAAAAATAAAAAAAATCGTTGAAAGAAAATTGAAGCTAAATGACAGCTTAATATCAATGGCTTAAATGAAACATTGTTTTTCTACTAGAAGTTTTCATGGCAGTTTTTCTTGTTGAAATGTAATAGTTATAATAGCAGTGATGTATGGATGTGATTATTTTTTTGTATTTTATTTTTTTAGAAGCAGGATTTCGCCATGTTGGCCAGGCTGGTCTTGAACTCCTGATCTCAGGTGATCCACCCGCCTCGGCCTCCCAAAGTGCTGGGATTACAGGCGTGAGCCACCGTGCTGGACCTGGTTGTGATTATTTTTCATGTACCCTGAATGTTCTTCACTTTGTTATGTTATCATAACATATTCATTTTTATGCTAAATAATAGAAACTTTTTGTTTAAGAATGTATCTTTCCAAGAGAAGTCAATTCAAAAAAATCACAGAACAGATAAATATGAGAATAGTTATTTTCTTTTTTTTTTTTTTTTATTTGAGACGGAGTTTTGCTCTTGTTACCCAGGCTGGAGTGCAAGGGCGTGATCTTGGCTCACCACAACTTCTGCCTCCTGGGTTCAAGCAATTCTCCTGCCTCAGCCTCCCAAGTACCTGGGACTACAGGTGCACACCACCATGCCCAGCTAATTTTTGTATTTTTAGTAGAGACAGTGTTTCATCTTGTTGACCAGGATGGTCTTGATCTCTTGACCTCGTGATCCACCCGCCTCGGCTTCCCAAAGTGCTGGGATTATAGGCGTGAGCCACCGCACCCGGCGAATAATTATTTTCTATAAAACATGTTTTTGGTCAGGTGCGGTGGCTCTTGCCTGTAATCTCAGCACTTTGAGAGGCCAAAGTGGGCGGATCATGAGGTCAGGAGTTCAAGACCAGACTGGCCAACATGGTGAAACCCTGTCTCTACTAAAAAAATCAGCCAATTACGGGCACCCACCATCACGCCTGGTTGATTTTTGTAGTTTTAGTAGGTATGGGGTTTCACTCATTTACGAGGGCATACCCTGATGACCTAATAACCTTTCAAAGGCCCCACCTACAAATACTATCACATTAGGAGTTAGGATTTAACATGAATTTTAGGAGGACACACATATTTGATCCATAGTAGTGTGTGTTCATTTAAAGAAAAATTATTTGAAGATTGTACTTATTAAAAAAATAAAAGCACAAGTTGTAAGTCTACAAATTCAATATTGTAGAATATATACATAGTTTAAATATTCAGTTGGCTTTCTATTAGAAATTCTAATTTCATCTGGATGATTAAAATGTAATCTTGGGTCATTTTATTGTGCTCTAACCCCTAACTTTCTCAGCATTTGGATCATGGTTTCAAGAGACTGTGCCAATTATCAAAGGGCTCTGTGGACTGCCATGATGTAGGAGGATGGGGAATCCTAGTCCACATAAGATGCTATTTAGCTGTTTTGTCCTGTGTGGATGGCCCTTTCAGGATAATTGGAAGCTTTCTTGAAAGTCTGGATCTTATTTTTTTCTTGGTATTTATTCTGCTTCATGTTCTCTGAGCTTCTTAGAACTTTTAGTTTGATGTCTTCCTTTATTTTTCAAATTTTTTTCAGCTGTTACATTTATTTTTTCTCTCTTTTTTGTTTTCTGTTCAGCCATTTTCTTGTTTTGGTTTTTGTTTTCCCCTCCAAGATGGAGTTTTGCTCTGTTGCCAGGCTAGAATGCAATGGACGAAGTTGGTTCACTGCAACCTCCCCCTCCTGGGTTCAAGCACTCCTTCTGCCTCAGCCTCTAGAGAGGCTGGGACTACAGGCACACACCACCATGCCTCGCTAATTCTTGTATTTTTATTAGAGATGGGGTTTCATCATGTTGACCAGGCTGGTCTTGAACTCCTGGCCTCAAGTGATTTGCCCTCCTTGGCCTCCCAAAGTGCTGGAATTACTGGCATGAGCCACTGTGCCAGGCCCAGCCTTTATCTTTCAATTCTCTGATACATTTTCTTTGTTCTGAGATTTCAGATAATATCTGTAGTCTTTTTACCTTTTGGATGCTCCATTCTTTTTTTGTTTTTCTGCTTTCTCTCTCTCACTGTCTTCCTTTCTTTTCTTTCTTTTTTTTTGAGATGAAGTCTCAGTCTATCACCCTGGAGTGCAATGGCACGATCTCAGCTCACTACAACCTGTGCCTCCTGGGTTCAAGCAATTTTCCTGCCTCAGCCTCCTAAGTAGGTGAGATTACAGGCATGTGCCACAACACCTGGCTAATTTTTGTATTTTTTTTTTTGTTTGAGATGGAGTTTCGCTGCTGTTACCCAGGCCAGAGTGCAATGGCACGATCTCAGCTCACTGCAACCTCCGCCTCCTGGGTTCAAGCAATTCTCCTGCCTCAGCCTCCTGAGTAGCTAAGACTACAGGCGCGCACCACCATGCCCAGCTAATTTTTGTATTTTTAGTGGAGATGGGGTTTTACCTTGTTGACCAGGATGGTCTCGGTCTCTTGACCTCGTGATTCACCCACTTTGGCCTCCCAAAGTGCTAGGATTATAGGCGTGAGCCACCACGCCCGGCCTAATTTTTGTATTTTTAGTAGAAACAGGGTTTCACTGTGTTGGCCAGGCTGGTCTCAAACTCCTGACCTCATGATCCATCTCCCTTAGCTTCCCAAAGTGCTGGGATTACAGACGTGAGCCATCCCACACTCAGCCTCACTGGCTTCTTATAATTTTTATCTCTCTGTCGAAATGCTTGACCTGTTTTTCTGTTTGTTTGTTTTTTTTTTTGTCTTTTTTGTTTCTCTCTTTTTTTTTGAAATAGAGTCTCACTTTGTTGCACAGGCTCAAGTGCAGTGGTGTCATCTCAGCTCACTGCAACCTCCACTTCCCAGGTCCCAGGTTCAAGTGATTATTATGCCTCAGCCTCCTAAGTAGTTGGGATTACAGGCCTGTGCCATCATGCCTGGCTAATTTTCCCTATTTTTAGTAGAGACAGGTTATCACTGTGTTGGCCAGGCTGGTCTTGAACTCCTGGCCTTAGATGATCTACCCATCTTGACCTCCAAACTTTACTTATTCCAGCATGTCATCAGTTAGATAATTTTTCCTATATAAAACTTATATACATAGTTCATAGTTACTTTAAATTTCTTGTCTGATAGTTTGGATTCATAGCTGAGTCTGGTTCTATTGATTACTTTGTTTCTTGACAGTGGGGTTTTTTTCCTTGCAATTTTGTGTCTCAATTTCTTATTGAAAGCCAGAAATCATGTGTAAGACAGTAGATACTGTAGGTAAGTAGCAAGTAGCATTTATTCTTAGAAATGGGCCTGTCTCGCCATGCACCGTGGCTCACGCCTATAATCCCAGCACTTTGCGAGGCCGAGGTGGGTAGATAACGAAGTCAGGAGTTCAAGATCAGTCTGGCCAAGATATTGAAACCCTGTCTCTACTAAAAGTACAAAAATTAGCTGGGTGCAGTGGCATGCACCTACTACTAAGGAGGCTGTGGCAAGAGCTACTGAGGAGGCTGAGGCAAGAGAATAATCCCAGCTACTGAGGAGGCTGAGGCAAGAGAATTGCTTGAACCTGGGAGGTGGAGGTTGCAGTGAGCTGAGATTGCGCCATTGCACTCCAGCCTGGGTGACAGAGTGAGACTCCATCTCAAAAAAAAAAAAAAGAAATGGGCATGTCTCTTCCTTTGCTAAGGTATAGCAGATCTATTCCCCCTCCCCACAACAGAGTCTTACTCTCCCGAGCAGGCCAGAGTGCAATGGTGTGATCTCCGCTTACTGTAACCTCCACCTCCCAGGTTGAAACGATTCTTCTGCTTCAGCCTCCGGAGTAGCTGGGACTACAGGCTCCCGCCACCACGCATGAATAATTTTTTATTTTTCATAGAGATGGGGTTTCACCATGTTGGCTAGGCTGGTCTGGAACTTCTGATTTCAGGTGATCCGCCTGCCTCTGCCTCCTGAAGTGCTGGGATTACAGCCATGAGCCACTGTGCTGGCCAGTGGATCTTTATTATACAAGAAGTTTCCTTTTTCCAGGTCAGGACTTGAGCTGAATTTGGGTTTTGTTGTTGCTGTAGTTACCCTCAGAGCACTGCAGATTTCAAATTCCTTTAGAATTATCTTGTACTTAGGGTACAAGTTAGTTTGCTGGAGATTTTTTCTCAGTGTTCCTCTTACATCCTCAATCTTAGACTTTTCCTGTGATTCCATCCTTCTAAGATGGTTCTCTTCATACCTTTGCCCCTGCCTCAGCAGTAAATTGATAAATACTTGATGTTTGCAGCCCAGGTGGGGAGCAGCATTTTATATTTTTTCTATTTCCCTACTTTTCTAGTTCATGCTTAGCCATAAGCAGGTCTGGGTCTCTGGGTCTTAGAACTGAAACAGTTTTGCTTGCTTGTTTTTTCATTATATATTACATATACATATAAATTTTTCATAGAGACCAAGTCTCATTGTGTTGCCCAGGATCTTGAACTCCTGGGCTCCTGCCTCAGCCTCCCAAAGTGCTGAGATTACAGGCATGAGTTACCTCTCCCAGTCTTTTTATTATATTCTGTGTCTAAATTCATTTAACTAATAAAGAGCATTCAGGAATTCAAGACCAACCTGGGCAATGTGACCAAACCTTCTCTCTCTCTTTTTTTTTTTTTTTTTTTTTTTGAGACAGAGTCTTATTCTGTCACCCAGGCTGGAGTGCAATGGCACAATCTCGGCTCACTGCAGCTTCCACCTACCAGGTTCAAGTGATTCTCCTGCCTCAGCCTCCTGAGTAGCTGGGATTACAGACATGCACCAGCACACCCAGCTAATCTTTGTATTTTTAGTAGAGATGGGGTTTCACCAGTCTCAAACTCCTGACCTTGTGATCTACCCGCCTGTGCTTCCCACAGTGCTGGGATTACAGGCATGAGCCACCATGCCTGACCACCAAACCTTGTCTCTATAAAAAATACAAAAATTAGTTAGGTGTGTGGTGGAGATTGCAGTGAGCCAAGATTGTGCCACTGTACTTCATCCTGGGTGACAGAGCTAGATGCTGTCTCAGAAATAATAGTAATCATAATAATAAAGAGCATTGTAAGATAATACTTTGTTTTCTTTCCTTCTTTTATTTTTTTGAGACAGGGTCTCACTTTGTCATCCAGGCTGGAGTACAGTGGCATGATCACTACCCACTGCAGCCTCAACCTCCCAGGCCTATAGGATCCTCCTACCTCAGTGGCCTCATGCCCCTATGCCTGGCTGATTTTTTGTTTCTCTTTTGTAGAGACAGAGTCTCACTTTGTTGCCCAAGCTTGTCTCAAACTTCTGGTCTCACTCAATCCTCCCACCTCAGACTCCCAAAGTACTGGGATGGAAGACGTGAGCCACCACATCCGGCCTATTTGCTTTATATGTGTAACATATTTTTCTTCATTTATTGACAGAGGGGACCTTGCCTATTTTGATGGACTTAGTGAGACTATTCTTGCTGTGGGGCTTGTGAAACCAAAAACTGGTAAGAAATAAAACTATAAGGAAGAGATTACGTTTGTATAGTTAGACTCCAAATGGTATAGACCTGAACAACAGCACACTGGTTTTTTGTTTTTTTTTTTCCTTTGAGACGGAGTTTTACTTGTCTCCATGTTGGTCAGGCTGGTCTTGAACTCCTGACCTCAGGTGATCTGCCCACCTAGAGCTCCCAAAGAGCTGGGATTACAGGTGTGAGCCACCGCACCCGACCTTTTTTTTTTTTTTTTTTTCCCTGAAACTGAGTCGCCCTGTGTCTCCTAGTTTGGAGTGCAGTGCATCTTGGCTCACTGCAACCTCCACCTCCTAGGTTTCAGCCATTCTCCTGCCTCAGCCTCCTAAGTAGCTGGGATTACAGGTGTGTACCACCACGCCCAGCTAATTTTTGTATTTTTAGTAGAGATGGAGTTTCGCCATGTTGGCCAGGCTGGTCTCAAACTCGTGACCTTATGTGATCTACCCACCTCAGCCTTTCAAAGTGCTGGAATTACAGATGTGAGACACCATGCCCAGCTGACAACATACTTTTTTAAGCAGTTGTATTTTGAATTCTAATTGGACATATGTCAAGTGACTTTTTTTTTTCTTTTTTGAGACAGAGTCTAACTCTGTTGTCCAGGCTGGAATGCAATGGTACAATCTCAGCTCACTGCAACCTCCACCTCTTGGGTTCAAGTGATTCTCCTGCCTCAGCCTCCCGAGTGGCTGGGACTAGAGGTATGCACCACCACACCCAGCTAATTTTTGTATTTTTAGTGGAGACGGGGTTTCACCATGTTAGCCAGGATGGTCTCCATCTCCTGACCTCATGATACGCCCGCCTCGGCCTCCCAAAGTGCTGGGATTACAGGCGTGAGTCACTGCACCTGGCTGTAAAGTGATTATTAATGTTTAACTGTTTACTTACTTTAATGGCGTGACACTGCCTTTAAAAATGTTAAACTATAATTTTTGAATTTTATTTTACTTTCTTGATACACCTGAAATTTTTACACTATAGATTTTTCATTGATTGCTGAATAATGTTAAAAAAAAAGTTTGTATCTGTATTTTTTTTTTTTTTTTTTTTTTTGAGACTGAGTTTCGCGCTTGTTATCGAGGCTGGAGTGCAATGGTGCAATCTCGGCTCACTGCAACCTCCGCCTCCTGGGTTCAGGCAGTTCTCCTGCCTCTGCCTCCTGAGTAACTGGGATTACAGGCACGCACCACCATGCCCAGCTAATTTTTTGTATTTTTAGTAGAGACGGGGTTTCACCAGGATGGTCTCGATCTCTTGACCTTGTGATCCACGCACCTTGGGCTCCCAAAGTGCTGGGATAACAGGCTTGAGCCACCGCGCCCGGCGTGTATCTGTATTTTATTAGTCTTTTTTTTTTTTCTTTTTTGAGGTAAGATCCTGACTCCATCACCTAGGCTAGAGTGCAGTGGCATGATCATTGCTCACTATAGCTTGAACTTCCCAGGCTCAGGTGATTCTCCCACTTTAGCCTCCCAAGCGGCTGGGACTACAGTTACATGCTATCACGCCTGGCTAATTTTTGGTATTTTTTTTGGTAGAGATGGGGTTTTGCCATGTTGCCCAGACTGGTCTTGAACTCCAGGGCTTAAGCAATCCACCCACCTCAGAGATGCTGGGATTATACTTGTGAGCCGCTGCACTGGCCATTGTTTTAGTCTAGTTTATTTTTTTTTTTGAGTTAGAGTCTCGCTCTATTGCCTAGGTTGGAGTGCAGTGGTGTGATCTCCACTCACTGCAGCCTCCGCCTCCCAAGTAACTGGGATTACACACATGTGCCCTGATGCCCGGCTAATTTACCTTTTATTTTATTTATTTATTTTTTTGAGACAGAGTTTCGCTCTTGTTACCCAGGCTGGAATGCAATGGCACAATCTCGGCTCACTGCAACCTCCGCCTCCTGGGTTCAAGAAATTCTCCTGCCTCAGCCTCCCGAGTAGCTGGGACTACAGGCGCGCGCCACCATGCCCAGTTCATTTTTGTATTTTTAGTAGAGACAGGGTTTCACCATGTTGACCAGGATGGTCTCGATCTGTTGACCTCGTGATCCACCCGCCTCGGCCTCCCAAAGTGCTGGGATTATAGGCGTGAGCCACCGCGCCTGGCCTATTTTATTTTTTGAGATGGAGTCTCGCTGTGGCACAATCTCAGCTCACTGCAACTTCCGACTCCCTGTTTCAAGTGATTCTCCTATCTCAGCCTCCCAAGTAGCTGGGATTATAGGCACATGCCACCACACCCAGCTAATTTTGTATTTTTAGTAGAGACAGTGTTTCACCATGTTGGCCAGGATGGTCTCCATCTCCTGACCTCGTGATCTCCCCGCCTTACCCTCCCGAAGTGCTGGTATTACAGATATGAGCCACTGTGCCTGGCCCCAGCTAATTTTTATATTTTTTGTAGAGACAGAATGCCAACTTGGCTAGGCTGGTTTCGAACTCCTGGCCTCAGGTGATTGGCCTACCTTAGTTTTCCATTGTTTTGGGATTACAGGCGTAAGCCGCCACACCCTGGGCATAGTCTTGATAGCCCACGGAAGTGAGAACAGAGTTCAGAGTAAATCTTGGGGACATTACAAGCATTGTTTGACTTACTCTTTATGCTTCATAATGCCAAATCTCTCATCAGAGTTACTGAGGATAATTGATTGATTTAAATTTAAAATATATCCTTTAAATGTACCTTGTTTTTTTTTCTTTTTTTGATACAGAGTGCTTCTTTGTCTCCCAGGCTAGAATACAGTGGACCTCGTTACTCACTGCATGCAACCTCTGCCTCCTTGGTTCAAGTGATTCTCCTGCCTCAGCCTTCCAAGTAGCTGGAATTACAGGCATGCGCCACCATGCCCAGCTAATTTTTGTATTTTTAGTAGCATGTGGTTGCGCAATGTTGGCCAGGCTGATCTTAAACACCTGGCCTCAAGTGATGTGTCCACCTTGGCCTCTCAAAGTGTTGGGATTACAGGCATGAACCACTGTACGGCCAAATGTACCTTTCTATGGGAGGAAATAATAGACAAAAATTTATTTTTGGAAGACCTAAGTAAAGTTTTTTAAGATGATGGCCATTTTGAAATTATAGATATTTAGTTAAGTAAAAACAGATGATGGAATCTCGCTCTGTCGCCCAGGCTGGAGTGCAATGGCACAATCTTGGCTCACTGCAACCTGCACCTCCAAGGTTCAAGTGATTCTCTTGCCTCAACCTCTGGAGTATCTGGGATTACAGGCACCTGCCATCACACCCAGCTAATGTTTGTATTTTTAGTAGAGGTGGGGTTTCACCATGTTGGTCAGGCTGGTCTTGAATTCCTGACCTCAGGTGATCCGCCTACCTCAGCCTCCAAAAGTGCTGAGATTACAGGCATGAGCCACCACCCCTGGCCAAAACAGATATTTTATACACTTTGTACTTGCATTGAAAATGTATTTTCAGGTACACACACACAAAAAAAGAAAAAAGAAAATGTATTTTGAGGCCAAGTGTGGTGGCTCATGCCTGTTATCACAGCACTGTGGGAGGCTGAGGTGAGCAGATCACTTGAATCTGAGACTTCAAGACCAGCCTAGACAATATGCTGATACCTTGTCTCTACAAAATATACAAAACTTATCCCAACATGGTAGTGCCTGCCTGTAGTCTCAGTTATTCATGAGACTGAGGCAGGAGGATCGCTTGAGCATAGGAGGACGAGGCTACAGTAAGTCTTGATTACATCACTGCACTCCAGCCTGGGCAGCAGAGCAAGACTCTGTCTCAAAATTAAAAGAAAAAAGAAGCAAATGTATTTCCATAGAGTCTAAAAGAGATGCATAAATGTATAAATATTGCTCTATACTCTTATCAATATTCCAACCTTTGGTCTAATTTTATTTCCCAAAATTATCTAGGTTTTATTTACATTTCAAAGTGAAATCTGTTATATATATATTTTAATTGTGGTAAAATACACATACTACAAACTTTGCCATCTTTTTCTTTTTCTGGTTTTTTATTTTTATTTTTTTTGAGATGGACTCTCGCTCTGTTGCCCAGGCTGGAGTGCTGTGGCACGATCTCAGCTCACTTCACTTCAACTTCCACCTCCCAGGTTCAAGCAATTCTGCCTCAGCCTCCCTAGTAGCTGGGACTATAGATGCATGCCACCATGCCCAGCTAATTTTTATATTTTTAGTAGAGATGGGGTTTCACCAGGTTGGCCAGGCTGTTCTCAAACTCCTGATCTCGTGATCTGCCTGCCTCGGCCTCCCAGAGTGCTGGGATCATAGGCATGAGCCATGGTGCCCGGCCAACTTTGCCATCTTAACTGTTTTTAAGCCTACACTTCAGTGGTATTAAGTCCATTCACATTGTGTAACCTTCACCACCATCTATATCTAGAACTCCATGTATCTTGTAAAATGGAAACTGTACCTATTAACTAAAAACTCCTGTTTCTCCTTCAGCCCTTGGCAGGAACCATTCTCCTTTTTGTCTGTATGAATTTGACTATTCTAGGTTTCCTCATATACAAATGGACTCATATGGTACTGTATTTGTCATTTTGTGACTGGTTTGTTTGATTTAACCTATGTACTCAAGGTTCTTCTGCATTATGGCATGCATCAGAACTTTCTTACTTTTTAAGGCTCAGCATATATATTCCATTTGTGTGTGTGTGTGTGTGTGTGTGTGTGTGTGTGTGTCTTATTTGAGACAGAGTTTTGCTGTTCTTGCCCAGGCTGGAGTGCAGTGAACCGATCTCGGCTCACCGCAACCTCCGCCTCATGGGTTCTTGAGCAATTCTCCTGCCTCAGCTTCCTAAGTAGCTGGGACTTTAGGCGTATGCCACCATGCCCAGCTAATTTTTTTTTGAATTTTTAGTAGAGACGGGGTTTCACCACGTTGACCAGGATGGTCTCGATCTCTTGATCCACCCACCTTGGCCTACCAAAGTGCTGGGATTAACAATCATGAGCCACCACGCATGGCCTTTATGTCATTTTTTTAATCCATCTATTGATGGATGCGTGGGTTTTGTTTTCATCTTTTAGTTATTGTGAATAATGCTTCTATGAACATGGATATACAGATGTAAATCTTGGTATTTTAATAAATATAAACTATTTTGTAATAGAATACTTTTTAAATAGCATTCAATACTGAAGTGATTGTTTTCTAAGGTGGTTCTTTTCTACTTCTAATTACTTTTTTTCTTTTCAATTTCTTGATGACATTCAAAATTTACTTATTTAAATGATTATACATAGTAATATTTTAACATCAGAATTTATTAAACTGGATCCAGACTTTTTTTTTTTTTTTTTTTGAGAAGGAGTTTCGCTCTTGTCACCCAGGCTGGAGTACAATGGCGCAATCTCAGCTCACTGCAACCTCCGCCTCCTGGGTTCAGGCAAATTCTCCTGCCTCAGCCTCCTGGATCCAGACTTTTTATACTATTTAATTAGCTGACTTTAATGATAATAAAACCTTATCCCGTTAGTGCTTACATGCTAAAACTATTCCTGCCCTGTGTCTGCTTTATCTTAGGCATCTTTCAACCTCATGTACGACACCTCCTGGTTCTGGCGACCCCTGTAGACATAGTAATTCTTGGACTTAGCTATTCTAATTTGCAAACAGGTATGGCAACCTACATTACATTTTTTCAAATATGTTGGCCAATTGATACTACAATTAAAAGCTAATCTGGGTGAAATATTGAATTCCACTGACTCAGATTAGTGATTGTTACTGCCAAATCCTCAGGCACTTTTCCAGAATTTAATATTGGATTAGTTTTGTTTTTTTGAGACACAGTTTTGCTCTTGTTGCCCAGGCTGCAGTGCAGTGGCACGATCTCAGCTCACCGCAACCTCCACCTCCTGGGTTCAAGCGATTCTCCTGTCTCAGCCTCTCGAGTTGCTGGGATTACAGGCATGCGCCACCATGCCCCGTTAATTTTGTATTTCTAGTAGAGGCAGGGTTTCATCATGTTGGTCAGGCTGGTCTCGAACTCCCGACCTCAGGTGATCCGCCCACCTCAGCCTTTCAATTCAAAGTGTTGGGATTACAGACGTGAGCGACCGTGCCTGGCATGGTTAGTTTTTTGTTTAATGTTTTACTATATAAGAAACACACACACACACACACACACACACAACAGCAGGTTCTGTTTAACTTGAATTTTGAAATTCTATCAGACTTCTTTTATTATTTTAAAATGTATGTTATAGAAACTGTTGACTGCGTTAATTGTCCAGTAATAATTCCAGAAGGATATCAATTCTGATGATAATACAAAGATTTTTAAAAACCATAAAGTAACTAATAAACTGATTTGTGTATTCTTTCTTAAAATAAATAGGTTCTGGAGTTCTTAATGACAGTATGTCTGGTGGAATGCAGTTGCTTCCAGATCCTTTATATTCTCTTCCTACTGATAATACTTACCTTTTAACAATAACTTCCACTGATAATGGCAGAATTTTCTTGGCTGGAAAGGATGGTTGTTTATATGAAGTAGCCTACCAGGTAAGTCTGACATTTGTAAATGTTTTTTCCTCTCTTATTGGAATAGGGAAAAATAAGCCTTTCTTTTGTTTTCTAATTATATATATAAGGATATTAATTATATATACGGATATTAATATATTTTTTTGGGGGGGGAGGAAGGCAGGAAGGGAGGGAAGAAGGACAGTAGGGAGGAAGGAAGGGATGAAGGAAGAAAGGAAGGAAGGGAGGACGCGGGGAGGGAGGGAAGAAGGACGGTAGGGAGGAAGGAAGGGATGAAGGAAGGAAGGAAGGGAGGAAGCGGGGAGGGAGGGAGGGAGGGAGGGAGGGAGGGAGGGAAGGGAAGGAAGGAAATCAAGCAATGAGAGAGACATTGCCGACCTGGATCTAGAGGTTTACAAGTTGATTTCTTTTTTTTTTGAGAGAAGGAAAGAAAAAAAAAAATAAGAAAGGAGAGGAAGAAAGAGGGAGAGTAAATGGAAATATTGCTTTATTTTGAAAAAAATTGAGTATTAATAATGGCCAATCAATGTTTCATTTAAACTTATGGGTAGGTGTGATGTGGTATTGACAAGAATGTATATTTTGTGTATTTGAAGTGGAGAGCTCTATGAATATTTATTAAGTTTACTTGTTCCGGATCTGAGTTCGAGTCCTTGATATCCTTATTAATTTTCTGTCTCATTGAATCTAAGTCTCATATCTGGGTGTTAGGATCGTTAGCTCTTGTTGTTGCATTGATCCTTTTACCACTATATCTTTGTTGCTTTAAAATCTATTTTCTCCGATACGAGAATTGCAACTCCTGCTTTTTATTTATTTATTATTTATTTTTGCTCTCCATTTGGTTGGTAAATCTTTCTCCATCCCTTTGTTTTGAGTCTTTGTGTATCCTTGCATGTGAAACAGGTCTGGATGTAAAATGCCATTGGGTTTTGGCTGTGTCTTTTGATTGGGGGATTTAGTCAATTTAAATTTAGGGTTGCTGCCATTTGATGTTGACTGGCTGTTTTATCCATTCGTTGGTGTAAATTCTTCTTTATGTTGGTGCTCTTTACTTTTTGGTGTATTTTTAGAAAGGCTAATACTGGTTGTTTCTTTCTGTGTGTAATGCTTCTTTCAGAAGCTCTTGTAAAGCAGGCCTGGTGGTAATAAAATCTCTGAGTTCTTGCTTGTTCATAAAAGATTTTATTTTTCCTTCAGTTGTGAAGCTTAGTTTGGCTGGATATGAAATTCTGGGCTGAAGGTTCTGTTCTTTGAGGATGTTGAATATTGGCCCCCACTCTCTTCTGGCCTGTAGAGTTTCTGCTGAGAGATCTGCTGTAAGTCTGATAGGCTTGCCTTTGTGGGTAACATGACCTTTCTCTCTGGCTGCACTTAGTATTTTCTCCTTCGTTTCAACCCTGGTGAATCTAACGATTATGTGCCTTGGGGTTGCTCTTCTTGAGGAATATCTTTGTGGTGTTCTCTGTATTACCTGGGGTTGAATTTTGACCTGCTTTGCTAGTTTAGGAAAATTTTCCTGAATAATATCCTGAAGGGTATTTTCCAGCTTGGATTCATTCTCTCCGTCGCATTCAGGTACACCTATCAAACGTAAATTTGGTCTTTTCACATAGTCCCACATTTCTTGGAGACTTTGCTCATTCCTTATTATCCTTTTTTCTCTAATCTTTTCTTCACGTTTTATTTCATTAAGTTGGACTTTGACCTCTGATATCCCTTCTTCTGCTTGAACAATTCGAGTGTTTAAACCTGTGCATACTTCTCGGAGTTCCTGTATTGTATTCTTTAGTTCCATTAATTCACTCATACTCCGTTCTAAGTTGTCTATTCTCAATAGGATTTCATCAAACCTTTTTTCAAAGTTCCTAGTTTCTTTACGTTGGGCTACAACGTGTTCTTTTAACTCACCGAAGTTTGTTATTATCCATTCCTTGAAGAGTGATTCTGTCATCAGGAGGCGCTCGTTCTCCATCAAGCCTTGTTCCATTGTTGATGTGGAACTGTGATCATCTTTAGAGGGAGAGGCGTTCTGATTTTGAGTATTCTCAGCTTTTTTACTCTGGTTTCTTCCCGTCATTGTAAATTTATCCTCCTGCCGTCTTTGAAATTACCAACTTTCAGATTAGGTCTCTTGAGTGGACGTCCAGGTTGTTAGTTCCCAGGGCCCGAGTAGCGGCGTTAAAACTGATGGTGCTTTTCTGCCCAGGATTCTCCTGTCCGGCTTCCTTCTTGTGTCGGTAGTAGGCGACTGCCTTCCTGGGGCTCCAAACCTGGGTCAGATGGGGAACCGGTCCTGTTTACTCTGCGCCGAGCGCTCCCGCGCCGAGGTGCCGTCACAGCCGCTGCCGGGCTCTGGTGTCCTGCTGGGGACCCGGGCCGGTCCTCCGAACCTGTTTACTTTGCTCCGAGAGCTGCCGCACCAAGGTGCCGGCGGAACCGCTGCACCGGCCACGAGAGTCGCGCTGGCCACCCGTGTGTTTCCTCCACTGGGGGATCTCCTGCTCCGTGAGCGACCAGAATTTGTCTGAAAGTGTGGCGTCCTCTAGTTCTCCGAGCCTTCCCTGAGAGCTGCAATCCCGGGATGTTAGCGATTGGCCATCTTGGATCGTTTTCCCGTAATATATTTTTATGGAAAATATTCAAGCATACAGTTGAAGCTGTAGTCTTCATGACTATATCATGCTTAAAAAAGTCAGTCCTCCCCTTGGAGATAAAAGTTATTATTTCCTTTGAAATCTAGGTGGAAAAAAAAAGTCATTATTCATTCTGTGTATATCCTTATAGAACATAAAGCAGACATCAAAGGTAAAGATATCTATGCATATGTATTTGTATGTGAATACACATATGTAACTACATAATGCACTTTTGCAAATATATGTTTTTACTGGGATTGTTGTTTGTTTTATTTCATAATTGGTTTTTCTTTTTTTGAGATGGAGTTTTGCTCTTGTTACCCAGGCTGGAGTGCAATGGCGTGATCTCGGCTCACTGCAGCCTCCACCTCCTGGTTCAGGCAATTCTTCTGCCTCAGCCTCCCGAGTAGCTGGGACTACAGGCGCGTGCCACCATGCCCAGCTATTTTTTTGTATTTTTAGTAAAGGCGGGGTTTCACCATGTTGACCATGATGGTGTCCATCTGTTGACCTCGTGATCCACCCGCCTCAGCCTCCCAAAGTGCTGGGATTATAGGCGTGAGCCACCACGCCCAGCTTTTTTTTTTCTTTTTTTAAGGTGGGGTCTCAGTTTATCACCCAGGTTGGAGTACGTTGGCTCAGTCTTGGCTCAGTTCTCCCTAGTTCAAGCAGTTCCCCTGCCTCAGCCTACTGCATAGCTAGGATTACAGGCATGCACTCCCACATCCAGCTAATTTTTGTGATTTTCGTGGAGACAGGGTTTCATCATGTTGGCCAGGCTGGTAAACTCCTGACCTCAAATGATCCACCTGCCTTGGCCTCCCAAAGTGCTAGGATTTATAGGCATGAGCCCCTGTGCCTAGCCCATAATTGGCTTTTCATTTAATAGTATATCTTGAAATTCTTTCCTTCTCAGTATTTGGTTGATATTTTACATTATGGACTAACTCAGTTTTTGCATAATATGTCTCATTTTGTTAATTATAACTGATGTTAGTGATTATAACTGGTATTTCATGAAGATTTGATTTTTTTTATAAATATGGATATACAGTAGTTATTATAAGGGAGTTACATACTTTTGTAAGTCTTCTTTTTATTTTTTTCTTTAAGGCAGAAGCAGGGTGGTTTAGCCAAAGATGTAGGAAAATAAACCACTCAAAGAGCTCACTTTCTTTCCTTGTTCCTTCCTTGCTACAATTTACATTCTCAGAAGATGGTAAGTAGAAAACAATAAATTTGGCAAGTAAAACTGATTTCTAATACATCCTTCCTTCAACATTTTCTTCAGAAATTATCAAAATTGAAACAGTTATATTAAGTAGCATCTGGTATATATTCATAAGGTCTTCTAAAGGATGAGAAGAGATTATAACAGAGAGAAAGTGTGTATTTTATTCCCAGGTTTGTATTTCCTATAAACGTAGCATCAAAGGACTTGTATCTAAAACAGCTGTGCATACTTAAACCAAAATATGTGTGTGTATCTGAGAGAGACAGACCTTCACACACCTAATAACATGATTTGTTTGGTCTAGAACAAATTCCCAATATGAAAAGAATATATCTTAGTTTTTATTGAACCTCATGAGAGATTTAAACAGGTGAAATAATTTTTTAAGTGTTTTGACAAAATAAGATCAGTATACCCAAATATTAATATGAATAAATTTTAAAATTAGTTTCCTTCACATAATCATTAAGCCAAATTGGAAGTTTCTTAATAGAAAGGACCAAGTATAATTATCCTTTGTGTTTCTAGCATGTAGTAAACATTCATTAAATATTACTGAATGAAGAAATAACTTAGGACTTGTTTTTGGTTCGGCTTAAAATTCATTTAGAGGACAAAATAACTTATTTTCTGTGCTTGTAACCCAGTCACAGTATTTAGCATCTGTTGTTTTCATGTGTTATCTGACCAAAATGCTTTTTGAACTGGAACCCTTGCAAACATCCTAGGATTTAACTACAAAGCAAGGGAGTAGAAAACCCCTGAATTCAAAGTTTTAATTCGACAATTTGTTGTAACTGGCTAATGTGTTTGCTTTGTTAATCCTTGGGTATGTTTTTTTCTCCTTTTTTTGTCTTACTTTTAGATCCTATTCTTCAAATTGCAATTGATAATTCTAGAAATATTTTATATACACGATCTGAGAAAGGAGTAATACAGGTTAGTATTAATATTATACCATTAAGAGTAAAATAAATCCTTCTTTTGTTTTGTTTCGTTTTTGGTTGTTTGTTTTTTGAGATGGAGTTTTGCTCTTACTGCCCAAGCTGGAGTGCAATGGCGCCATCTTGGCTCCCCGCAGCCTCTACCTCCCGGGTTCAAGTGATTCTACTGCCTCCAAGTAGCTGGGATTACTGGCATGTGCCACCACACCTGGCTAGTTTTCTATTTTTAGAAGAGATGGGGTTTCTCCATGTTGTTTAGACTGGTCTCGACCTCAGGTGAACCACCCACCTCAGCCTCCCAAAGTACTAGGATTACAGGCATGAGCCACCGCACCTGGCCAATAAATCCTTATTTTTAGGGAAGACATTTCTTGCCTCTTAAACTTTTCATATGAACTGTGTGATTAAACAAACAACAAAAAAAAGCCTGCTGGGCACAATGGCTCACACCTGTAATCCCAACACTGTGGGAGGCCAAGATGGGTGGATCACCTGAGGTCAGGAGTTTGAGACCAATGTGACCAACATGGTGAAACCCCACTTCTATTAAAACTAAAAAAATTAGCCAGCCACAGTGGCATGCACCCATAATCCCAGCTACCTGGGAGACTGAGACAGGAGAGTCACTTGAAACAGGGAGGTGGAGGTTGCAGTGAGCCGAGATCACCCCATTGCACTCCAGCTTAGGCGACAGACCAAGTCTCCGTCTCAGAAACAAAAAAGCCCAGCTCACTTCTCAGAAGGGGTCCCTTTTTATAAAATTTCAAATCTGCATGTTTTCATGTTTGTATTAAATACCAATATTAAAGGATCTCTTAAAAGGAAAATTTTAATAATATGTATATAATATATAATCGTGTTTAAGTGAGAATGATTTTGTATTCACAGGTGTATGATTTGGGACAAGATGGACAAGGAATGAGTAGAGTTGCCTCCGTGTCACAGAATGCCATTGTCTCTGCTGCTGGTAACATTGCTAGGTAACATGTAATTTATTGTTAAGCATTTCATTTGCAGGCATAATTGTACTACTTATGTATAGCATACTAAAGTTAAATTATTCCCTTACCCAAATGTCTTTAAAAGATAAGGAATGTTGAAGAGGTGACACTCTACGTTATGTTTCAAAGAGAGGTGTTAGAGACTCTTTTTTTTTTTTTGAGACAGGGACTCGCTCTGTCGCCCAGACTTAAGTGCAGTGGTCATCTTGCTCATTGCAACATTTTCCTCCTGGGTTCAATTAATTCTCCTGCCACAGCCTCCCTGATAGCTGGGATCACAGGCACCTACCACCATGCCCAGCTAATTTTGCATTTTTAGTAGAGACGGGATTTTGCCATGTTTGCCAGGCTGGTCTTGAACTCCTGACCTCAGGTGATCTGTGCACCTTAGCCTACCAAAGTGCTGAGATTACAGGCATGTGCCACTGTGCCTGGCCTCTTTTATTCTTATATTTGATAGTTTGAAATATAAGGTAGACTGGTTTTACTCTGTAAAGTACAGCTTGACATGTGTTTTTCCTTGCAACTTTACATAGGGATTATGACTAGCAAGCTGCGTATCTCGAATTTCCCCCACTTTTAACTATTCACTCTTTTGGTTTTTTTTTTGTTTGCTTGTTTCTTTTTTGAGATGAAGTGTTGTTCTATTGCCCAGTCTGGAGTGCAGTGGCTCCATCTCAGCTAGCAATCACCACCTCCCGGGCTAAAGTGATTCTTCACCTCAGTCTCCCAAGCAACTGGGACTACAGTGTTATAAGTAAAATTTCAATGCGGCAAAAGAAATAGCACCTGAAGATAAATCCTCTCAGCAAGGCAGTTTACTTCTATAGAAGGGTGGGGCATATGGATGTAGCAGTGGTGTCTGCATGCTTCGATAAGGCGGGGGAAGGGGTACTTACACCTGTTAGGAGTCATCCCTACAGCTGTGTTGTTCCCCTATTGGCTAGGGTTAGACTGCACAAGCTAGACTCATTCCTGGTTGGCTATTTTAAAGAGCAGGGGTCCAAGCTGGAGTGGCAGGGTGGGTGTTTTGGTGGGAAGGACGGTTATGGGCGGGTCAGAGCAGGTAGCCAGGGGTGACCTAGGTCAAATGAGGTGACCAGAATGAGTCAGGTTGGAGTGGGGGGCTGGGAAAACAGATGTGAAGTACTGATTAGAATCGGTGGAATTGGTTGTTTCCTGGAATTACAAGGAAGTTAAACTTTGAAATAGAGAATTGAAGAATAAGAGAGCTGAACATACTCACATACTGATTGTTTGAAGAGAAACTTGGGGCTCACTAGAACAATAGGCATGTACCTCCACCCCCGGCTAATTTTCTATTTTTTGTAGTGACAGGATTTCACCATGTTGCCCAGGCTGGTCTTGAACTCCTGGACTCAAGCACTACAACCACCCTGGCCTTCCAAAGTGCTGGGGTTATAGCCACTGCGCCCAACCACTACTCACTCTTTTTTTAACAGGCATGTGTGGTTCACGTTTAGTCGGTCTGATTATTGACACAAGTGCAGAACACAATATTTTATAGTTGTTGTATTCATGTTATTCATGATGAAACTGAAACTAAGAGATGTTATGATTTGCCTGAGATCTAACTCCTAAGTAAATGAAAGAACCAAACACAGAAACCAAGTCTTCAGACACTCTGTACTACCATTTGCCTATATCCTTAGGCAGCTGCAAACATTCTCTTTTTATAATGAAGGCCTGAAATTTTGAACTTCTGTTATCTTTGTGCCTAGGTTATTGCTACAATCAGAGTGAAATAAATGACCTTTTTTTTTTTCCCAGACAGGGTATCTGTCACTCTTGCCCAGGCTGGAGTGCAGTGATGCAATTGTAGTCCACTATAGCCTCAACTTCCTGGGCTGATGTGGTCCTCATGCCTAAGCTTCCTGAGTAGCTATGACTATAGACATGCACCACCGTGCCCATCTAATTTTATTTTTAGTATACATGGGGTATTACTGTCTTGCCCAGGCTAACTTTTAGTTTTGTTTTATTCTCCAGTGACAAGAAAAAATTCTGAAGGCAGACAATTGAAAACAGCATTTTCCAGTTTTCCCTCTAACTTTTTTCTAGAATTTTTTTCAAATCCAGAAAAAAAAATTACCAATGTGATAAAAACTAATACACTCGGGGCTAGGCGCAGTGGCTCATGCCTGTAATCCCAGCACTTTGGGAGGCTGAGGCAGACGGATCACCTGAGGTCAGGAGTTCAAGACCAGCCTAGCCAACATGGTGAAACCCTGTCTCTACTAAAAATATAAAAATTAGCCGGCCATGGTGGTGCATGCCTATAAGCCCAGCTACTAAGGAGGCTGAGGCAGGAGAATTGCTTGAACCTGCCTGGGAAGCAGAGGTTGCAATGCACTGAGATCCCACCACTGCACTCCAGCCTAGGTGACAAAGCGAGACTATCTTAAAAAAAAAAGAAAATGTGGAAATACGTAAAAATTCTGATGGGAAATGTTTCTTATAATTTAGTAGACATATTTTAAGAATACACTTTTTCTTTTTTCTTTTAGGACCATCGATCGTTCTGTTTTTAAACCAATTGTCCAAATAGCAGTGATTGAAAATTCTGAATCTCTGGACTGTCAGTTATTGGCTGTCACACATGCAGGTATGATGTTTTATTTACATGTCTGCTGTTGCTGTTACAACTTCTGAAAATCCTTAGATTTGGAAATTTATGATTAGAAATGTATTTTAGTTCTATATCCATCATAAAGCCCTATAAATAATTTGTAAAACAAAGGATTTTAAAAACTGGAAGCTTTCTCTAATTCTGTTTGTTCATTTTATAGATATAAAACCAAGCCTAGGCCAGGCATGGTGGCTCCCAACACTTAGGGAGGCCAAGGTGGAGATTGCCTGAGCCTAGGAGTTCAAGACTAACCTGGGCAACATGGTGAAACCCCATCTCTACTAAAAATACAAAAATTAGCCAGGTGTAGTGGCATGGCCCTGTAGTCCTAGCTACTTTGGAGGCTGTGGTTGGAAGATCACTTAAGCCCAGGAGTTTGAGGCTGTAGTGAGCTGAGATCATGTGGCTACACTCCAACCTGGGCAATTGAGCAAGACCCTGTCTCAAAAAAAAAAAAGAAAGAAAACCGAAAGCCAAGCCTAAAAGGTACGATGGCTCACAGTTGATAACAGAGCCTGAATTGAAACACAAGCTTTCTTGGTTATCTTTGCAAGTTCCTTCTACTGATATGTATTGATTCACCTCTCAATTTCGGATGACATTTTCTTTTTCTTTTATTTTGAGATGGAGTCTTGCTCTGTTGCCCAAGCTGGAGTGCAGTGACACAGTCTTGGCTCACTGCAACCTCTACCTCCCAGGTTCTAGTTATCCTCCTGCCTCAGCCCTCCTAGTAGCTGGGATAGTATTAGCACATGCCACCATGCCTGGCTAATTTTTGTATTGTTAGTAGAGATGGGGTTTCACTATGATGGCCAGGCTGGTCTCGAACTCCTGACCTCAGGTGATCCACTCGCCTTGACCTCCCAAAGTGCTAGGATTACAGGTGTGAGCCACCACACCCGGCCTTGAGTGACATTTTCTTAGATTATATTTTAGCTGATAGTCTAGATGGTAATTTAAGATCAGTCAGGAAAGTTATGTATGGTTTTAGCAAAGTTCTGTGCTTCTATATGTAATTGCTTCAATAACATATTTACGTCAGGTCCTTAGTTTCTATTACTGATGCATAATTTTACCCCATCTTCAGGTGTTAGGTTATATTTCACCACTTGTCCATTCAGACAGCCATTAGCACGGCCTAATACACTGACGCTGGTTCATGTCCGCTTACCTCCTGGATTCTCAGCATCTTCAACAGTAGAAAAGCCTTCAAAAGTACACAGAGCTCTTTATAGTAAAGGTAAGTTCTGAAATACTATCAGATTTAAGATTAGATTTTTTAAATTGTTAAAATTATATGGCGATTTGAGGCATTTGAAAATACCCGATGGCAACAATAGAAACTGGGGACTACTAGAAGGGTCGGGGAAGTAGGGGAACAAGGGTTGAAAAACTTACTACTGGGTACTGTGCTCAGTACCTGATCAATGGAATCAATTGTACCATAAACCTTAGCATGACAGAATTTACTCAAGTAACAAATCTGCACATGTACCTCCTAGATCTACAATAAAAGTTAAAATTGTGGAAATTAAAAGTTTAGGTTGAAAGTGTAGTTTTCACTCTTATATTTTGATCTGTTTTGTGATCATTTTTGTATGTTGTATAAGGTAGCAGTCTGACTTTCATTCTTTTGCATGTGGATATCCAGCAGTCTGAGCACCATTTGTTGAAAAGACTATCATTTCCCCATTGAATTGTCTTCATCATATTGTCTTAGGTGAATTACCCATTAATGTATGAGTTCTGGATTCTCAGTTCTATTCCATTGGTCTGCATTACCCATGCTTATGCCAGTAGCACAGTCTTGATTACTGTTGCTTTGTACTAAGTGTTAAAATTGGTACGTGTGACTATTCTAACTTTGATCTTTTTTTTTTTTTTGAGATGATCTGGCTCTGTTGCCCAGGCTGGAGTGCAGTAGTGCAGTCTCCACTCACTGCAACCTCTGCCTCCCAGGCTCAAGCCATCCTCCCACTTCAGCCTTCTGAGTAGCTGAGAGAGGCTACAGGTGTGTGCCACCACCCCCAGCTAATTTTTGTGTATTTTGTAGAGACAGGCTTTTGCCTTGTTGCCTAGGCTGGTCTCAAACTCCTGAGCTCAAGTGATCCATCTACTTGGCCTGTTAAAGTGTGGGATTACCGGCATGAGCCACCATGCACTTGGCCTGATTTTTTTTTTTTTTTTTTTTAAGATGATTTTGGCTATTCTGAGTCTCTTAAATTTTCATATGAATTTTAGAGTCACCTTGTTAATTTCTTCAAAAAAAGTGAGGTGGGGCCAGGGACAGTGTGTCATGCCTGTAATCCCAATACTTTGGGAGGCAGAGGCGGGTGGATCACTTGAGTTCAAGACCAGCCTGACCAACATGGCGAAACCCCATCTCTACTAAAAATACTAAAATTAGCTGGGCATGGTGGGGCATGCCTATAATCCCAGCTACTTGGGAGGCTGAGGGAAGAGAATCACTTGAACTGGAGAGGTGAAAGTTATAGTGAGCTAAGATCCCGCCATTGTACTTTAACTGGGCCGCAGAGTGAGACTCTGTCTCAAAATAAAAACAGGGAAGTTGGATTGTGATAGCTCAATCTGTAGATCAATTTGGGCTATTTTGCCACCTTAACCATATTAAGTCTTCAAATCCATGAATATGGATCTTTTTCCAAGTCATTTGGGGGTGCAGAGGAAGGTTCTCACTCTGTTGCCCAGGCTGGAATGCAATGGCAGGATTTTGGCTCACCATAGCTTCAAACTGCCAGGCTCAGGTGATCCTCCCTGCTCAACCTCTTGAGTAGTTGGGACTACAGGTGTGTGCCACCATGCCTGGCTAATTTTTGTGTTTATGTGGAGACAGGGTTTCACCATGTTTCCCAGGCTGGTGAACTCGGGCTCAAGCAGTCCTGCCACCTTGGCCTCCCAAAGTGCTAGGATTATAGGTGTGAGCCACCATGTTGGCGAGTTTCCTTGAGATAATTGCTTTTGTTGTTGTTGTTGTGACAGTGTCTCATTCCTATCACCCAGGCGGGAGTGCAGTGTGTAGTCATCCTTCATTTTTTGTTGAGACTAGGTCTTACTTTATTGCTCAGGCCAGTCTCAAACTCCTGGACTCAAGTGATCAGCCTGCTTCAGCCTCCTAAACTGCTGGGATTACAGGCATAAGCCACAGCACCTCGCCCAGATAATTCCTTCTGTAGTACACTTACTTACCTCTTTTATTCTTCTTGCACCTTCATCATTTTTATTCATGGTGTCTTTGAATTAATCAGTATATAAACTGTATTTCATTCAGTATTAGCTTGTATTACATTGTGAATTGTCAATCGTAGCATTTTTTATGTACTAAGTATATTTTTGTAAAGTTAATAATTGGCAGGGTGCAGTCAGTTGCTCATGCCTATAATCCCAGCACTTTCGGAGGCTGAGGTGGGCAGATCACCTGAGGTCAGGAGTTCAAGACCAGCCTGACCAACAAGATGAAACCCTGTTTCTACTGAAAAATACAAAATTAGCTGGGTGTGGTGGCGCATGTCTGTAATCCCAGCTACTCAGGAGGCTGAGACAGGAGAATCGCTTGAACCTGGGAGACAGAGATTGTGGTGAGCCAAGATCATGCCATTGCACTCCAACCTGGGTGACAAGAGCAAAACTCCACCTAAAAGAAAAAGAATTAATAATGATATTGATAGACCCATTGACTGTAATATATACCCTAAGTTCCAAAATGCTAAAATGTGAAAAATTGAGAACACTTAATGACTCTACCCTGCAAATAATTATATAGTCTTTCAGAGAATTATTTTGTGACTTGTTTGTTTATAAAGATTGATGTTGTTGTATGTACATATATATATGTTAATTTTAAGTTGGCATAAAAGTGATTGTGGTTTTGTCATTTTCTTTTTCTTTTTTTTCTTTTCTTTTTTTTGAGACGGAGTTTCGCTCTTGTTACCCAGGCTGGAGTGCAATGGCGCTATCTTGGCTCACCACAGCCTCCACCTCCTGGGTTCAGGCAATTCTCCTGCCTCAGCCTCCTGAGTAGCTGGGATTACAGGCATGCGCCACTATGCCCAGCTAATTTTTTGTATTTTTAGTAGAGAGGGGGTTTCACCATGTTGACCAGGATGGTCTTGATCTCTTGACTTCGTGATCCACGCACCTTGGCCTCCCAAAGTGCTGGGATTACAGGCGTGAGCCACCACACCCGGCCTGGTTTTGTAATTTTAATTGCAAAACCGCAATTACTTTTGCACCAACCTAATGAAGGTTATTGAGGATGCATATTATTTGACATGATGTAATAATGTTTTGTATATTAAACTTTTAGGTATTCTATTGATGGCAGCCTCAGAAAATGAGGATAATGATATCTTATGGTGTGTCAACCATGATACTTTTCCTTTCCAAAAGCCAATGATGGAAACCCAGGTAAGTAATACTGACAATTCTGAAAAAACTATTACATAATTTTAAGTGAAGGATAATATAAGAAACTTTTTATCATCTGATTTATTGCAGTTTGCTTCTAATAACATATAATTAGGAATTATAATGTAAAGAAATTGTCCTGTTATTTGTTTTCCTCTGTCAGGTTAGAAGTTACTGTGGTAATCACAAAAAAAATCTTTAAAGGCAACGTTGGACCTTTACAGAATGTTTTCCATAATGTACCAGAAAATACATGTATCTTCTCTGAAGTTTTGGTTTTTTTGTCTGAAAACGTGGTCAGGTTCATATGAAATGACGTCTCATTTAAATATGTTGCTTCTTCAGTTATTTAAATATGAGGACATCCATTGTAGTTGTGACTTAGAATTTTATTCTAACAATTTCTGTAATTTTATCTTTTTTTTTTTTTTTTGATACGGAGTTTCGCTGTTGTTACCCAGACTGGAGTGCAATGGCACGATCTCAGCTCACCACAACCTCCGCCTTCTGGGTTCAAGCAATTCTCCTGCCTCAGCCTCCCGAGTAGCTGGGACTACAGGTGCGCACCACCATGCCCAGCTAATTTTTGTATTTTTAGTAGAGACGGGGTTTCACCTTGTTGACCAGGAAGGTCTCGATCTCCTGACCTCATGATCCACCTGCCTCGGCCTCCCAAAGTGCTGGGATTATAGGCGTGAGCCATCGCGCCCAGCTTTTTTTTTCTTTTTTTTAGATGGAATCTCGTTCTTCACTCTTATTGCCCAGTCTAGAGTGCAATGGCATGATCTTGGCTCATCGCAACCTCTGCCTCCTGGGCTCAAGCAATTCTCCTGCCTCAGCCTCCCGAGTAGCTGGGATTATAGGCATGTGCCACCATGCCTGGCTAATTTTGTGTTTTTAGTAGAGATGGGGTTTCTCTGTGTTGGTCAGGCTGGTCTTGAACTCCTAACCTCAGGTGATCCATCCACCTCGGCCTCCCAAAGTGCTAGGATTACAGGTGTGGGCCACTGTGCCTGGCCCTGTTTTTTTTTAATATAGAAACTTTCAAACATAAAGTTTGAAGAGTCAATTGAACCTTACGTGAGAGAACTGAGTTGCCAACATCTCTCTTATTGTATTTTATTTTTCTTTCCTACATAAACAAAGGCAAACCCACAAACAGACAGTTTTGTTTTAAACACAAAGATTACTACATACGTTATGAAGTAGATATGATCTTCCTGGGTGAGGGCCAAGGCTGCTATGAACCCACCAACTGCCCCTGCTCTCAGCTGCCCATCCTAGTACCCAGTTTATAAGGAGGTGAGGGGAGGCTACCTCTCTCCATTCCTTTGGTGTCTTCTGCCCACCCCTGTCCTCCTGCATAGCCCACAGAGGCTGCTGATCAAACCAGATAAACCAACCCCTAGTGGGGTGTGGATGTCTGGTATTCTCTCTTTGGAGCTACCTCTTCACAGGCATTTTGCTTCTAGTTTTCACTGAAAACTAGTGGTTTTCTGGTGGTTCTTAAATTTGAGCCCTTTCAGAAACAGGAACTGGAAAAAGGTGTGTGTAAGTGGAAGGAGGAAAAACTTACCTCCCAGAGATGGGAGTACTGTCTGCATGAACTCTACCAAATTTCTGATACAGTTCAGGGAGCTGAGGTGGGAGCAGGAGGGAGATAAGGAGTGCCTTTCTCCTTCTTTCCTTTATTCTTTGAGCTTTACTGAGCATGTACCACCAGCCTTGTTCTATGATGAAATGTGAGGATTCAGAAAATAAGATATAAACTGTCCTAGTAGAGATGCTGTGTTGGAGGGATGCTGATTTTAATCCTGGCTCTACTTCCTCAGAACTGTGAAATAGAGAGCATGTTTTTGGCCCTCTGTTTCTTCCTCTATAATGGTTATAATCACACCTACCACTATGGCATTGTGAGACTAAATGAGCTCATGTGTGTAAAGAACTCAGAACAATGCCTGGCACTCATAGGAAGCACTCCATAAATGTTAACTTTTTTTGTTTTTTTTTGGGGGGGGGGTAAAGACAGATTCTCACCCTGTTGCCCATGCCCAAGCAGTCCTCCCACCTTAGCCTCCCAAGTAGCTAGGACTATGGGTGTGCATTACCATATCCAGCCAATTTTTTTTTTTGAGACAGAGTCTTACTCTTTTGCCCAAGATGGAGTGCAGTATGCCATCTTGGCTCACTGCAACCTCCACCTCCTAGATTCAAGCGATTCTCCTGCCTCAGCCTCCTTAGTAGCTGGGACTACAGGAATACACCACCACACCCAGCTAATTTTTGTTTTTTTTTTTTTTTTTTTGGCGGGGGGAGGAAGGCAGGAAGGGAGGGAAGAAGGAAGGAAGGAAGGAAGGGAGGACGCGGGGAGGGAGGGAAGAAGGACGGTAGGGAGGAAGGAAGGGATGAAGGAAGGAAGGAAGGGAGGAAGCGGGGAGGGAGGGAGGGAGGGAGGGAGGGAGGGAGGGAAGGGAAGGAAGGAAATCAAGCAATGAGAGAGACATTGCCGACCTGGATCTAGAGGTTTACAAGTTGATTTCTTTTTTTTTTTGAGAGAAGGAAAGAAAAAAAAAAATAAGAAAGGAGAGGAAGAAAGAGGAAGAGAAAGAGGGAGAGTAAATGGAAATATTGCTTTATTTTGAAAAAAATTGAGTATTAATAATGGCCAATCAATGTTTCATTTAAACTTATGGGTAGGTGTGATGTGGTATTGACAAGAATGTATATTTTGTGTATTTGAAGTGGAGAGCTCTATGAATATTTATTAAGTTTACTTGTTCTGGATCTGAGTTCGAGTCCTTGATATCTTTATTAATTTTCTGTCTCATTGAATCTAAGTCTCGTATCTGGGTGTTAGGATCGTTAGCTCTTGTTGTTGCATTGATCCTTTTACCACTATATCTTTGTTGCTTTAAAATCTATTTTCTCCGATACGAGAATTGCAACTCCTGCTTTTTATTTATTTATTATTTATTTTTGCTCTCCATTTGGTTGGTAAATCTTTCTCCATCCCTTTGTTTTGAGTCTTTGTGTATCCTTGCATGTGAAACAGGTCTGGATGTAAAATGCCATTGGGTTTTGGCTGTGTCTTTTGATTGGGGATTTAGTCAATTTAAATTTAGGGTTGCTGCCATTTGATGTTGACTGGCTGTTTTATCCATTCGTTGGTGTAAATTCTTCTTTATGTTGGTGCTCTTTACTTTTTGGTGTATTTTTAGAAAGGCTAATACTGGTTGTTTCTTTCTGTGTGTAATGCTTCTTTCAGAAGCTCTTGTAAAGCAGGCCTGGTGGTAATAAAATCTCTGAGTTCTTGCTTGTTCATAAAAGATTTTATTTTTCCTTCAGTTGTGAAGCTTAGTTTGGCTGGATATGAAATTCTGGGCTGAAGGTTCTGTTCTTTGAGGATGTTGAATATTGGCCCCCACTCTCTTCTGGCCTGTAGAGTTTCTGCTGAGAGATCTGCTGTAAGTCTGATAGGCTTGCCTTTGTGGGTAACATGACCTTTCTCTCTGGCTGCACTTAGTATTTTCTCCTTCGTTTCAACCCTGGTGAATCTAACGATTATGTGCCTTGGGGTTGCTCTTCTTGAGGAATATCTTTGTGGTGTTCTCTGTATTACCTGGGGTTGAATTTTGACCTGCTTTGCTAGTTTAGGAAAATTTTCCTGAATAATATCCTGAAGGGTATTTTCCAGCTTGGATTCATTCTCTCCGTCGCATTCAGGTACACCTATCAAACGTAAATTTGGTCTTTTCACATAGTCCCACATTTCTTGGAGACTTTGCTCATTCCTTATTATCCTTTTTTCTCTAATCTTTTCTTCACGTTTTATTTCATTAAGTTGGACTTTGACCTCTGATAGCCCTTCTTCTGCTTGAACAATTCGAGTGTTTAAACCTGTGCATACTTCTCAGAGTTCCTGTATTGTATTCTTTAGTTCCATTAATTCACTCATACTCCGTTCTAAGTTGTCTATTCTCAATAGGATTTCATCAAACCTTTTTTCAAAGTTCCTAGTTTCTTTACGTTGGGCTACAACATGGTCTTTTAACTCACCGAAGTTTCTTATTATCCATTCCTTGAAGAGTGATTCTGTCATCGGGATGCGCTCGTTCTCCATCAAGCCTTGTTCCATTGTTGATGTGGAACTGTGATCATCTTTAGAGGGAGAGGCGTTCTGATTTTGAGTACTCTCAGCTTTTTTACGCTGGTTTCTTCCCGTCATTGTAAATTTATCCTCCTGCCGTCTTTGAAATTACCAACTTTCAGATTAGGTCTCTTGAGTGGACGTCCAGGTTGTTAGTTCCCAGGGCCAGAGCAGCCGCGTTAAAACTGATGGTGCTTTTCTGCCCAGGATTCTCCTGTCGGGCTTCCTTCCTGTGTCGGTAGTAGGCGACTCTGCCTTCCCGGGGCTCCAAACCTGGGTCAGAAGGGGAACCGGTCCTGTTTACTCTGCGCCAAGCGCTCCCGCGCCGAGGTGCCGTCACAGCCGCTGCCGGGCTCTGGTGTCCTGCTGGGGACCCGGGCCGGTCCTCCGAACCTGTTTACTTTGCTCCGAGAGCTGCCGCACCAAGGTGCCGGCGGAACCGCTGCACCGGCCACGAGAGTCGCGCTGGCCACCCGTGTGTTTCCTCCACTGGGGGATCTCCTGCTCTGTGAGCGACCAGAATTTGTCTGAAAGTGTGGCGTCCTCTAGTTCTCCGAGCCTTCCCTGAGAGCTGCAATCCCGGGATGTTAGCGATCAGCCATCTTGGATCGTTTTTCAATTTTTGTATTTTTAGTAGAGACACAGTTTTACCGTTTTAGCCAGAAAGGTCTCAATCTCCTGACCTCGTGATCCGCCTGCCTCGGTCTCCCAAAGTGCTGGGATTACAGGCATGAGCCACTGCACCTCAACTTTTATTTATTTATTTATTTATTTTTGAGACGGAGTTTCGCTGTTGTTACCCAGACTGGAATGCAATGGCACCACCTCGGCTTACCGCAACCTCTGCCTTCTGGGTTCAAGCAATTCTCCTGCCTTAGCCTCCCGAGTAGCTAGGACTACAGGTGCATACCACCATGCCCAGCTAATTTTTGTATTTTTAGTAGAGACAGGGTTTCACCTTGTTGACCAGGATGCTCTCTATCTCTTGACCTCGTGATCCACCCGCCTTGGCCTCCCAAAGTGCTGGGATTATAGGCATGAGCCACCGCACCCAGCCGGCCCCTCAACTTTTAAATTTGTTGTAGAGACAGGGTCTGACTATATTGCCCAGACTGGTCTTGAACTTACTGGGCTCAAGCGATCCTCCCATCATGGATTCTCAAAGTGCTGGTGTTACAGGTGTGAGACACTGCCCCACCTAACTTTTTTTTGAGAGCAAATGCTGCATGTCATATAATTTGATTTAATATTTGAGTTTTTCTCAAACAAAGGTGGACTTTTGTTTTTAACAAAAAAAATCAAGTATAGTATACGTGCTTTGATCAAATCCTAGTTTCTCAAAAATAGTCATAAAAGACATTGGACTAGCAAGGGAAATTTTATATTGGCTAGGTATTAAATTATATTAGGGAATTGATAACTTTTTTTTTTTTTTGAGACCACTCTGTTTCCCAGGCTGGAGTGCAGTGGCACAGTCAGAGCTCACTGCAACTGCCTCCCAGGTTCAAGGGATCCTCCCACCTCAGATCCCGTCATATAGCTGGGACTACAGGCACATGCCACCATGCTCGTCTAATTTTTTAGTAGAGACAGGGTTTTCCCATGTAGCCCTGGCTGGTCTCAAACTCCTCAGCTTAAGGGATCTACCTGCCTTGGTCTCCCAAAGTGTTGGGGTTACAGGCATGAGCCACCTCGCCCAGTCAATAACATTTTTAAATGTTACTGTTATATGGTTTCTAAGAAAACATTCTTATTATTAGGAGTGATAAATGATGTTTATACTTTCAAATAGTACAATAAAACAAAAATATACAGGCGAACTGCTAACAATTGTTAAAAGTAGGTATTGAGCATGTGGACTTTAACTGTATTTTCTACATTTTTGACTGCTTGAAATTTAATATAAAGTATTTTAAAGGATTAAAATACCCTTTTTTTTTTTTTTTCCTGAGACAGGGTCTTGCTCTGTCGCCCAGAGTGAAATGCAGTGGCATGAGAGCTCAGTTTAACCTCAAAACTCCTGGGTTCAAGGAGTCTTCCTACCTCAGCCTTCTGAGTTGCTAGACATTCAGGCACACACCACCACACTTAGGTAGTTTTTTAATTTTGTAGAGATGGGGATTCATTATGTTGCCTAGGTTGGTAAAATACTTTTTAAAGGAAAGATCGTATCTTAGCTTAGCAGATACAATCTATCCTGGAATGCTGGTAGAAGTTAGTTATTTGGTTGAGAGGATTGTAATTCTTTTAAATAGTATTTACAGTTTATCTTGAGAAAAGTTTTCCCTTGTCCTCTGGTACAAAAAGATTTATGTATTAGTATAGAAAATGCCTGTTTTTAGCTGGGCACGGTGGCTCACTTAATCCTAGCACTTTTGATGCCAAGGCAGGCAGATCACCTGAGGTCAGGAGTTCGAGACCAGCCTGGCCAATGTGGCAAAACTCAAAACCCCGTCTCTACTAACAGTGCAAATATTAGCTGGATATGGTGGTGTGCATCTGTAATACCAGATACTCGAAGGCTGAGGCAGGAGAATCTCTTGAACCTGGGAGGCAGGTGTTGTAGTGGGCTCTGATTGAGCCACCGCACTCCAGCCTCAGTGAAAGGATAAGACTCCATCTCAGAAAAAACAAAGAAAATTCCTGATTAGCACTTTGAGAGGCCAAGATGGGCAGATTACATGAGCCCATGAGTTTGAGTTCAAGAGCATCCTGGGGAACATGGTAAAACCCTGTCTCTACAAAACAGAAAAATTAGCTGGGTGTGGTGGTGTTCTGTAGTCCCAGGTACTTGGGAGATTGAGGTGAGAGGTGAGCCGGGGAAGTAGAGGCTGTGATTATGCCACTGCATTTCAGTTTGGGTGACAGTAAGATGCTGTCTCAAAAAAAAAAAAAGATCCAGAAAATACCTGATTAAAAAAAAAATGATAGTAGAAAATTACATACATACTTTAAAAAATATTCATGTACTATTAATTTATTACATTTACAGCTTTGTTAAGTCTGTAGTTTTTTTCTTTTGCATTATACAATTTCAATATGATATGTAAAACATTTATTTCTTTTATATAGATGACAACCCGTGTTGATGGTCATTCTTGGGCTCTTTCTGCGATAGATGAATTGAAAGTAGATAAGATAATTACGCCCTTAAATAAGGATCATATTCCAATAACTGATTCACCAGTTGTTGTACAGCAGCACATGTTACCTCCAAAGAAATTTGTTCTCCTCTCAGCACAGGTATGTACATACTCTGTTATGGTAGTGCCAAAAAGAAGTGATACTTAATATTTTTGTCAAGTACTCTGAAGTAACAGCTTAATGAAAGTTTTTTGTGGTTTTTTGTTTTTTTTGAGAACGGAGTCTTGCTCTGTCCCCCAGATTGGAGTGCAGTGGCGTGATCTCGGCTCACTTCAACCTCTGCCTCCCGGGTTCAAGTGATTCTCCTGCCTCAGCCTCCTGAGTAGCTGGGATCACAGGCACATGCAACCACACCCAGTTAATTTTGTATTTCTAGTAGAGATGGGGGTTTCACCATGTTGGTCAGGCTGGTCTTAAACTCCTAACCTTAGGTGACCTGCCTGCCTCCTCAGCCTCCCAAAGTGCTGGGATTACAGGCATGAGCCACTGTGCCTGGCCTTTTTGGTTTTTTTTCTTTTTTTGAGATGGAGTCTCACTCTGTCACCCAGGCTGGAGTGCAGTGGCATGATCTCAGCTTACTGCATCCTCTGCTTCCTGGGTTCAAGCAATTGTCCTGCCTCAGCCTCCCAAGTAGCTGGGATTACAGGCATGCACCACTACACCTGGCTAACTTTTGTATTTTTAGTAGAGATGGTATTTCACCATGTTAGCCAGGCTGGTCTCGAACTCCTAACCTCAGGTGATCCACCCACCTCAGCCTCCCAAAGTGCTGGGATTACAGGCATAGGCCACCACGCTCAATCCAATGGAATCACTTTCTTAAGTACTTAGTAATGTTTACTCTTACAGTATTCTGAAATAATACTTTATAATAACAGAAATGCTCAAAAATCTAGCTTAAGGCCAGGTGAGGTTGCTCACACCTGTAATCTCAGCACTTTGGGAGGCTAAGGGAGGAGGATTGCTTGAGTCCTGAGACCACCCTGGTCAGTATGGCGAAACCCTATCTCTACAAAAAATACATAAAAATTACTTGGGCATGGTGATGAGCACCTGTAGTTCCAGCTACTCAGGGCTGAGATGGGAGGATTGCTTGAGCCTGGGACCCAGAAGTTACAGTGAGCCAAGATCACTGCCCTGCTCTCCAGCCTGGGTAACAGAGTGGGACGCTATCTCAAAAAAAAATTAAAAGATTAAGCGCAATGGCTCCCACCTATAATCCCAGCACTTTGGGAGGCTGAGGCGGATAGATCACAAGGTCAAGAGATTGAGACCATCCTGGCCAACATGATGAAACCCCGTCTCTACTAAAAATATAAAAATTAAGTGGGCATGGTAGCAGGTGCCTGTAACCCCAGTTATTTGGGAGGCTGAGGCAGGAGATTGAGGTGGAGGTTGCAGTGAGCTGAGATCACGCCACTGCACTCCATCCACCCTGGGCAACAGAGCGAGACTCTGTCTCAACAAAAACAAACCCAGCTCTTTATAAGTGCTAAAATTTTTCTAAAGTAGCATTTCTGTTGCTAGTGTTTAGCAACATAAAATATACTATGAGCTGGCCTGATGCAATGGCCCATGCTTATAATCCCAGCACTTGGGTAGGCTGAAGTGGGAGGATCACTTGGGGCTAAGGGTTTCAGATCAGCCTGGTCAACAGAGTGAGACCCCATCTCTATAAAAAGTAAAAACAGAAATTAGCTTGGCTGGGTGGTGTGGTGCACCTTGTGTCCCAACTACTTGGAAGGCTGAAGTAGGAAGATTGCTTGAAACCAGGAGTTCAAGGCTATGTAATGAGCTTTGATTCTGCACTTTAGCCTAGGCAACAGAGCGAGACCTCATCTTAAAAAATATTTTTTTTATATTTTAATTTTTATATACTAATGTATTGATGAAATTTATATGGTTAATAGAGGAAAACATACAGTAAAATCTGCCATCCAGTCCAGGTCCCTTTCCTCTACACACCCATTTTGATAGTATCTTCCAGGGATATATTATGGATATAAAAACAATACAGATATTGTTTGAACAAATGGTAGCACATACACTGTCCTATACCATGCTTTTTGTATTTCATAAATATACTTTTGAGATCTTTCAATATTCATATATATATACTTTCTCTAATTTATATTTCAAAGGTATCACTTTGTATGGAAGTACCAGATTTAACTAGACCCCCATTTTTTGTTTGTTTTTAATGGGAGTCTCGCTCTGTCACCCAGACTGGAGGGCAGTAGCACCATCTTGGCCCACTTCAATCTCCACCTCCTGGGTTCAAGTGATTCTTCTGCCTCAGCCTTCCGAGTAGCTGGGATTACAGGTGCCTGCCCCCAAGCCTGGCTAATTTTTGTATTTTTAGTAGAGACAGGGTTTCACCATGTTGGCCAGGTTGGTCTCAAACTCATGATGTCAGGTGATCCATCTGCCTCGGCCTCCCAAAGTGCTGGGATTTACAAGCGAGAGCTACTGCGCCCAGCCAACTAGACCCCGATTAATGGATTTCTTTGCTATTAAAAATACAACTTTGACCAGATGCGTTAGCTCATGCCTGTAATCCCAGCACTTTCAGAGGCTGAGGTGGGTGGATCACTTGACCCCAGGAGTTTGAGACCAGCTGGGCAACATGGTGAAATCCTGTCTGTGCAAAAAATACACAAATTAGCCAGGTATGGTGGCACATGTCTATTATACCCTCTACTCTGTGTCCCTGATACGCTAGAGGCTGAGGTGAAAGGATCACCTGAGCTTAGGAGGCAGTGGTAGCAAGTGAGCCAAGTTTGCACCAATGCGTTCCAGCCTGGGTAACGGAATGAAACCCTGTCTCAAAAATGAAAAAAAAATACAACCTTGTGGCCGGCCACAGTGACTCATGCCTGTAATCCCAGCACTTTGGGAGGCTGAGATGGGTAGATCACCTGAGGTCTGGAGTTTGAGAACGGCCTGGCCAACATGGCAAAACTCCCAACTCTACTAAAAACAAAAATTAGCCAGGCATGGTGGTACATGCCTGTATTTCCAGCTACTTGGGAGGCTGAGGCAGGAGAATCACTTGAACCTGAGAGGCAGAGGTTGCACTGACCCAAGATCAAGCCATTGCACTTCAGCGTAGACAATAATAGCAAGAGCAATACTTCACTTAAAAAGAAACCTTGTGCATATAATATGTATGATTTTGCATGTATGTCAATAAAGCTATAGTATTAATATATTACTGTCTGCTGAGATATTAATACTACATTTATATGCATTTATCATTTTGATAGTTATTGTCAGAATTCCCTCTATATATTCAATAATGAAGCTTGTGAATGCCAGTTTCCTCAAAGCCTCTCTATGTACCATATGCTTCCTTATTAAGAGACTGTCTCTCTCTTTTTTTTTTTTTGTATTTTCAAATAGATTTAGGTGGAACAAATTCATATTTTTTTATTACATGAATATGTGGCACAGTGGTGAAGTCTGACTTTTAGTGTTAACACCTGAATAGTGTAATTTGTAATTTTTTATTCCTTACCCCCTCCCACCTGACTCACTTTTCTTTTTCTTTTTTTTTTTGTTTTCATTTTTTTGAGACTGAATCTTGTTTTGTCACCCAGGCTAGAGCATGGTGACCCAATTTCGGCTTACTGCAACCACTGCCTCCCAGGTTCAAGCGATTCTCCTACCTCAGCCTCCCAAGTAGCTGAGATTACAGGCAGGCACATGCTACCATGCCCAGCAATTTTCTGTATTTTTAGTAGAGACAGGGTTTCTCCATGTTAGCCGGGCTGGTCTTGGACGGCTGACCTCAGGTGGCACCTGCCTCAGCCTTCCGAAGTGCTGGGATTATAGGCGTGAGCCACCATGCCCAGCCTCTCTTTTCATATTTATTTCTGTGAACTATCTTTTCTTATTCTGTATCAACTTTTCTACTGAGTTCTTTCATTTGTAGAATCAAAATTTATGTATCAAGGAAACTACCTTTTTGTGATTTTACCCTAAAATAATTTCTCTGATTTGTTATTTGACTTTGTTTATTGAGATTTTTCCCAGGCACACAAGTTTATAAGTAGTCAAAATTAAAGGTTATTATTTAATGGTTTTATTTTATTTCGAGACCAGTGTTACTCTGTTATTCAAGATGGAGTGCAGTGGCACAGTCTCAGCTTACTGCAACCTCTGCCTCCCAGGCTCAAGGAATCCCCCCACCTCAGCCTCCTGAGTAGCTGGGACTATAGGCGTTTGCCACCACACCCAGTTATTTTCTTATTTTCTGTAGTGACAGGCTCTCACTATGTTGTACAAGCTGGTCTCAAACTCCTGAGCTCAAGCTATCCACCCACCTCAGCCTCCTAAAGTGCTGGGACTATAGGGGAGAGCCAATCTTCCCAGCCATCATTTGAAATATGTCATAGTGGAAAAGCTTCTTCTTACTGAGGTTTAAAAAGAATCCACTCATAGTTCCTTTTGTTTTTTGGTTGGTGGAAAAACAGTTGAGGTTTTCACCATTGATTGTAATGGCGAAAATCTCAGTTGCTTTTGTACCAGTCTAATACTATAGTAGTTTTATTTTGTACTTTAAGTCTTTTGCTCTATTTGGAATTTATCCTGGTTTAAGGTATGAATATGGATCTAACTCTTTTTTTTTTGGATTATATTGATATAAATAGTAGCAACACGATTAATTAATAATCTAACTTTAATTCTCTGATTTAAGGGGCAGCTTTGTAGGGGCAATTGTATTAAGTTTTCTTTATAGATATTTAGATCTACTGGAGGTTGAGTTGAGATGCAGATGGTCTTTTTGACCAGTTGTACTTTGCATATCACCTCAACTAGTTCTCCTGCCTCAGCCCACAGAAGTGCTAGAACTACAAGTGTGAGCCACCACACCCAGCTTACTTCAAATTGTTGAAAGGTTTTTTTTGTTTGTTTGTTTGATTTATTTTATAAAATAAGTTAGCAAGGTCAGATGCTACTCGCCAATCTTGGTACATCTATTATTCATGTTCTTTTTTCTAATTTCTTAGGGGAGCCTTATGTTTCATAAACTTAGACCTGTAGATCAACTGAGGCATCTACTTGTGAGTAATGTGGGTGGAGATGGAGAAGAGATTGAAAGATTCTTTAAGTTACATCAGGTAATTATATGTACTTTTAGAAAATATGGCGATATTTTAAACAAACAGTGGGAGTCATAGTTTATGTAAATTGGGACTGGAATACTGTAGTAAACAGATAATCTTAAGAATATTCCTTTCTTTACCTAAGTAATTGTATGTGAACTGACATTTGAAAACAGGGTTAATGTAAGTCTTGTAGTAAGCTTTCAGATTTTTTTTCTCTGTTGTTGATAAATTCTTATTGAAGTCTGCTAAGTAATAGTTTCTTGTTCAAGTTATATGTTAAGTGCCTTTTCATTAAAGGCACAAGACATTTAGGGACAAGTTCTTTTTTGTTTGTTTTGTCTTAATGACATGAGGAAGAAACTTGAGGCAACAGTGTAGAGACCTGAGTATTTCAGAGCCGTAACTCAAATTGGTATGGTTAAAATTGCGATACAGACTCTGGATTCAAAGACCTACATTAAAAATCCCACCTCTATCACTGAGGTAAATTACTTGAATTCTCTTGGCTTCAGTTTCCTTATACATTATAATAGTATGTGGTATGAGGATTAATATATGCTAAACTTTTTAAATAGTACCTGACACATGGTAGATATTCAATGCTACCACTTATTGTTATTTCCTAGAAAGTAGAAAGACCACAGGAAGAAAACTGGAGACATAAGCCCGAAACTAAGTCAGAATCTAGGTGAAAAGGGAAAGAGAGCATCCTCTAATCCTGGTGCTTATGGTGAACTTAAAATAAAACCAGTTTAGTTTACTTGTCTTTTTACACTAACTGATTTCATTCAGTTAGCAAGTACTTATTGAACACCTGCTCTAGGCTAGATACAGACTTTAATACTGCATCTAGTAGTACACAAATCATTTTAAATGTTTATAGTTAATATAGGGCCAACATTCCTCTTTTTACAGGAAGACCAGGCTTGTGCAACGTGCCTTATACTTGCATGCTCCACTGCTGCCTGTGATAGAGAAGTATCTGCCTGGGCTACTCGGGCTTTCTTTAGGTATATGAAAGATTTGTTTGTTTGTTTACTGGGCTACTTTTTAAAAATGATTTTATTATCAATGTGATAAATTAAAGCCTTGCCAAACAGTTAAGTGACTATGTAGGCAAATTATCAAAATTCATTTGAAGAAGGGTGAAATCCGGAGAGATTATAATAGTAATAGAGGCAACTAAATTAGCATAGTTTATGCATTATTACTTTAACTCTGGATTCTGTTCTGTAACTTTTTGTCTACTTTCTACACTTCGTTCTACCTCAGTTACTATCTCATCTATCTTTTTTACTTCCCTATACGCTATGCCAATTCTGCTTAATATGTATCATTAATATTGAAGGCTTCTGAATTACTTTAAGGAAACTTGGTACCAAAGAGATATTTCTATTTGGAAAATATTTAAGAATTTGAAATGTAATTTTGTTAGAAATGTTTTTTAAAGTAGTATCTAACCATAACGTAGTATGAAAATTAAATGCCATCTACTCACAAAGTAAATTCTATGCATTGCATATCTTTTTCTTAGAAGTTACCAGAGTCCCATATAATTCTTCCTGGTAGCAGTTTCATGTCCACATTTACTGAATAAATATTTATTATAAGTCTTACACATATATTTCACTGTTAGCACAATACATTAAAGTCTGTAATGCTTAAAGTGTTTATTTAGAAGCTAAGCAGGAAAAGGAACAATTCCAGTGTTTAAGATGGATGGTTTGTTTTACTGAATAAACTCAACCTCTTGTCATAAAAATAGGTATGGTGGTGAAGCACAGATGAGATTTCCAACCACTCTTCCACCTCCAAGTAATGTTGGTCCCATGTTGGGGTCTCCTGTCTGTTCTAGTGAGTATGAAACATTGAACTGAAAATGCTTCTAATCGTTTGAGTCTTAGAACCTTTATAGCAATTTTTGTCAATAAACCTTTTTAAATTATGTTTTATTTACTGCTACTGTGTAATTGGTGAATACCTCTATAGATTCTGACTCTTAAAAGTGCTCTATTAATATTGAATCCTTAATGTATGGTAGGAAGCGAAGTAAGATGTGACCAATCACATTTACGTAACTCATTTGCCATATATTCAGAGGGAAATAAATGAACTCGCACATCAGTGTTTTCCAAGGTGGGAGTTGTTAGAAAGTTTCTAGGAGATGAGTCACTAATTCTTGCATATATCATGGACAATGTAACTCCTTTTTATGCTTAGAAATAGCTTCTGTGGCCAGGCGCAGTGGCTCACACCTGTAATTCTCACACTTTGGTTGGCTGAAGCGGGTGATCACCCGTGTTTGGTAGTTAGAGACCAGCCTGACTAATATGGTAAAACCCCATCTCTACTAAAAGTATAAAAATTAATTGGACTGTGGTGCTGTGAGCCTGTAATCCCAGATACTCAGGAGACTGAGATGGGAGAATCACTTGAACCTGGGAGGCAGAGGTTGCAGTGAGCTGAGATCATGCCACTGTACTCCAGCCTGAGCCACAGAAGGAGGCCTTGTCTCAAAAAAGGAAAAAGGAAATCGCTTCTGTACCTAGTTTTGATCACATTCACAACATTGAGATGTGCTTTTCTTACTCTTTATATTCTTCTTTCTCTTTTTAGGTTCTCCTGTTCCTAGTGGTAGTCCCTATCCAAATCCATCCTTTTTGGGAACACCACCTCAGGGTACTTCTTTTCTTTGTTTTGGATTGCTACTACTGTTCTTTTGAAGTGCTGTCATTATGAGTTATCCTTATTGCTTAGTGTGAAACAGATTAACTTGCCTTATTCCCTTGAAGGTAAATATCATTTTAGAATTGATGTCTAAGCAAGTTATGGCATTTAGATGTGAATCCTTTTATTTAGGAGGAGCTCCTCTTATATTATGCCTGGAAAGCCCATTATTAGGGTACCAGGATTAAATTGGACCTTAAAATCTGTGTAAGTAGTTCTGTTTCACTCTTAGCATTACAAGCAGTGATTGCAAATTTCTTTCCTTCACATCATTGTGAACACTTGCCAGTCTACCTGGGAGTGCGCATCCACATTTAAATCTCTCTTCTTATTGAGGAAAACCAAATTAAATATCTGTGTATTTCATTATTTTTGTAAATACCCCTACCTTTGTGTCTAGATACACAAACTTGGGTTATTGAGAATTCTGAATTTTATGTTTTCTATTTTTAAGAGATTTGTTTTTCTTATGTGTGTACAAGGTATACAGCCTCCTGCCATGTCAACTCCAGTGTGTGCTCTGGGAAACCCAGCAACTCAGGCCACAAATATGAGTTGTGTGACTGGACCAGAGATTGTGTACTCTGGAAAACACAACGGTATTTGCATTTACTTTTCTCGGATTATGGGGTAAGTTTGTCATGAAATAATGAACTGTTGCTCACCTTCTCCCATCTTGAATAGTTAAATATTTTTAACTCTGAATTTGGGACATCATTTATTCCTATTAAATTTTAGTTTTAGCTCGCTTGTTCATCAGCAAAACTTATCTGTCATTCAGTTTTTAGTATCTATATTCATTGCTGTGTTTTATTTCTCATACTCTCTCATGATCTATGTTTGTGTGCGTGTAGCATCAAAATATGGTTGTTCCTTAATGCAGGGGTTAGAGGGTGCCATCCACACTTCCTCAACCCTCATGCAGTCAGCAATTCACGTATAACTTTTGACTTTCTTAACTACTTATATCCTACTCTCTAGAAGCCTCACTGATAACATAAGTAATCAATTAACACTTATTTTGTATGTTTTTTGTGTTTTCTTTTTTCAACTTTTGCATGGTATGGGAGTGTGGGGACATCTGGTAAAAACCAGAAAACCACCTGCTAGACAAATTCTAAAACAGATGTAACACTGATATTTCGTGTTATGTGTTTTATACACTATATTCTTATAATAAAGTAAGCTAGAGAAGAAAATATTAAGAAAATCATAAGGAAGACAAAATATACTTACTATTCAATAAGTGCCAGTGGACCACCATAAAGGTCGTAATCCTTGTCTTCATGTGGAGTAATCCTTGTCTTCACACTGAGTAGGCTGAGGAGTAGGAAGAGGAAGGGTTGGTTTTGATATACTAGGGCAACATAGGTAGGAAAAATATCTGTATATAAGTGGACCCACACAATTCAAGCACATATTGTTTAAAGGTCAACTGTATATCTATGTACATATTGATGTACAGTGTTACAAACTTCCCCATAACTCAGTGACATGTGTCTACAGTTCAACAGGGCAGTTCTTGTCTTCCTGGGTTAACTCAAGGATAGGCAATCAGTTGTGAAGTTGAAGAGAGCTATGCTTATCTTGGCTAGACTCTCATATGTTCAAGGTTATATTTTCCTGCTGGTCTATAATGGCTCAGCTGAAACAGCTTGGTTGTTCTCCACATGGTTTCTTATCCTCCAGCAGGTCAGCCAAACATTATTTAGCTGGTGGTGGCAGGGTTTCTTGAGAAAGAGTAGAAACCTGCAAAAGCTGTATTCCTAGACTCAAAATTGGCTTACCATGCACTTTTTTGCCTCGTTCTCTTGGCCAGAGGGAAGCCGCAAGGCCAATCCAGATTTAAAAGGTGGGAAATAGACCAACTTTTAGGGGAAAGACATCAAAATCATACTGCAAAGGGGATAGATATAGGGAAGGATAAAGAAGGATAAGACTGTTTTTTTTTTTTGCAGTCTGTTACATCATCTTAGTTAGCTATCATGCCTAGTATATATTTCTCTTAGATTTGAGATGTATGATTTCAGTCATCTCATTTGCTTAAAAATGTGAAACAGTACAGAGCCCCTTTGTAAATTTCCTGTTGACAATTTATTATACAGAGACTTTTGATATTTCTTCAGCAATATTTCATTATCTGAAAAACTTAGGTACGTCAGGTATGAAAATTTTCTAGTATTCCATTCTTTTAGATAGCTTAGTAGAAAACATTAAATGAAACAATTGCTAAGTTTTAAAAACTGAATAAAGCCATTAAGTTTCTAGAAAAAGAAATTTATTTTAATCGTTTCTATTCATTTACTGTACAATTATTAAACATTTTTTGTTCCAGAAATATTTGGGACGCAAGCTTAGTTGTGGAGAGAATATTCAAGAGTGGCAACAGAGAGATCACTGCAGTAAGTGTGTATAATATCACTCTGTTATTTGTATGTAACCAGTTGATGGTATAAATGTTTAGATTGTTTCATGTTTCTTAATATTACATAAATAAGATGGCAATGGTTATTTTCTTTTTTTTTTTTTTTTTTTTTTTTTTTGGAGACAGTCCTTAACTGTCACCCAGGCTGGAGTGCAGTGGCCCAATCTTGGCTCACTACAACCTCCCCTGGGGTCAAGAGAGCCTCCCACGTCAAGCTCCTTGAGTAGCTGGAATTACAGATGTGCACCACCATGCCTGGCTAATTTTTTGTAGGCATGGGGTTTCACCTTATTGCCCAGGCTGTTCTCGAACTCAGACTCAAGTGATCCAACTGCCTTGGCCTCCCAAAATGCTAAGATTATAGGCAGTGGGGGTGGGGGGCAACATCTGGCAGGTTATTCTTTTATGTATGTGTTTGCATTCTTGACCAACAAACTGCTTACCTTCTGGTTTAAATTTCATCTCTAACATTGATTAACTATCTGAACATGAGTAAATTACTTAACATTTCCCAGCCTCATATCTCATGGTAAAATAAGGGGATAATATATCTCCCTCATAAGGTTGTCATGAGGGATAATTCGAGCAGCTTAATATTGCTCAGAATTTACTATTTAATACTTTTACATATTTATGAACAAAAACTCCATGGATCCAGCACTAATTTCCATGAATTTTTGTACTTTACAGACTACTCCCCCCAACCACGACCCAGATGGAGTTTTGCTCTTGTTGCCCAAGCTGAAGTGCAATGGCATGATCTCAGCTCACTGCAGTCTCTGCCTCCCGGGTTTAAGCGATTCTCCTGCCTCAGCCTCCTGAGTAGCTGGGATTATAGGTGCATGCCACCGGACCCGGCTAATTTTTTGTATCTTTAGTAGAGATGAGGTTTTACCATGTTAGCCAGGCTGGTCTCAAACTCCTGACCTCAGGTGATCTGCCTACCTTGGCCTCCCAAAGTGCTGGGATTACAGGCGTGAGCCACCGTGCCCGGCCATGAAATTTTTTTCAAAAATCTGGAGTATGAACACAACTCATTTTAAGCCTTTTTTCTTTTTGAAATGTAAAGATACCAAATATATATATATATATATATATATATATATATATATATATATGTTTTATTTATTTATTTATTATTTGTTTGAAATGTAGTCTCACACTGTTGCCCAGGCCGGAGTTTGATGGTGCGATCTCAGCTCATGCAACCTCTACCTTTTGGGTTCAAACAATTCTCCTGCCTCAGCCTCCCAAGTAGCTGGGATTACAGATGCCCACCACCATGCCGAGCTAATTTTTGTATTTTTAGTAGAGATGGGGGTTTTACCATGTTGGTCAGGCTGGTCTTGAACTTCTGACCTTGTGATCCACCTGCCTCAGCCTCCCAAAGTGCTGGAATTATAGGCATGAGCCACAGTTTCCAGCCTCAAATACATTTTTAAATGTGATGCTTCTAAAGTTCACTGGCTCGGCATGGTGGTCCATGCTTGTAACCCCAGTGCTTTTGAAGGCTTGAACCCAGGAGTTGAGAGCTACATAACCAGATCCTATTTTTACAAAATAAAATAAGATAAAAATTAGTCAGATGTGATAGCATGTGCCAGTAGTTCCAGCTAATTGGGAGACAGACAGGAGGATAACTTGAGCATAAGAAGTAGAAGCTGTAGTAATATATGATCCACACCACTGCACTTCAGGGCCAGTATGAGACCTTGTCTCTCAAAAAAAAAAAAAGTTCAAGTTTCTAAGAATAAGAATGTGTTTGCCTAACACAGTATATGATTCCATTTATATGAAGTTTAAAAACTTGCAAAATTAATCTATATTGATAAGAATAAGAAAAGTAGTTACCTCAGAGGTGGGATGACTGACGACTGCAAAGAAACATAGGAAACTTTCTTGGGTGTTGGAAATGGACTATACAAAAATGTAAAAGTAATCAAGATATTTGCTTAATATTTGTGTTTTACCATATGTAAATTATGCATCAGGGTTACTGGCAGGAGAGGCAGTATGTAGATATTCTTTAGTCAGATCAACAGGTGTGAATTCATACAAGAAAGAACTTTATTGTTTATAGAGATATCACTTCAAAATTAAAATTGTTTGTAACTATACAGAGGATGTGTTTTTAAACTTTTGAAAATTCTTTCATTTTTACAGATTGAAAGTAGTGTTCCCTGCCAACTGCTAGAGTCAGTGCTACAAGAACTAAAGGGTTTGCAGGAATTTCTAGACAGAAATTCCCAGTTTGCAGGAGGACCATTAGGAAATCCAAAGTAAGAATAAATAGGGTTTATTAATTCACTTTTTTTGTTTTCATTGTATTTTTTGTTGATAATTTACATACTATAAAATTATTTCTTTTAAAGTGTACAGTTTAGTGGTTTTTAGTGCATTTACAGTGTTATGCAACCATCACCACTGTCTAATTCTAGAACATTTTCATCGCACCAAGAAGAAACTCTGTGCCCATGACCAGCCATTATGATTCACAGACCTTCCCCCAGTCCCTGGCAACCACTAATCTACTTTCTGTCTCTACAGACCTGCCTATTCTGAATATTTATATAAATGGAAGTATGCAATAAATAACCTTTGGTGTCTGTTTCTTTCCCTAAGCATGTTTTCAAGGTTTGAATGTTGTAGCATGTATTAACTACATTGTCTCGTTTCTCAGTTTATCAGTTGATTGATATTTGGGTTATTTCACCTTTTTAGCTAGTAAGAATGCCGATATGAGCATTCCTGTGCAAGTTTTTGTGTGGACATGTGTTTAGGTGGACTCTTGCTCTGTTGCTCAGGCTGTAGTGCAATGGCGCCATCTTGGCTCACTGCAACCTCCACCTCCCGGGTTAAAGCAATTCTCCTGCCTCAGCCTCCCAAGTAGCTTGGATTACAGGCGTGCACCACCACGCCCAGGTAATTCTTTGTATTTTTAGTGGAAGCAGGGTTTCACCATGTTGACCAGGCTGGTGTCAAACTCCTGAACTTGTGATCCACCTGCTTTGGCCTCCCAGCATGCTGAGATTACAGGCGTGAGCTACTGTGCCTGGCCAAGAATAGACGTTCGGTTTTTTTGGTTTTGGGGGCATTTTTTTGAGACAGAATTTTGTTCTTGTCTCCCAGGCTGGAGTGCAATGGCACGATCTTAGCTCACTGCAACCTCAAGAATTTTCCTCCCTCAGCCTCCTAAGTAGCTGGGATTACAGGTACCCACCAACATGCCAAGCTAATTTTTGTATTTTTCTTAGAGATAAGATTTCACTATGTTGACCAGGATGGTCTCAAACTCCTGACCTTAGGTGATCCACCATGCCTGGCAAAAATAGACATTTGTAAGCCTCTAAAATAATTTGGACTTTTTGTTGGGGAAAAAAAAATCACATTGCATTTGAGGAGTCACATCACTCCTTAGAATTGTTAACAAGGTATTACAGTATAATCTTTTTAAAGCATATGTAGGCCAAGAAGAGTGGCTCACACCTATAATCTCAACACTTTGGGAAGCCAAGGCAGGAGGATTGCTTGAAGCCAGGGCCACTGCAAAAACAAACAAATAAATAATGAAGCATACATAAATATACAGTTATTTAAAAGCAAAAAATAGGGTCTAATTAAGTATACTTTTATGTAACATTGTTCATACTTAGTATGTGTGTATGTGTTTTGTTTTTTTGTTTTTTTTGTTTTTTTTTTTCCCGGAGACAGAGTTTTGCTCTGTCATCCAGGCTCGAATGCAGTGGTGCAATCTCGGCTCACTGCAACCTCTTATTACGAACTTCAGGCGATTCTTGCCTCAGCTTCCTGAGTAGCTGGGATTACATGTGTGCACCACCACACCTGGCTAATTTTTGTGTTTTTAGTGGAGATGCGGTTTCTGCATGTTGGCCAGGCTGGTCTTGAACTCCTGACCTCAAGTGATCCACCTGCCTCAGCCTCCCAGCCATAATTCCACCTGTAATCCTAGCACTTTGGGAGGCCAGGGCGGGCGAATCACCTGAGTTCAGAAGTTTGAGACCAGCCTGACCAACCTGGAGAAACCCTGTCTCTACTAAAAATACAAAATTAGCTGGGCACTGGGGCACATGCCTATAATCCCAGCTACTCAGAAGGCTGAGATAGGAGAATTGCTTAAACCCGGGAGGCAGAGGTTGCAATGAGCAGAGATTGCAGCATTGCACTGGGCAACAAGAGTGAAATTCCGTCTTCAAAAAAAACAATAATCAGAATCATAAAAATAAATAAAGTGTAAATATCTAGTATTTAGTTGTCTCCTGCAAAAGTTATGCCAGTTTCCTTTATTTTTAATCTTTGGAACAGTTTATCTTAAACAATATGTGGATCTATTTTGCCTTTGACTTTTTAAACCCAGTTTTAGATCTCTATCTTCTTTTAAGAGATAGGGTCTCACCCAGGCTGGAGTACAGTAGTACAATTACAGCACACTGCAGCTTTGACCTTCTGGACTCAGGCTATCCTCCCACTTCAGCCTCCTGAGTAGCTGGAACTACAGGCATGCACCACCACACGCAGCTGATTTTTTGTAGGGACAGGGTTTTGCTGTGTTGCCCAGGCTGGTCTCAACCCCTGGGCTCAAGTGATCCTTTCACCTCAACCTCTCAAAGCGCTGGGATTACAGGCATAAGCCACCATGCGTGGCTGTCTCTATCTTTTAAATAGGAGAATTTACCTCCTTCCCATTTTATTGGGATTAGTTAAAAGTGGTTTTTTGAGGCCTGGCGCGGTGGCTCAAGCCTGTAATCTCAGCACTTTGGGAGGCCGAGGCGGGTGGATTACGAGGTCAACAGATCGAGACCATCCTGGTCAACATGGTGAAACCCCGTCTCTACTAAAAATTACAAAAAATTAGCTGGGCACGGTGGCGCGTGCCTGTAATCCCAGCTACTCAGGAGGCTGAGGCAGGAGAATTGCCTGAACCCAGGGGGCGGAGGTTGCGGTGAGCCGAGATCGCGCCATTGCCCTCCAGCCTGGGTAACAAGAGCAAAACTCCGTCTCAAAAAAAAAAAAAAAAGTGGTTTTTTTTGTTTTGTTTGGCTTGGCTTTTTTTGAGGCAGAGTCTCGCTCTGACACCCAGGCTGCAGTGCAGTGGGGCAGTCTCGGCTCACTGCAGCCTCCACTCCCTGGCTCAGGCAATTCTCCTGCCTCAGCCTTCCAAGTAGCTGAGACTATAGCCCCACACCACTATGTCTGGCTAATTTCTGTATTTTTAGTAGAGACAGGATTTCACCATGTTGGCCAGGCTGATCTCAAATTCCTGACCTCAGATGATCCATCTACTTCAGACTCCCAAAGTGTTAGGATTACAGGCATGAGCCACTGCATCTGGCCTAGTTAAATGTTTGATTTTTTTTTCTCCCTATCCTGAATTTGTGTCTTTTGTTTTCTTTCTTCCCTTTCCCATTTCCTTATTGTAGTAGAGTGATCAGGCCTCTCTCTACCTTAAACACCAATTAAGAAATTCTACATAGGATTTTTCTTCCTCTATAAGTTAGTTTTAAATTCTAACAGACGTACATCTCAGTCAACATTAATAATTTCACAAAATCTATTAAATTTCCTGGCCTTCTACTGCTATCCATCTCCCTCCAAATTATCTGAAATTTTACTTGTCAGATGTTCTTAGGTGTTTTTTTTTCCCCTAACATTGTGGTCTTTTGTTAATACTCTAACAGTTCGTTAAATTTTACCGTTACATCTGCAATTATTTGTAATTGTTCTAATCTACTTCTAATTTCTCTTAATTATCAATCTCTCTGGTTTTTAGCAGGGTTTTTTTTCATTGATGTTTCTTGAATTTTCACATATGCAGTCTTATAATTTGCAAATAGAGATAGTTTTTTCTTTTCTAGCTCTAATTGCTTCTCTCTGCACAAACTAATCTCTCTAATCTCTCTCTGTCTCTCTCTCGCTCTCTCGCTCTCTCTCTCTTTCTTTGAGGCAATCTTGCTCTGTCATTAAGACTGGAGTGCAGTGGTGTGATCATTGTTCCCTGCAACCTCAAACTCAGCCTCTTGAGTAACTGAGGCTACAGGCATGTGCAGCCACACCTGGCTCTTTTTTCCTTCTTTTTCTGAGGGATAGAATTTCCTCACTGTGTTACCCAGGCTGGTCTCAAACTCTTAGCATCAAGTGATGCTCCCTCCTTAGCTTCCCAGAATGCTGGGATTACAGGCAAGCGTGAACCACTGCGTTCAGCCTTATTGAGGTGTTATTTTGTTTTTTTTTTGAGACAGCATCTCGTTCTGTTGCCCAAGCTGGAGTGCAGTGGCACCAACACGGCGCATTGCAGCTTTGACCTCTCAGCTTCAAGTGATCCTCCCCACTCAGCCTCCAAAGTAGCTGGGACTACAGGCACATGTTACCATTCTCAGCTAATTTTTTTATTTCCTATTTTGGAGATTCAAGGTCTCATTATGTTGCCTAGATTGATTTCACACTCCTGGGCTTAGGTGATCCTGTTTTGACCTCAAAAAATGCTGGGATTATAGGCATGAGCCACCCACAACCAGCCCTTCTTGAATATGTGTAACGTATTCAGTAAGTGAGTTTGTCAAATGTTTAGTGCATTTTACAGAGATGATCATATCATTTTCTTCTTAAATAATAGAATTTCATCAGTACATGTCCTAATTTCAACCAACCCCTAGATTCCTGTAACATTAGTTTCATTGAGTATGGAAATTATTTTAACAAATTTTTGAGGTCTACTTTATATACCACTAAATTCACTCAATTTTAAAAGTTCAGTTCAAATACTTTCAATACATTTATAGAATTGTGCAACCATCATCACAATCCAATTTTAGCACACTTCCATTATATAGGAGACATACCCTATGTCCATTAGCAGTCACTTTCCATTCCCACTTCTTAGCCTCAGACAGTTACTGATCTGTTCTATCTCTGTAGATGTGCCTATTCTTGACATGATGTATAAACAATCATGCAGTGTGTGGTCTTTGAGTCTGGCTTCTTTTACTTAGTGTGTTTTGGGGGCTCATGTTTGAGATTTATGTTGTGTATGTATTAATACTTTGTTCCTTTTTATTGCCCAATGAATATGGGATTTTAAGAGCATAGACCATTTCTCAGATCTTCGTATACACTTTACACCATTTTCTTCCCAAAAATGTTGTAGGTGAAATAGTACATTGCCTGTAGTTTATGATTCTCTTTCCTTTGTAAATGACTTGGTGTTTACTTTGAAAGTTTTTTTGTGTGTTTTTTGTTTTGCTTTTTCTCCCTATGTTACCGAAATTCAAAATCACAACATGATGTCTTTAGGTATATCTGCTTTACAGCTGTCAGCCTTTAGGATGAAATCTTGGCTTTGGTCAGTTTTCTTCTATTGATTTTTATATATTGTGGTACACACTGAGTGTTTTTCATCCAAGCTGTTTGGAACCAGTAGTGTTTTAGCTTTCATGTTTTTTGGACTTGGAAATATTTGGATTATACTTTGATTGAGCATCCCTATTCCAAAAATTCAAAATGCTCCAATGAGCATTTCCTTTGAGCATTGTGCTGATCTGCAAAAAGTTTCAGATTTGGGGGCATTTCAGATGTTAGATTTTTCTCTTAGGGATACTCAATCTATATTTCTTTTTTTTTTTTTTTTTTGAGACGGAGTTTCACTCGTCACCCGGGCTGGAGTGCAATGGCGCGATCTCGGCTCACTGCAAGCTCCGCCTCCTGGGTTCAAGCAATTCTCCTACCTCAGCGTCCTGAGTAGCTGGGATTACAGGCACGTGCCACTAGGCCCAGCTAATTTTTTGTATTTTTTTAGTAGAGACGGGGTTTCACCATGTTGACCAGGATGATCTCGATCTCTTGACCTCGTGATCCACCCGCCTCGGCCTCCCAAAGTGCTGGGATTACAGGCCTGAGCCACTGCGCCTGACACTCAATCTATATTTCTTCTGTCCCATTCTTTTTGGAGTATCATACTAACTCTCTTGTATCTAACTTGTTTCTTCCATAATTTCCTTCCTTTTCTCTTTTACTCCCTTTTTGCTTGATCTTTTTTCTTCTATAGATTAGGAAATTTATAGCTGATGCTCTCGATCATTTAATTGATTTAATCTCAGTCATTTTAGGTAGCATCTGTGTAGTCTGTCTCAAATTTTTTCTGGTCATAATATTTTTAATTCCAAGAATTCTTTCTTAAATTTGTCGATTTTTTTTTTTTCATGGCAACCAGCCCTTATGGTGATAGTTGCCCAACCTTACGAATTATTTTTTTAAATTATCCATGTTAAATGTTTGAATTATACTGTATAAATATGTGTTATATCTCAATAAAGCTGTTATAAACACACATATTCTGCAATGTCTGTTTCAGTACTGCTAAAGTGCAGCAGAGGCTGATAGGATTCATGCGTCCTGAAAATGGAAATCCCCAGCAAATGCAACAGGAGCTGCAGAGGAAGTTTCATGGTAAATTACTGCTTCTCAGCAGTTAAGTGTAAATGATCCCAGTAAAATTGTATCACTTCAATAGGAAAATTCACTCATTTTAAATGTTCAGTTCAATGACTTTGTCTGTACGCATATATTTGTAATGAAAATACCAGTGTGACTGGGTCCAGGGGTAGTGGCACATGCCTGTAATAACAGCACTTAGTAAGGCTGAGTTGGGAGGATCACCTGTGCCTGGGAGATGGAGGTTGCAGTGAGCTGAGATCATGCCACTGCACTCCAGCCTGGGTGACAGAGTGAGACCCTGCCTCAAAAAAAAAAAAGTGTAATTGGGAAAGTAGGATAATATGGATATTGTATATTTCCCTAACTCTTTTTAGCATACACATTTTTGTTCCCTCCTCCATCAGAAAACATGATACACACCTATTCATTATTATTTTTTATTGTGGTAAAATATATATATATCATAAAATTTAACATTTTACTATTTTTAAGTGTACAGTTTAGTGGCATTCAGTATATTCATTTTATGTACCCATTACCAATATCCATCTCCAGAACTTTTCTCATCTTCTCCAAGACGACACTCTGGGGTGGATGCAATGGCTCACGCCCGTAATCCCACCACTTTAAGAGACCAGGACAGGTGAATCACCTGAGGTCAGGAGTTTGAGATAAGCCTTGCCAACATGGTGAAACCCTGTCTCTACTGAAATACAAACAATTAGCCAGACATGGTGGCGCATGCCTGTAGTCCCAGCTGCTCAGGAGGCTGAGACAGGAGAATGGCTTGAACCTGGGAGGCGGAGGTTGCAATGAGCCAAGATCGTGCCACTGCACTCCAGCCTGGTGACAGAGCCAGACTGTGTCTCAAAAAAGAAAAGAAACAATAACTCCCCATTTTTTTTTACCCTATCCCAGGTCCCTGACAACCACCATTCTATCTGAATATCTCTGAATTTTACTACTCAGCGTACCCTATTATAATGAAATCAAATTTTTCATTTTGTGACAGGCTTATATCACTTAGCATACTCTCCTCAAAGTTCATCCATGTTGTAACATGTGTCAGAATTTTCTTCCTTTTTAAGACTGAGTAATTTCTATTGTGTGTATGTGTATATGTGCACACATACCCACATACCACACTTCCTTTATCCATTTATCTGCTAATAGATCCTGAGTTACTTCCATTTTTTGGCTATTGTGAATAATGCTATTAATGTGGTTGAACAAATACAAATTAAAGTCTCTGCTTTCAGTTCTTTTGCATATATCCACGGAAGTGGAATTGCTATAACGTGGTTATAATATTAATTCTATCAATTTGTAATGAACTGTTAAATTTTTTGATGAACTGCCATGCTGTTTCATAGCAGCTACTGCATTTTATTTTTATTTCTTTTTGAGATGGAGTTTTGCTCTTGTTGCCCTGGCTGAAGTGCAATGGTGCAATCTGCACTACAACCTTCACCTCCCTGGTTCAAACAATTCTCCTGTCTCAGTCTCCCGAATACCTGGGGTTATGGGTGTATGCCACCACACCAAACTAGTTTTTGTATTTTTAGTAGATACAAGGTTTCACTATGTTGGCCAAGCTGGTCTTGAACTCCTGACCTTAGGTGATCCGCCCACCTTGGCCTCCCAAAGTGCTGAGATTACATGCGTGAGCCACCACACCCAGTCAATAGAACTTTCTTAAGACTCAGCCATTTACTTTTGTCCCAAGCTACTGTCTTTCCTTCTCAGAACCCTAGATTTCTATTCATCGTTTTGCAGATTCTTTTTTGTCTTTTAAATTTTTTCTTCTTTTAAAAAGAAGTTGAAATTTTTTGTCTATCCTCTAATTTTGTTTTTGTTTTGCTCTATGTTATTTTGTTTTGAGACAGAGTCTTGCACAGTTGCCCAGGCTGGAGTGAAATGGTGCTATCTCAGCTCACTGCAACCTCCACCTTCCGGGTTCAAGCAGTAATTGTGCCTCAGACACCTGAGTCACTGGGATGACAGGCGTGTGCCACCATGCCTGGCTAATTTTTGTATTTTAGTAGAGATGGGGTTTTGCCATGTTGGCCAAGCTGGTCTCAAACTCCTGGCCTCAAGTGATCTGCCCTTGGCCTCTTAAAGTACCGGGATTACAGCCATGAGCTACTGTGCCCAGCCACCATTTTGCAATTTTTTTTTTCTGAGCCACTAATGATATTTCAGTATGGCTTTGAGATTGACATTGCTAAACATTGGTGAGGATTGATACAAACAGGAGCATTTGAATTGCTGGCAGTTTATACTGAAATAACTGCTTTGGAGAGCAATTTGATCATATTCAGTAAAAGCTAAACATATAGTTTTAAAGGTGATGGTGTCATTTCTAGGTATATATCCTTAGAGGAGTTCTTTTTCAAACTTTTTCCGACAGTAAGAAACATATCTTACATGGCTGGGTGCAGTGGCTCACACCTGTAATCCCAGCACTTTGGGAGACCAAAGCGGGCAGATAATTTGAGGTCAGGAGTTTAAGACCAGCCTGCCCAACATAGTGAAATTTCGTCTCTACTAAAAATACAAAATTAGCTGGACATAGTGGCTCATGCCTGTAATCCCAGATACTCAGGAGGCCAAGGCAGGAGAATCACTTGAACCTGGGAGGAGGAGGCTGCAGCGAGCCAAGATCATACCACTCCACTCCATCCTGGGCAACAGAGCGAGACTCTATCTCAACAAAGAAAAAAGAAAGAAAGAAATATGTTTTACATTATGACTCAGATGTTTAAAAACAAACATACAAACAGAAATAGATTTTTCTGAAATAATTCTACCTGCTTTATACTCTCATATTTCTTTCTTTTTAAAATTATTTTCTACTTTCTATATTTGAGGGGTAAGGGAAAAGTTATAATGACTAAATTGATTTCATGACTCACCAGCGCACATTGATGTAGGGTTTAAGAAACTCAGTCCTAGCCTAACTGGACTATACTTTCTAGGGGATGTTCTTTAAGAATATTTTTTGCGGCCGGGCACGGTTGCTCACGCCTATAATCACAGCAGTTTGGGAGGCCGAGGCGGGTGGATCACAAGGTCAAGAGATCAAGACCATCCTGGTCAGCGAGGTGAAACCCCATCTCTACTAAAAATACAAAAATTAGCTGGGCATGGTGGTGTGCACCTGTAGTCCCAGCTACTTGGGAGGCTGAAGCAGGAGAATTGCTTGAACCCAGAAGACAGAGGTTGTGGTGAGCCGAGATCGTGCCATTGCACTCCAGTCTGGGTAACAACAGCGAAACTCTGTCTCAAAAAACGGAATATTTATTGCATCACTGTTTTAGTATCAAAACACTGGAAACAGTCTAATGTCCTCCACATGGAAAATGGGCTAAATTGTGGTATGCTTACATGATGGAACACTCAGCAATGAAAATAAATGTACTAGATTTATATTTATCAATGCAGATAGCCTGTGGACATGTAACTGAGTAGAAAGAGCGATGGTGTATTTGTTAAAAAATACAGCAATATTTTTATGGTTTATGTGTACATACACAAACACAGAAGTATATATATATGTACATGGAGAAGATAAAAACATAAATACTACTGATAATCATGGTTGTCTGTGATGGAGGCTGGGAGAAAAACAATGGAGATTTCAACCTTAACTATAGTTTTTAATTCGAAATAAAGCAACGTGACCTATGTTATTTTATAATAGTTTATTAGTTGTTTTCTCATTAGAGGCTCAACTAAGTGAAAAGAGTTCACTTCAGGCAATTCAGCAGTTGGTTCGAAAATCATACCAGGCCCTGGCTTTATGGAAACTTCTTTGTGAACATCAATTCACTGTCATTGTGGCAGAACTTCAGAAGGTAAGGTTTTTAAACTTTTTTGTGATTATACTATTAATACTGTCTTTGGATTTTTTTTGCATGAGAATTTTGGCTTTGGGAGGCAATTATTTTGGGAAGCGTTTAGGTTATATTACAGGAAAATTGCACAAAAGTGTAGTACCGTGGGGGGCCTATTTTGTCAAAGCCACAGGATTTTACAGTGTATGAGAACTTTATAGATGTCTGTGAATGAAATCTTACTTTATAAAACATATTTTTTTAAAACAGTGGACTCTAACCTTTCTTTGGGCTACAGATCCTTCTGAGAATCTGATAAAAGTGATTTCTCACTACCCTTAAATGTAGATTGACATAGACACACAGACTTTCGAATATAGTTTCAAAGGTCCCAACAGCCTAAATTAAATACTCTTGGCTGGGCACCATGCCTCATGCCTGCAATCCCAACAGTTTGGGAGGCCAAGGCAGGAGGATCATTGAGCCCAGGAGTTCAAGACTATCCTGGGCAAAATGGCAAGACCCCATCTCTACTACAAATAAAAAATAAATTAGTCAGGTGTGGTGGCACATGCCTGTATCCCCAGCTACTTGGGAAGCTGAGGAGGAGCGCTTGAGCCTGGGAGGTCGGGGCTCTGGTTAGCCATGATTGTGCCACTGCACGCCATCCTGGGTGGCAGAGTGAGAACCTGTCTCACAAAAAAAAAAAACAAAACTCTTACTTTAAAGGAAGATGTTTATCACTGTAGGAAATGAATGGTTCACATTTCTTTTGCTGTTTACATTTGAATCCTTTTCTTGTTTTTTTGTTTATTTTGAGACAGAATCTTGCTCTGTCGCCAAGCTGGAGTGCAGTGGCATGATCTCAGCTCACTGCAACCTCTGCCTCCCGGGTTCAAGCAATTCTTCTGGCCTCAGCCTCCTGGAGTAGCTGGGACTACAGGCACGTGCCACCACCCCCAGCTAAATTTTTGTACTTTAGGTAGAGACAGAGTTTCGCCATGTTGGCCAGGATGATCTTGATCTCTTGACCTTGTGAGCCACTGAGCCTGGCCCACATTTGAATCCTTTCTAAGGATAAGGATAATCAACATTAATCTAAATGTTAGATACGATATAAAGAGGAAATGTATTCCTTCCTTTTGTTTAATTGTGAACATTTCTAAACATATATGAAAGTAGAGCAAAAACTGTAACTCCCACATACATTTGACTCATTCAGCATTTTCAAGATACTGTATTTCTAAAACAAAAAATAGATAAGACAGTTCCTTGGATAACAACAATGTCATTATCACGGCTACCAATTTTTTTTGAGACAGAGTCTCACTGTGTCACCCAAGCTGGAGTGCAGTGGCGTGATCACGGCTCAATGTAGCCTTGATCTCCCTGGGCTCCAGTAATTGTCCTACTTCAGCCTCCCGAGTAGCTGGGACTATAGGCATGTACCACTACACCTAGCTGATTTTTGTATTGTTTTGCAAAGATGGGGTTTCACTGTATCTCCAGGCTGGATAGTTGACAAAATTAACTATCAATATTTGATTAGCCTTTAAAATAGTGAAACTTCTCTGCCTTAAAAATGTCTTTTCACAGATTGGTTCAATCAGATCAGGATCTAAACGGTTTAATTGGTTCACTCATGGTTTGTCTTTTTCTTTTCTTGCTTGTCGCCTTGTAGAAATCTAGGCATCAATCCAGTAGAATGTCTAGCATTCTAAGAACATTCTAAGGTTTTTTTTTTTAAACCCGCTTTGTAGTGACCTTCTTCCTTTATCTCCTGCATTTTGTATAAAATGAAAGTTTACTATATATGCTTGATTTGGTTCAGGTCCTTTTTTGAGGAATAATAGAATACTTCATAGGTAGTGGTTTGTTCATCAGACCATCTTAGAAGACACAAAAGGTTTGGTTGTCTTACTTTTTAGTGATACTAAGTTGGATGTTGGATTCAAGTAGTAAGTCTAATACTGCCATTGTGGAATTCTCCATCAGACTTTAATGATCCATTGATAATCATTTCTGGAATTTGTTATTTCATTTATAATTACAAAATATATTTATTTATTTATTTTAATAATTTAATAATTTTTTAATATTTATTTAATTTAATTTTTTTTGAGACAGTGCCTCATTCTGTCACCCAGACTGGAGTACTGCGGCTCAATCTAAGATCACTGCAACCTCTGCCTCCCAGGTTCAAGCAATTCTCTTTCCTCAGCTTCCCAAGTAACTGGGACTATAGGCATGTGCCACTACGCTTGGCTAATTTTTCTATTTTTAGTAGAGACAGGGTTTTGCCATGTTGGCCAGGCTGGTGTTGAACTCCTGACTTCAGATAATCCACCCACCTTGGCCTCCCAAAGTTCTGGGGTTACAGGCATGAGCCACTGTGCCCGGCCAAAAGAGTAATATTTTAAGTCTGTGATTCCTTCCTTCGTTATTAACTGTAATTCTGTAAAAAAAAATTTTTTTTCTTTTATGGATATTTGATTACTCTAAAATGTTTAATTTTGACTCTTATATACCATTTTTCAAAGTTAGAAGGCAATCTCCTAATTCTTTCCAGTAGTGTCCAATGAATAGTTGTGGCTTTTCATTGGCGGTTCTGTTTATTTTAAGCACATACTGTTTTTTTCGTTTTAAAAACAGTTTAAAAAACTGTTTTGCACCTGTAATCCCAGCTACTCTGCAGGCTGAGGCAGGAGAATCGAGTGAACCAGGGAGGCAGAGATTGCAGTGAGCCGTGATTGCACCATTGCACTTCAGGCCAGGCAACAGCGTGACACTCCATCTTAAAAAAAAAAGGAATTCTGCCAGTATTTAGGAAAAAGTAAAATGTAAGCGCAAGATGTTCAAATGTAGCCAACTGATTGTTTTTTCCTTTTTATAACCAAAGCCAGGAGATTTGGCTCTACCTAAGCTTTACTTTTTTCATTTGGAAAGTGAGAGTTTTGGACCTAGATCTACTGTAGGTTCTTTTTCAACTCTGTATGATTTTATGTAAGTTTGCAAACATTTTTTTCTACTAATTAACATATTTTTGCTCTTCAATTATAGAGTCTGTTAATGTTTAGGTTATTTTAAGTTATTAAAATAATTTCATTATGTTGAGAAATATAATATTTCTGTAATTATGACAGAAAAATGTTTTCTTTTATGCGCCTAAGGAACTTCAAGAGCAGCTGAAGATCACCACCTTTAAAGATCTTGTAATCAGGGACAAAGAACTCACAGGGGCATTAATTGCTTCTCTTATCAACTGCTACATCAGAGATAATGCCGCTGTTGATGGCATTAGTCTACATTTACAGGATATCTGCCCACTTCTGTATAGCACTGATGATGCAATTTGTTCTAAGGTATGATACTTTATTACCTATTTCATTGTTTGTTACAGGAGATATCATGGTATGAGGAACCATCTTGTTTTACTTAATATAGGAGCTCAGTTAGATCTCCTTACCTCTCGTAGCATCCGAATCCTCATCTAAGAAAGGGGTTGGAATATGTGGTTTCTTAAACCATGTGTATACTCTTAAACTTAACTGTTCTTTTTGTAAATATTTTTATTTATTTATTTGACACAGGGTTTCACACTGTTGCTTAGACTGTAGTGCAGTGCTGTGATCATAGCTTACAGGAGCTTCTAAGTCCTAAATTCAAGTAGTCCTCCCAGATAGCTGGGGGCTACAGGTATGCACTGGTACACCCAGCTAGTTTTTTTGCTTTTTGTAAAGACGGGTTTCAATTTGTTGCACAGGCTGGTCTTGAACTCTTGGCTTCAAGCAGTCCTCCTGCCTTAGTCGCCCATAATGCTGGGATTACAGGTGTGAGCCATCATGCCCAACCTTCCTTTAAGTTTTTCATAAGTAATTTTTTTTTTTGTCACCCAGGAAGGAGTCCAGTGGCATGATCTCAGCTCACTGCAACCTCCACTTCCCAGGTTCAAGTGATTCTCGTGCCTCAGCCTCTCAAGTAGCTGGGAGGCATGCACCACCACACCTAGCTAATTTTATATTTTTAGTAGAGACAGGGTTTCACCATGTTGTCTAGGCTGGTCTTGAACTCCTGACCTCAGGTGATCGGCCCACCTCAGCCTCACAAAGTGTTGGGATTGCAGGCATGAGCCACTGCGCCCAGTCCATAAGAATCTTTGACAGTGTTTCTAGGCCATATTTAAAAAGCTAAAGGTGAAAATATAAGAAAAAAATCACTAAATTTAGAAATTAAGGAAATGTAACAAATTAGGGAATACTTTATCTCCTTAGAAGTTAAGGAAGAGTACTAAAACTTTAAGTAAATCTTTTGGTGAATTAGAGTTAATGGGGGCATTTTTATTGATCCTTTCCTACAGGTGGAAAAAATAGTGTCACATGGACTGCCTTATTGATAAGGCAAGAGAATTACCAGACAAAAGCTCTCTTGCTTAACATATTTGTGAAAGGAATTAAGAATAGCTAGGAATTTTTGGTCAAAAACTTTTCTGCCTAAAATTAAGAAGTAAGTTTGTAGACTTGTTTTCATTTTTAATGGTAATAATAATATATAAATTTAGACAGAGACTAAAACTTAGTTGACAGAATCATCTGTCTGCTTGATTTTATATCTTTTTAAGTTCTTGTTTTCTCCTCTTTCAGGCAAATGAGCTTCTCCAGCATTCTCGGCAAGTTCAAAATAAGACTGAAAAAGAAAGAATGTTAAGGGAATCATTAAAAGAATATCAAAAAATCAGCAATCAAGTGGACCTTTCCAATGTTTGTGCTCAGTATAGACAAGGTGAAAAATAAGATGTTCATCATATCTTTAACTCAAAACACAAGTGATAGTGTATGAATGAAGCAAGCTAATGAAGCCTCTTTCCAGATCCACATCTTCTTTCAACATCAGAGGCCACATGAAAGGAGTAGGAATGTGGTATCATTGTATTATCGTGTTGCAATATTTGATTACTACACTGACTTGCAGAAGCTATAATGTTCTTTTTATCTCTTGAAATGTGTAACTTTTTGTTTTGTTTTTTGAGATGGAGTCTCATTCTGTCAGCCAGGCTAGAATGCAGTGGTGTGCTCTTAGCTCACTGCAGCCTCCGCCTCCCTGGGTTGCAGCAATTCTCTTGCCTCAGCCTCCCAGGTAGCTGAGATTACAAGGATGCACCACCACACCCAGCTAATTTTCATATTTTTATAGAGACATGGTTTCACCATGTTGGCCAGGCTTGTGTAGAATTCCTGACCTCAGGTGATCCACCCACTTTGGCCTCCCAAAGTGCTAGGCTTACAGGTGTGCACCACTGCACCTGGCCAAAATGTATAATTTTTTAACATTAAAGTTTAAGTTCTTGCTCAGTTAAATTACTGTATGTTTTAGATTGCTTTCTGGATTATATTTATTTTTCAGATATTTAAAATTTTTCATAAAGTTCTAAGGTATAATCTGCCTACTTTTTAAAAAATTACTTTAAATCAAATTTAACATAATGTAAAGGCTGTAACTGTTGCACAGGTATTTTGAATCCCAAGGTTATTCCCCCCAGTAGGGAACTAACACTCTTCTTTTTTGTTATTTGAAATATGATCTTTTTTCCTAATGACGAAGTATATTTAACAGGTGCCTTTTAGGCCTGTTAAGACTTTTTTCTTCTGAAGACTTATTAGAAATATTTTATGTCAGCAGGGTGGCTATTGTACAGTAGAGATATAACCATGATTATTATTTTTATGTGCCAGCTAAGGAAAAATGTGTCCAACTTAGTAGTAAATCATAGGTCTTCATTCTTTTCTTTCCCATCAGTGCGTTTTTATGAGGGTGTGGTCGAGCTTTCTCTTACGGCTGCAGAGAAAAAAGATCCTCAAGGTCTTGGACTTCATTTCTATAAACATGGAGAACCAGAAGAAGACATAACTGGACTTCAGGCCTTCCAAGAAAGGTACATTCCATTACCTTATCAGATTGTCATCTTTATGGATACAGACTTTTCTTTGAATAAAGTTTTCTATTTTTTATTTTTGAGATGGAGTCTTGCTCTGTCACTCATGCTAGAGTGTAGTGGTGAAATTATGGCTCACTGCAATGTCTACCACCCTGATTCAAGCTATTCTCCTGCCTCAGCCTCCTCTCCCAAGTATCTGGGATTACAGGCGTGTACCACCACGCCTGGCTAAATTTTGTATTTTTGCTAGAGATGGAGTTTCCCTACATTGGTGAGGCTAGTCTTGAACTCCTAAGTAACCTCAAGTGATCCACCTGCCTCAGTCTTGCAAAGTGCCAGGATTATAGGCATCAGCCACCGCATCTAGCCTCTTTGTGTAAAGGTTTGATTGATAGTATTAGGCAAATCATATTTCAGTTGTAACCGTTGTAAAATTGAATTATCCTTTTGCCTTTACTTAAAAGTGACTTCTTGTTTTATCAGAGGCCTGAATACGTTATAATTCTTTTTTTTTTTTTTTTTTTTCTTCTGAGAGTCACCCTGGCTGGAGTGCAGTGGTACGATCTCACTGCAACCTCCTTCACCTAGGTTCAAGCAGGTTTCCTGCTTCAGCCTATCGAGTAGCTGAGATTACAGGTGCACACCACCATGGCTGGCTAATTTTTGTAGTTTTAGTAGAGATAGGATTTCACCATGTTGGCCAGGCTCATTTCGAACTCCTGACCTCAAGTGATCCACCTGCCTCAGCCTGCCAAAGTGCTGGGATTATGGGCATGAGCCACCATGCCCTGCTCATAGGTTATAATTCTTAGCCTAGAGGTAAAATGTTATTCTGATGAGAATTCTTGAATGCTTATGAATGTTTTTTAACGTGCCTCTGTGATTCTTCTGAGATTTATTAATTTTTTTAATGGGATTACTTACTTGAAAACAAAACTAGTTATTTTTTTTCTCAAATTTTCGGTTCTGATGATTAGTATTTCATTTTAATCTTTTTTTTTTTTTTTGAGAGAGAGAGTTTTTGCTCTTCTTGTCTAGGCTGGAGTGTAGTGGTGTGATCTTGGCTCACTGCAACCTCCACCTTCTGGGTTCAAGGGATTCTCCTCCCTCAGTCCCCTTAGTAGCTGGGATTACAGGCACGCACCACCAGCTCTGGGTAATATTTTTGTATTTTTAGTATAGACAGGGTTTCATCATGTTGGGCAGGCTGGTCTCAAACTCCTGACCTCAGGTGATCCGCCTGCCTCAGCCTCCCAAAGTGCTGGGATTGTAGGCCTGAGCCACTGTGCCCAGCCTAGGATTTCATTTTAAAGGACAATTTTTAAGTATTCCGAAATTAGTTGAGACTGTTAAAAAGGAAATATATGTCATTAAAAGAAATACAGGCTGGCTGTGGTGGCTCACACCTGTAATCCCAACACTTTGGGAGGCTGAGGTGAATGGATCATGAAGTCAGGAGTTTCAGACCAGCCTGGCCAATATGGTGAAACCCCATCTCTACTAAAAATACAAAAATTAGCCAGCTGTGGTGGCGCACACCTGTAATCCCAGCTACTTGGTAGGCTGAGGCAGGAGAATCGCTTCTACCTGGGAGGCAGAGGTTGCAGTGAGCTGAGATTGCACCCCTGAACTCCAGCCTGGGCATCAGAGCAAGACTTTGTCTTGGAAAAGAAAAGAAATATGTAACCTTTCTAAAACATATACATATATGGAGGGTTTTTTGTTTTGTTTTTGTCTTTGAGACAAAGGCTCATTCTGTCTCCTGGGCTGGAGTTCAGTGGCACCATCATAGATCACTGCAGCTTTGACATTTTGGGCTCGAGTGATTCAGTGATCCTCCTACCTCAGCCTCCTGAGTAGCTGGGCCTATAGGCACATGTCACCACACTCAGCTAATTTTCTTATCTTTTTAGTTTCTGTTGAGACAAAGCCTCACTACATTGCCCAGGCTGAACTTTAACTCCTGGGCTCAAGCAATCCTTCTCAGTCTCCAAAGTGCTGGGATTACAAGTGTCAGCCACCACACCTGGGGAAAACGTATTATTTTATTACTATATTTAATGACTTTACCCTTTTATGTTTAGCCAAACACTTCTCAAACTTACTGAAAAAGTATATGGCTTGTATTATTTTAAATGCCAAATATGTACATATACTCTCCAAAATAATCTTGTAATCCTTGTGTATACTTTAATTAGGTAAGATAAATCAATAGCTTTCTTTCTTTTGTTCTTGTTTGTTTTGTTTTTGAGATTTTTTGTTTTTGAGACAGGGCCTCATTCTGTTGCCTGGGCTGGAGTGCAGTGGCATGATAATAGCTCACTTGGCAGCCTTGAATTCCTGGGCTCAAGCCTCAACCTCCCAAGTAGCTGAGATTACAGGTGCATACCACCATGCCTAGTTAATTTTTGTTTGTTTTGTCTTTTGAGACAGGGGCTTGCTATCACCCAGGCTAGAGCAGTGGCACGATCTCAGCTCACCTCAACCTCTGCCTCCCAGGTTCAAGTAATTCTCCTGCCTCAGTCTTCTGAGTAGCTGGGACTACAGATGCGTACTACCACACCCAGCTAATTTTTGTATTTTTAGTAAAGATGAGGTTTCACCATGTTGGCCAGGCTGGTCTTGTACTTCTGACCTCTGGCAATCTGCCTGCCTTCACCTCCCAGAGTGCTGGGATTACAGGTGTGAGCCACTGCACCCAGCCAATTTTTGTATATTTTTGTAGAGACAGGGGTCTCACTATGTTGCCCTGGCTAGTCTCCAACTCCTGGCCTCGAGCTATCCTGCCTTGACCTCCCTTGTGCTGGCATTACAGGTATGAGTCACCAGACTTGCCATCATTTGCTTCTAGTTAAATAATGTAATTGCTCCTTTTCCATTCTCTTTCAGATTAAACAGTTACAAGTGCATTACAGACACACTTCAAGAACTGGTAAATCAAAGTAAGGCTGCTCCTCAGTCTCCCAGTGTACCCAAAAAACCTGGTCCTCCAGTGTTGTCATCTGATCCAAATATGCTGAGTAATGAAGAAGCAGGACATCATGTAAGGGACATAGTATATTTTCATTCTGAGAATACACTGTTTAGAAGTTTTGCATGGTAATGGTGGCACAGTCATCTTCGGAAAGGTAGTAGTTCTTAGAAGTTATCATGTAAGGATTCTTGATTTCTTACCAGGGTTTATAGGGCTGAAGGGTTATGATGCCCAGAAAGAGAGTCTTTAACCGCTAATTTTTACTATTTTCTTTATTTTAGTTTGAACAAATGCTTAAATTGTCACAGCGATCCAAAGATGAGCTCTTTAGTATTGCCCTTTATAATTGGCTAATACAAGCTGATCTTGCAGATAAGCTGCTACAGGTAAATCTTTTTTTATTGTAGTCGTGTTAATTATTAAGGAGCATAACTCAATGATTTGAGCACATAGATAGATGTAAAAAATTCTTATTCTCATCTCATACCTATCAGATGTTAACATAAAGCCAAGTAATGCAGCATCTTTTCCTAAGGGGCAAAGTAAGCTACTGCTCCAGTTTTCTTGTTAATTCAAAGCTGATTGGGATAGTTTATATTGTGGGGTAGAAATCACTGGATTTATGAGTCCTGAAGCACATCTTAACTCCGTTGTTAAGTCTCTATGTGACTTCACATATGTCCTTTTACTACTCTAAGTCTCAGTGTTCCACAATCTATTTCATGAATACATAGCATTTAATAATTTCAAGAATGCGGGCCGGGCGCGGTGGCTCACGCCTGTAATCCCAGCACTTTGGGAGGCTGAGACGGGTGGATCACGAGGTCAAGAGATCGAGACCATCCTGGTCAACATGGTGAATCCCTGTCTCTACTAAAAATACAAAAAATTAGCTGGGCATGGTGGCGCGTGCCTGTAATCCCAGCTACTCCGGAGGCTGAGGCAGGAGAATTGCTTGAACCAGGAGGCAGAGGTTGCAGAGAGCCGAGATTGCGCCATTGAACTCCAGCTTGGGTAATAAGAGCGAAACTCCGTCTCAAAAAATAATAATAATAATAATAATTTCAAAAATGCTTTCCAGCTCAGTGTCTAGGAATCAATAGCTGTGTTCTCTAAGTTTAAGACTTTATAATTTTATAGTAAATTTCTTTGTTTTGTTTTTGAGACAGGTCTCACTCTGTCACTTAGGCTAGAGTGCAGTGCAGTGGCACGATAATGGCTCACTGTAGCCTCGACCTCCCTAGATTCAGGTGATTCTCCCCCTTCAGCCTGCTGAGTAACTGGAACTGTAGGCCCGCACCACCACACCCAGTTGATTTTTGTAGAATTATTATAGAAATTCGTATGCTAACTGTGGTAAAACAAAAATTGTTTGTAACAAGAAAATTTGCCCTCTCTTTTATCTGTTAGTGTTGGATTATAATTTTGCTTGTTTTTATGAAACAAGTCACAGTTGTAGTTGACTTTTAAAATACTATATTTTTCCTACATTATTTGTAGGTGGTTAGAAAATTTTTCTGAATAACTATGTTATTTCTAGGTTGCTTCTCCATTTCTGGAGCCACATTTAGTCCGAATGGCCAAAGTTGATCAAAACAGAGTTCGCTATATGGATTTACTCTGGCGGTATTATGAGAAGAACAGAAGTTTCAGTAATGCTGCTCGTGTACTGTCCAAACTGGCTGACATGCATAGGTATGGCATAATACTCTTATTGTGAAGAATGATTGAAAACTGAGCTATGTGTAGTTACATTCAGTTTTCCTTAATTTTCGAAGAATCTAAGTTTTAACATACTGACCTGGCCGGGCACGGTGGCTCACACCTGTAATCCCAGTACTTTGGGAGGCCAAGGCGGGCAGATCACAAGGTCAGGAGTTCGAGATGAGCCTGACTAACATAGTGAAACCCCATCTCTACTACAAATACAAAAAAAAGTTGCTGATTGTGGTGGTATGCACCTGTAATCCCAGCTACTCAGGAGGCTGAGGGAGGAGAATCGCTTGAACCCAGGAGGCAGAGGTTGCAGTGAGCTTAGATTGTGCCACTGCACTCCAGCCTGGGCGATAGAATGAGACTCTATCAAAAAAAAATAAATAAAATATATATACCTAAGTTTTTAAAATAGAATTTACTTTTTAGATATAAACATATTTCTTTATGTGTTGTCTAAAATTGTGAATCTCTCTTATTAGAAATCTAAAATCAATGCTTTTTTTAAAAATCTAATGATTTTTTTTCAAAAGTTTCAAGTGGCCTTTTATGTGTATTTGATATAAAAAACTACATACTAATTGTATTTGTATCTTCTATCCTTAAATTGTATGACTAAAAATAAGGGTTTTCCCTTACAGCACAGAAATTTCACTTCAGCAGCGATTGGAATACATTGCTCGAGCTATTCTTAGTGCCAAAAGTTCCACTGCCATTTCATCAATAGCTGCCGATGGTGAATTCCTTCATGAATTAGAAGAAAAAATGGAGGTAAGTGCTAAAGATCTTAAGCTGTGTCCACATTGAGTACTAGCCACATAGTTATTCTACTTTTCATTCTTCCCTTGGTAAGTAATAGGTCTATAGAAGTCAAAAAGTCTTAAATAATAATAAATAAAGGTTTTTCTCAACTATTTCAACAGCAAGTGGATTATTCACCATTTATTCTGGAAGCAAATAAGTAGATGTATGAAGTAGACTAAGCTAAAATGCCTTAACTAAGAGAATAAAAAACACCATGGTCGAAATACAAAAGTTTGTTGTTTTTTTTTTGTTTTGTTTTGTTTTTTCGCTCGTTTCCTAGGCTGGAATGCAATGGCATGATCTCAGCTCACTGCAACCTCTGCCTCCCCAGTTCAAGCTATTCTCCTGCCTCAGCCTCCCAAGTAGCTGGGATTACAGGCATGCGCCACCATGCCCAGCTGATTTTTTTGTATTTTTAGTAGAGACGGGTTTCTCCATGTTGGTCCAGCTGGTCTCGAACTCCCGACCTCAGATGATCCTCCCTCCTCGGCCTCCTAAAGTGCCAGGATTATAGGCTTGAGCCACGACACCCAGCCAAAAGTTTATTTCTCATTCACAAAAATCCAGAATGAGTCTTCCTGATTGGCAGCTGGCTTTCCTTCATGTGTTTGATTTGGCAACCCAAGTTCTATTTTCTGGCAATACCATTCCCTAGGGCCTTTGCTTTATCTTCAGCAGAAGGAGGAAGGGAAAGAACACATTCACTCTCTTAAAAACCACAGCACGCCGAGGTGGGTGGATCACGAGGTCAAGAGATCGAGACCATCCTGGTCAACATGGTGAAACCCCGTCTCTACTAAAAATACAAAAAAAATTAGCTGGGCATGGTGGCGCATGCCTGTAATCCCAGCTACTCGGGAGGCTGAGGCAGGAGAATTGCCTGAACCCAGGAGGCGGAGGTTGCGGTGAGCCGAGATCGCGCCATTGCACTCCAGCCTGGGTAACAAGAGCGAAACTCCGTCTCAAAAAAAAAAAATTAGCTGGGCATGGTGGCAAGTGCCTGTAATCCCAGCTACTCATTGAGGCTGAGGCAGGAGAACTGCCTGAACCCAGGAGGCGGAGGTTGTGGTGAGCCGAGATTGCGCCATGGCACTCCAACCTGGGTAACAAGAACGAAACTCCGTCTCAAAAAAAAAACCACAGTGCTAGCCGGGCGAGGTGGCTTACGCCTGTAATCCCAGCACTTTGGGAGGCTGAGGCAGGTGGATCACAAGGTTAGGAGATCGAGACCATCCTGGCAAACACGGGTGAAACCTGATCTTTACTAAAAATTTTAAAAAGTAGCCAGGCATGGTGGCACGCACCGGTAGTCCCAGCTACTTGGGAGGCTGAGGCAGGAGAATCGCTTAAACCCAGGAGGCGGAGGTTGTAGTGAGCGGAGATAACACCATTGCACTCCCGACTGGGCAACAGAGTGAGTCTCCGTCTGAAAAACAAAAAGAGGAAACCCACAGCCCTGACATGACACACTTTATTTCTACTAACATTTCTTTGAAGAGAACTTGTTTGTAGGGCCACACCTCCCTTGCAAAGGAGACTGAGCTATATAGCCTAGCCATTTGGCTACAGTCGTGGAAGGTATGAATACTGGTTGGCAGCAAGGGCTCTGCCACAGTACACTTTGTGTGAAATCTATTATGTTTAGTTGACTTCTGTTATGATGATGTTAGTCTATTATGATAGAAGTCTTCATTTATACATTATTTTTATTTTAGCAAACTTAAAGTCATATAGTAGGAGTCATTCTTTCAAATGTCTGTTGATTTATCATAAAGGAATTAAGAGATCCTTTTTTCTGCCCAAATTAGGTTGCTAGGATCCAACTTCAGATACAAGAGACACTACAAAGGCAGTATTCCCATCATTCTTCTGTACAGGATGCAATTTCTCAGTTGGATTCTGAGCTGATGGACATAACTAAGGTAATTAAAAAAGCAAGTGAAGTTTTTATAGTAGTCACCTAATACTGAGAAATTTTTGTTTTGCACTTTGCTTTTCGTTTCATGGGGAAAATTATCTTATTTCCACAAATAAGATAAGGCATCTATCAGCCTCACATGGGAGAGCTATGTTAAAACCAGTTTATTTCCGGCCTGGGCAACATGGAGAAACCTCATTTCTACCAAAAATACCAAAAAAGGCCAGGCACTGTGGCTCACACTTGTAATCCCGCACTCTGGGAGGCTGAGGAGGTCAGATTACCTGAGATAAGGAGTTTGAGACCAGCCTGGTCAACATGGGGAAACCCCGTTTCTACTAAAAATGCAAAAATTACCTGGGCGTGGTGGCACGCACCTGTAATCCCAGCTACTTGGGAGGCTGAGACAGGAGAATTGCTTGAACCCAGGAGATGGAGGTTGCAGTGAGCTGAGATCACGCCACTGCATTCCAGGAACCTAGGCAACAGAATGAGATTCCATCTAAAAAAAACAAACAACAAAAAATTAGCCTAGTGTGGTGGTGTGCACAATCTCCTGACCTCATGATCCGCCTGCCTCAGCCTCCCAAAGTGCTAGGAGGCCTTACCTTTTTAAATATATAAAGTTATATATATCATCACATCTTTATATCATGTTTTAGAAACTTTACATAAAATCTTTGAAAATTTTTTTAATTTTCAAGGAGTGCTTCATTATTAATCTCTGAATGCTGACCTCTAGTTGGTGTCTGAGATACTCTCATGTCTTAACATGTTTAATTTTGGGATTTTCTCTCACAGCTTTATGGAGAATTTGCTGACCCATTTAAACTTGCAGAGTGTAAACTTGCAATAATTCATTGTGCCGGTTATTCAGACCCTATACTTGTGCAGACACTATGGCAAGATATCATAGAGAAAGGTAAGTGTTCAGTTATAAGTATGTCAGCATATGTTATGTAGTGACTTGGTAGAGGAATGCAAGCTGCTAGTGGCTCATGACAATTGTGTATACCTAAGAAGAGAGTAAGCAGAAAGTACCTCAGTATGGTGGAGGATGATCATACAGAGAATGACCCAAGTGAATATTTGGGGGAATACTCAGTGAAAAGATTGTTTAATTTGTATTATTTAATTTGTTTTGCCTTCTAAGGGATACTGAGATACTCACCTCATAATCTAGTAACCAACAACCTGTTAAGACATGAGAGTATCTCAGACACTAATAGAAACACCAAATTAGCTAATCATATTAATGTGACTATCTGTTCTAAAGTATTTCGAATCTTGAAACAGAATTAAATAGCCAATGGAAACATTTCACATTAAAAATAATTTGGACTTCAAATGACATGTCTTTTTCTTACAGAATTGAATGACAGTGTGACATTGAGCTCCTCAGATAGAATGCATGCCCTTAGTCTCAAGATTGTCCTCCTTGGCAAAATTTATGCTGGCACACCACGTTTCTTTCCTTTAGGTAAGCTGTGATCTTAGGTGCAGTCACGTATTTTCTGTTTTGATGGTTTTCTCCATTGGCATGGATAATGATCTTTCAAGTAAAACAGAGTTTCTTTGTTACTATTTAGTTCAGCAGTTTAATTCTACCTCTCCAAAAAGACTTCCAAAGAATGGCAAAATTTGTTAATGAAGAGTTGAGTATGAAACTTTGTGACTAACTTTCTAGGTTTATATATCTATCTTGGGATTGTGCTGACTGACAAACTGATTATATTGTTGGTAACCCTATACAAGTTTCTGAAGAGAAAATAAAAACAGTTGATGTTTTTATGCATAGGAAATCTGTGATTGATTCAACTTTTTTAATATTAAGGGCTGTTTTTCTTTAAAATAGCAAATAATTATGTTAAAACTTAGTTATTTGAATCCCAGATGTAGTAGCTATGATTGTTACATAGGTAGCTAATTATTATGAGTTATTTGCCAACCTACAGTGTTTTCCTCAGTGGTAAAACAATAGAAGCAACATAAATACATCCATGAAGTAAAATATTAAGTACTTTTGTGTTATTTTAAAATATTGAGGAACATGAAAATCCTTACATACCACTTTTTTTTTTTTTTTTTTTGAGACAGAGGCTTGCTTTGTCACCGGGGCTGGAGTGGAGTGGTGCAATCTTGGCTCACTGCAGCCTCTACCTCCCAGGCTCAAGCAATTTCTCCTGCCTCAGCCTCCCAAGTAACTGGGATTACAGGCATGCAATACCACTCCCAGCTAATTTTTATTTATTTGTTGTTGTTGTTTTGTTTTTTTTTTGAGACAGAGTTTTGCTCCTGTTACCCAGGCTGAAGGGCAATGGCGCGATTTTGGCTCACCACAACCTCCGCCTCCTGGGATCAGGCAGTTATCCTGCCTCAGCCTCCTGAGTAGCTGGGATTACAGGCATGCGCCACCATGCCCTGCTAAGTTTTTATATTTTTAGTAGAGACGGGGTTTCACCATGTTAACCAGGATGGTCTCAATCTGTTGACCTCGTGATCCACCTGCCTCCGCCTCCCAAAGTGCTAGGATTACAGGCGTGAGCCACCACGCCCAGCTATTTGTTTTTTTAGTAAAGATGGGGTTTCCCCATGTTGTCCAGGCTTGCCTCAAACTCCTGGCCTCAGGTGATCCACCCACCTTGGGCTCCCAAGATGCTGGGATTACAAGCGTTTGCCACCATGCCCTGCCTAATTTTTTTTTTTTTTTTAGTGAGCATTCAAACTTGTTTACAGACTATCTCTGACTTAGGATCTGTGCCCTCTGTACATAGTCAGAAATAAAACCATTATATTCATACCCTTCTTGTAGGTATAGTATTGAAGTAGTTCCCTTTCCACACCATTTTATTGATCTTAAAAATAAGAAGTAAAAGAGCAAATACATACTTTATATAAATGTTTATAAGTATGTTAAACTGATACTTTTAATTGTTTTAAAAAACACTGCATTGTGTCCAGGCCCAGTGGCTCACAGGTGTAATCCCAGCACCATAGAAAGCCAAGGCAGGTGAATTGCTTGAGCTCAGGAGTTTGAGACCAGCCTGGGCAACATGGCAAAACCCTGTCTCTACAAAAAACTACGAAAATTAGCCAGGTGCGGTGGCATGCACCTGTGGTCCACCTACTCAAGAGGCTAGGATGGGAGGATCACTTGAGCCTGGGAGGTGAAAGTTGCAGTGAACTAAGATTGCACCACTACACTCCAAACTCAGTGACAGATTGAGACCCCATTTCAATAAATAAATTACACTGTATTATACATAGTTCTTTTGAGGAATTTATATTTTAATTTAGAAATAATCATGTGGGCTTTGCATGGTAGCTCACACCTGTAATCTCAACACTTTTCTGAGTTTTTGAGTTAAGTTGAGAGACAAAGATAAGATTGCTTCAAGCCAAGAGTTTAAGACCAGCCTGGGCATAGCAAAACTGCATCTCTAAAATAATTAAGATTAGCTAGGCATGGTAGCACATGCCTGTAGTCCTGGCTAATCAGGCTGAGGCAGGAGGATTGGTAGGTGTTACACATTCATACATATACATATGTATTTCTTTTGATAGGGAATCTCATGATAGTGCACAAGCTAGTCTTGAATTAGCCACGCCCAGCTAATTTTTTTGTATCTTTAGTAGAGACACGGTTTCACCATGTTGGTCAGGCTGGTCTCAAACTCCAGACCTCAGGTGATCTGCCCACCTTAGGCCTCCCAAAGTGCTGGGATTACAGGTGCAAGTCACCACGCCTGGCCATAACTATAAATTTGGTTGTTACTGTTTATAATAAGACAGGCAGTAAAAAGTAAGAATGAGGCCACAATTAGAACTGTCAAAATAATTAAATCTGGGGGTGGGGCATTTAAAAACACATTTAATATTTCTGAAATCAGGGTGCACTTGCCCTTTTATGAAAAGCTGTTAAATGGAGGAAACATATATTTTTTTAATACCAATGCTAAAAAAATGTTATCAATGAGTTTTCTTAAATGGTGGGATTGTGAACCTTTTCTTGTATCTTTCTGTATTTTCTAGGTTCTCTAAAATATTGTAGTTTTTTTTTTTTTCTTAATTTATTTAAAGTATATAATTTAATGGTTTTATCATTCTCACAGAATTGTGCAGCCATGACCACAATTCAATTTTAGGACATTTTTCGTCATCCCAAAAAGAAACTCTGTACTTATTAGTTGTCACTTCCTATTCCTTCACACCCTCCAGCCCTAGGAAGCCACAAATCTACTTTCGAATTGCCTGTTCTGGCATATGTCTTACTTTTATTTTTTAAAAAATGTTTTGAAGCTGAGTGACGGTGTACACTTACAGCCCCAGCTTACTTGGGAGGTTGAGGTGGGAGGATTGTTTGAGCTCAGGAGTTCAAGTCTATAGTGCACTGTAATGGTTCCTATGAATAGCCACTATTTCCAGCCTGGGCAACATAGCAAAAAAAAAAAAAACCTGCTCCAAAAAATTACAATTGGATTTTAGAAGATATCTCCCTAGAAACTACTCAGTTATGAATAAGACCTACCTTTTAGTATCAAGAGTTAAGAATCAAAATTTCCGTTATTTTTTTCTTCCCAGATTTTATCATACAGTTCTTAGAACAGCAGGTTTGTACTTTGAACTGGGATGTGGGCTTCGTAATACAGACAATGAATGAAATTGGAGTGCCATTACCTAGACTACTAGAAGTTTATGATCAGTTGTTTAAATCACGGGTAAGGAAAATATTAAATAACTTAAAATTATTTTCTTTAATTAAAGTAAGTTTGTAGATATAGAGTGGGATATTTTGATTGCATGCTTGTATCTTATCATTTAGTCTAATTACACTTGCTTGAGTCTTGGAAGTTATGCTTTAGACTTTTAAAACTGATAATAAGAGTTGCTTTCCTATATATCATGATAAAAATGAAATACTATTTTTGAATATTTATAAACATAATTATATTGCTTTACTCTTGGTGGAATAGGCTAAACCAATGTTCATTACATTAACAATCATCATTTACTTTAAAAGAACAAAATTACATTGTATTTATTTACTGTAACCTCATCTAAAATATCAGTGCTTAAAGATCCTTCTCATCGTGCTAAGCCTTATCACACTATATGTTTTGTAATTTTTATGCTAAGGATAAAAAATCTGAATAAAAACTTGTCAAAGTAGATTATATCTTTTATAGTAGCATCATACAGTGCTTTACAACATTAGCCTGTGATGGAAATGAGTAAGTAGCTATAGTATCTCCATCTTATATTGCAAAAAGACAAGAGCAGACATGTTAAATAACCTGCTCAAGTTACACTGCTAGTAACTGGTGAAGCCAGAACTAGAATTAAATTTCTGTGACTGCTAGTTTAGTCTCTTCATGATGTCAGACTAAATCTGCATAGGCTCAAAGTAAAAGTGGTGTCACAATTCATAGAAAGATTTTTCTCTTACCTCAGATTCCTAAGCAGGACATTTACATACTCTGCAAACTAGATTGATATATCAAATATTCTTCCTAAGTAATATCACAGTGCTGCTAATTAGTAAGTCTTTAATGTTGTTTGAAATATTAATCATAATCAGATATATAATTTAGCAGCCATTTAATATTAAATGCTTTTTTAATAGCAGTCAGTTTTGCATGGACCTGATGACTGCTTTAGCATAAATGATTTTGAAAAATCAACACAATTTGCCTCACATTTCATTATGTATATTTACTTACAGGATCCATTCTGGAACAGAATGAAGAAGCCCCTACACCTTTTGGATTGTATACACGTATTATTGACAAGATATGTTGAGAATCCCAGCCAAGTTTTAAATTGTGAAAGGTACTTAGAAATTAAATATTGGACTAGCAAAGGCTTTTAAATGCTTCTAATAAATACCTGGGTAAAAAATTTGAAGAGAAAATGGAAAGACATGGGAATTGCAAAGAGGTACAGGCAATGTAAGCTCTTGTGTATATTAGCAATAACTATGTGATTGATATTGATCAGCATGTATGAAAAATAGGAGGTTTTTTCCCATTTTCAACCCTTGTCCTAAATCCTTTCTACAACTGAACATAAATAATTTATTCATTTCTTTTGCTTTAGGTTAATGACCAAGGACCAAGACATTTCAATTATGTCTTTGTGATATTATTGGCCGTTTAAGGGATATTCTTTGAAAAAAAATACTAGCAGGAATCATCTCTTACTGCTTTCTTCTCAGTATAAAAATCTTCAAATGGAACCCACCTACCTTCTAAGTTTTCTTCTTTATTTCTTATTTACTTAATCACATGGTCCTTCTACTTCTGTGAGAAGTAAAGTTGCCAGAAGTTGATGAGGAAGAAGTCCTGTATGAGGAAATGTTTATAAATGTACAATTAATCATATGTCTTTTTCTTTATAGGAGAAGATTTACAAATCTCTGCCTGGATGCTGTTTGTGGTTACCTGGTTGAGCTCCAGTCTATGAGCTCCTCGGTAGCAGTACAAGCCATCACTGGGAATTTTAAATCTCTTCAAGCTAAATTAGAACGGCTTCATTAATTACTATGATGTACTTTTATCCATATTTTGATCTGTAAAATAAAAACTCAGCTGGGTCCAGAGATCAGGTGGTTCTAAATCTAAGAATGTAAGAACAATCTTAATAGAAATGTTTTTAATAAGTGACTAATATCTACAAATAATACTTTTGCTAAATGAATTCTTTTTAATGACTATTTTGTTTTTTCATAATTGGGTGAAAAAACAGCTGAAATGAGATTAATTATTATTTTAACATAAGGAATAAAAAAATTTAGAGCCTCTTATTTTGAATTGTACTACAGGCAGAAATTTCAAATTTATATTATTCATTTTCAAGTTAGTCCAAGGATATTGGCATTAAAACTCAAATAGCCCAGGCGTGGTGGCTCACGCCTGCAATCCCAGCACTTTGGGAGGCCGAGGTAGGTGGATCACGAGGTCAGGAGTTCAGGCCGACATGGTGAATCCCTGCCTCTACTAAAAATACAAAAATTAGCCAGGCGTGGTGGACGCCTGTGATCTCAGCTACTCAGAAGGCTGAGGCAGAGAAGTGCTTGAACCCAGGAGGTGGCAGTTGTAGTGAGCCGAGATCATGCCACTGTACTTGAGCCTGGGAGACAGAGTGAGACTCCATTTCAAAAAAAAAATCCAGCCAGGCAGTGTCTCACATCTGTAATCCCAGCACTTTGGAAGGCCAAGGAGGGTAGATCCATGAGGTCAGGAGTTCAAGACCAGCCTGGCCAACATAGTGAAACACCATCTCTACTAAAAATACAAACCAGGTGTGGTGGGAGGTGGGGGGGGAGGGGGTGGTCCTGTAATTACCAGCTACTTGGAAGGCTGAGGCAGGAGAATTGCTTAAACCCAGGAGGCAGAGGTTGCAGTGAGCCGAGATCACACCATTGCACTCCAGCCCAGGTGACAATGCAAGACTCCATCTAAAAAAAAAACACAAAATGCAAGCTAAGCAGATCCATTCCCATAACAGTGGATTCTAAAAACATCCTTAAATAGGCAAATAACTGACTTTTTCAAAACTTATTTTAGGTGTTGGGTTCATCCTTGGAAAGAAATGTTCTCCAACTCCTAATTTTGTCAGTTAAAGCCCTTGAGGATTGATATATAACCTGGTTGGTTGAGCAGGTGATAAAACTTGTAACTAATGTGTCTTGAAAACCTACACAGGGAGGTACTATTTTCCCTTAGTTTTGGCCTTGTGACTACTGACTCTATTAGAGCAGTGGTTCTCAAAGTATGTGCTCCAGACCAGAAGCATCAGCCTCACCTGGGAATTTGTTAGAAATGCAGATTCTCGAGCCCCAACCCAGATGTACAGAATCAAAAACACTGGGAATGCGGCCTCGTTTTCTCTGTTGTAACAAGCTCTCCAGAAGATTTTGGTGCATGTCAAATTTGAAAACCACTGCAGTAAAGGATACTGCTACCTTCCGTAGTTTATGGATTGATCTCAGCTCAATACAAGCAGTTATCTGCCTAAGCCTCCCCAGTAGCTGGAATTACAAGTGCCCCCACCATGCCTGGCTAATTTTTGTATTTTTAGTAGAGACGGGGTTTCGTCATCTTGGCCAGGCTGATCTTGAACTGCTGACCTCGTGATCCACCTGCCTCGGCCTCCCAAAGTGCTGGGATTATAAGCATGAGCCACCATGCCTGGCCTCACTTCTCTTTTGATGCCACCACAAATAATTCCCTTTTGTTTATTGTTAGTGATGTAGGTCTAACAATTTTTAAAATACACTTTGAATGTATTTTTCCTTCCATTTTTGTCTTTTCCCAAGACCATAGGGTTGCCTTCTCTACATTTGTTCTCTTAGAATTCAGTTCCTTTTTCCCTATAATCTTCTAATGTAGAATATTTAATAGAATGCCAGAATATCACTCAGTGGGTACAACTACCTCTTATTTTTCAACTTTTCAATTTCTTCAGTTTAGCTTTTTTGAATAGGTAAAGTGAATGTATGCTATATATTAATTTGTTTGGTAAATTTAAAATTCTGTCATGTCTACTTAAAATGAAATCCTTGTCTAAATGCTATAATTTAGGTGTGATTCCAGTTCTGCTAGAGATAAAAACTTAATTTTTCTTTAAAGGACATTTACATACTAGCACATAAGTCAAATATACTGAACTCACAACATTGAAAGTACCTCTTTTAAAAGGGCTGTAGGCTTCCATGGCTAGATGGTCTGTTAGAGTCAGAAATCTGAACACTGTCCCTTTTATTCACACAGCATGCTTTGAGAAGGTTTAAGAATTCCAGCCACACAACTGATGCTTGCAATACCTTTTGGTGGGTAAGATCCCTAAGAGAGAAGAAATTAGGTCCCCAGATTATTTTTACCCTCTGGAATAGTATTTCTGAAACTTTCACATTTGGCCAGGTGTGGTGGCTTATGCCTATAATCCCAGCACTTTGGGAGGCCGAGGCAGGCAAATCATCTGACGTCAGAAGTTTGATACTATCCTGACCAACATGGAGAAACCTTGTCTCTATTAAAAAAAAAAAAAATACAAAATTAGCTGGATGTAGTGCTGCATGCCTGTAATCTCAGCTACTTGGGAGGCTGAGGCAAGAGAATCGCTTGAACCCTGGAGGCGGAGGTTGCAGTGAGCAGAGATTGCACCATTGCACTCCAGCCTGGGCAACAAGAGCGAAACTACATCTCAAAATAATAGTAATAATAATAATGAAACTTTCATATTCAGAACAGTCAATTGGATAGCATGTTATGACAGATTCTTGAGTTCCATCTGTAGTTTATACTGATCCTGGCAGTCAGTGGATCAGAGCTGGAGTAGCATTTATCCACTGTATTAGTATACTTTGCACTTGGTGTTTGTTCAACACATTTTTTTGTTGTTGTTTTGTTTTGTTTTTTGAAGACAAGGGCTTAGCCTGGAGTGCAGTGGCATGATCTTGGCTCACTGCAGCGTCAACCTGGGCTCAACACAGTCCTCCCACCTCAGTCTCTTAAATAGCTGGGACTACAGGCATGTACCACTGCACCCTGCTCATTTCCCCCCACCACCATTTTTGTAGTGAAAAGGTCTCACTCTGTTGCCCAGGCTGGTCTCAAAATTCCTGGGTCAAGTGATTCGCCTGTGTCAGTATCCCAAAGTGCTGGGATTACAGCCATGAGCCACCACACCTGTCCATTATTTCTTTATAGTGACTATTAAACATACATAGGCAATGTATAATGGGTAGAACGTAGTCTATGGAACAGTGTATTAATTGTGGACAGTGAAGAATCACTGAAGTTGTGACATTTGTATTTTAAGTAGATGATTATAGTATGGCCAAATAGGAAAGAGAAAACTATTTTGAGTAACTTCATGGTATGAGGTATTGACTGTGTGTGTGTACATGTGTATTCAGTGTTTCTTTAGGTATACCTGACTTATTCATTGAACCCTGTCCACTAATCTCAAAAGTATTCCTCAGGATAGTCTCCGCTACCATGATTTTTCATCCCATTCATGAAAAGGAAAAATTGTAACCATACTACAGAGTTGTATCAAGGAAATGAATAATTAGAACATTAAATGGAAAGGTTTTGAAAGGGTTCATAATTTCTTTTCATTTTCTATCAGTGTCTTTTAAATTCTCTTAATAATAAAACTTTTTTCTAACATTTTAAGTCCTCCAGTAAATCATTGAAACTCTACTAAGCTTCATTTTCATCATATATAAATGAGATTAAAACCAAATAATAAAACTTTAAAAAATCAATCAAGGGCTGGGCACGGTGGCTCATGCCTGTAATCCCAGCACTTAGAGAGGCCGAGGCAGGTGGATCACCTGAGGTCAGGAGTTTGAGACCAGACTGACCAACATGGTGAAACCCCGTCTCTACTAAAAATACAAAAAAGTTAACCAGGCGTGGTGGTGGGTGTCTATAATCCCAGCTACTCAGGAAACAGAATCATTTCCCGAGGATTGATTCATTTGAGAATCATCTGAACCCGGGAGGCAGAGTTTGCAGTGAGCCGAGATCGAGCCACTGCACTCCAGCCTGGGCCACAGAGTGAGACTCCATCTTGGGGGGACAAAAAAGGTCAGGCATGGTGGCTCACGCCTGTCATGCTGATACACATTGGGAGGCAGAAGTGGGCGAATCATCTAAGGCCTGAGACCAGCCTGGCCAACATGGCAAAACCCTGTATCTACTAAAAATTAAAAAATTAGCTGGGCATAATGGTGTGTGCCTGTAATCCCAGCTACTTGGGAGGCTGAGGCATGAGAATCATTTGAACCTTGGAGGTGGAGGTTGCAGTGAGCCGAGATCCCACACCACTGCACTCCAGCCTGGGTGACAGAGCAAGACTCAGTCTCAAAAACAAAACAACAATCAATTTACCATGTGGTATATGGGATCCCCATATATATTTTCAACCCACATTTGAAACGACCTCCTAAAGCACCTCTGTCAAAACAACCAAACCTGAACTCATCTCTCTCTGTCCTCTACCCACTCTTGTTCTTCCTAGTTTTCTATCTTGCTCTTTATTATTGTCTCAAATTGAAATATGGAAATCATTAAATTCTCCCTCTCCCTCCAAAACCAGTTTTTAAGCAAGTCTACTTAGTATCTTCCATATCTGCCCCATTGTCTTGTTACTTTAGGCTTTCAGGGTTGATTCAAGTTACCCTGTTTCACTTGGATGCTTACAACAACAGTAAGTGGTCTTCCTGCCTCTACTTTGAACCCCCCTTCTCTGTTTCCACACCAAGGACAGTGTGATCTTTTTAAAATCTAAATTTAGCCCCTGAGATGCTGCATGAGCTTGAGGCAAGCATGACTGGAGACACAGCAGAATCTTCCACCCATAGCAGTGTGTGATGGTGAGCAAAGAATTAAAAAGAAAAAAGTTGAGGGCTGGGCCCAGTGGCTCAAGCCTGTAATCCCAGCACTTTGGGAGGCCAAGGCAGGTGGATCACAAGGTCAACAGATCGAGACCATCCTGGTCAAAATGGTGATCTTGAACTCCTGACCTCAATGATCCACCTGCCTCAGCCTCCCAAAGCTGGAATTACAGGTGTGAGCCACCATGCCCGGCCCATGAAGGGTATTTTTAATGCTATATTAAAAGAGCTATTTTATAGAAAATGTGTAGGAAAAAAATCTGTGAAGACATTCATTAAAGAGATTGAGAATACTGTAACCCTAGCACTTTGGGAGGCCGAGGCGGGTGGATCACGAGGTCAAGAGATCGAGACCATCCTGGTCAACATGGTGAAACCCCGTCTCTACTAAAAATGCAAAAAATTAGCTGGGCATGGTGGCGCGTGCTTGTAATCCCAGCTACTCGGGAGGCTGAGGCAGGATAATTGCCTGAACCCAGGAGGCGGAGGTTGCAGTGAGCTGAGATAGCGCCATTGCACTCCAGCCTGGGTAACAAGAGCGAAACTCCGTCTCAAAAAAAAAAAGTTGAGGCAGAGCCTGAAGAATGTGTAGCAGAAAAAGTATTGGATCAGTGTGCGGTGAGTGGGAAGGTAGAGCATTTCCTGACATGAAAGGGATTTATAGATGCTGACAATACTTGGGGACCTGAAGAAATTTAGCTTGTCCACAGTTGAAGCATATCTTAATTCTCAAAAAGCTGGTAAAGAAAAAGTTGGTACAAGAATATCTGACAATCTGATGACCTGAAATCGAAAATGGAAAGAGATGGTGCAGACAAACCAAGAGAGCTTGATCCTGAAAAAATAATTGGCTCTGCAGACAGCAGTGGAGAGTTGATGTTACTCATGAAATGGAAAATTCAGATGAAGCCTACTTAGTGCTAGCAAAAGAGGAAAATATGAAGTGTATATGAAACCTGGGTCTTGCTTTTTGCTTTACTAATGTGAAGAAATAACTGCATTCTAGTGAAAATCAACTTTGATATGTTCATTTTTAAAGTAGTTTGGGTTCATGACCAGCCTCAGCAACATGATGAAAACCCACGTCTACTAAAAATACAAAAATTAGCCAGGCATAGTGGCACATGCCTGTTATCCCAGCTATTTGGGAGGCTGAGAATAGCTTGAATCTGGGAGGCGGAGGCTGCAGTGAGTCAAGATCATGCCGCTGCACTCCAGCCTAGGTGACAGTGAGGCCCTGACTCAAACAAAAATCAAAGTAGTTTGGGGAGAGTCATTGGGATTTTTTGTTTGCATCAATAAATCAATAGCACTGGTTAGTTAGAATAATAAAAGCTTTCTGTGGTTGCTTCCTTTATCAGAAAAGAATGTTTGATATGATGATACGTTATTTCCTCAGCATTAAGTAACAGCTTTTCTAAATGTTGGCAATTTCCATACTCATTTTACTCTATCAAAACTTGTGTTATCTACTTAAGGACCATTGTGGTTTTGTGTATGTGTGTGTGTGTGTGTGTGTGTGTGTGTATACCTAAGATACATATACAAACATTTTTCTTTTGTTGTTTTTAACTGTTCACCAAAACGAAAAAATCGTGAGTAAGCCCATATTTCTGAGATGCCATTATTCAGAGCAGCCTAAGAAATAAATCAGTTTATGTTAAATTGAAATTTTTCCTGAAGTTATGACATTAAATAGATCATTAATTGCATAATTTAAATTGGATATTTTATTTATTGATTGAGATGGAGTCTCTGTCACCCAGGCTGGAGTGCAGTGGTACAATTCTGGCTCACTGTAACCTCCACCTCCTGAGTTCAAGCGATTCTCCTGCCTCAGCTTCCTGAGTAGCTGGGAGTACAGGCATGTGCCACCACACTGGGCTAATTTTTGTATTTTTAGTAGAGCTGGAATTTCACCATGTTGGCCAGGCTGGTCTGAAACTGTTGACTTCAAGTGATCTTCCCAACTCAGCCTCCCAAAGTGTTGGGATTACTGTGCCCAGCCTAAATTGGATATTTTTAAAGTACCTGATATGGTTTGGCTGTGTTGCCACCCATATCTCATCTTCAATTCCCATGTATTGTGGGAGAGACCTGGTGGGAGGTAATTGAATCATGGGAGCAAGTCTTTCCTGTGCTGTTCTCATGATAGTAAATAAATCTCATGAGATCTAATGGTTTTATGAAGAGGAGTTCCCCTGCACAAACTCTTTTTTGCCGGCTGCCATCCGTATAAGATGTGACTTGTGGCTGGGCGCGGTGGCTCACGCCTGTAATCCCAACACTTTGGGAGGCCAAGGCAGGTGAATCACGAGGTCAAGAGTTCGAGACCATCCTGGTCAACATAGTGAAACCCCCGTCTCTACTAAAAATACAAAAAATTAGCTGGGCACTGTGGCACGTGTCTGTAATCCCAGCTACTCATTGAGGCTGAGGCAGGAGAATTGTCTGAACCCAGGAGGCGGAGGTTGCAGTGAGCCGAGATCGCGCTATTGCACTTTAGCCTGGGTAACGAGTTAAACTCCGTCCCCCGCCCCCCAAAAAAAGAAGACGTGACTTGCTTTTCCTTGCCTTCCACCATGATTGTGAGGTCTCACCAGCCATGTGGAACTACAAGTCCATTAAATGCTTTTCCTGTATAAATTATCCAGTCTGGGGTATATCTTTATTAGCAGCATGAAAATGGACTATTATAGTAAATTTGTACCAGTAGAGTGGGGCGTTGCTGAAAAGATACCCAAAAATATGGAAACAACTTTGGAATTGGGTAACAGGCAGAGTTTGGAACAGTTTGGAGGGATCAGAAGAATAAAGGAAAATGTGGGAAAGTTTGGAGCTTGCCAGAGACTTGTTGAAAGGCTTTGCCCAAAATGCTCTTAACAATATGAACAATAAGGTCCAAGCTGATGTAGTCTCAGATGGAAATGAGGAACTTGTTGGGAACTGGAACAAAGATAACTCTTGTTATATTTTAGCAAGGAGACTGGTGGCATTTTGTCCCTGCCCTAGAAATTTGTGGGACTTTGAACTTGAGAGAGATGATCTAGGGTATCTGGTGGAAGCAATTTTTAAGAAGCAAAGCATTCAAGAAGTGGCTGGGTGCTGTTTAAGGCATTTAGTTTTGTAAGGGAAGCAGAATGAAAATGTTTGCAAAATTTGCAATCTGACAATGTGATTGAAAAGAAAATCCCATGTCCTGAGGAGAAAGTCAAGCTGGTTGCAGAAATTTGAATAAGTAACGAGGAGATTAATGTCAATCAACAAGACAATGGTACAAAATGTCTCCAGGGCATGTCAAAGGTCTTTACAGCAGCCCCTGACATCACAGACCCAGAGGCCTAAGAGGAAAAAGTGGTTTCATGAACCGGGCCCTGGGTCCCCATGCTATGTGAAGTCTAGGGACTTGGTTCCCTGCATCCCAGCTGCTCCATCCATCCACTTCAAAGAGTGCAAGCCCAAAGCCTTGGCAGCTTCCACGTGGTGTTGAGCCTGCAGGTGCATAGAAGTGAAGAAGTGAGGATTGGGAATCTCCGCCTAGATTTCAGACATTATTTGGAAATGCCTGTGATACCCAGGCAGAAGTTAGCTTCAGGGGCAGGGCCCTCATAGAGAACTAGGATGGCATGGAAGGGAAATGTGGGGCTGGAGCCCCACACAGAGTCTCTACTGGAGTCCTGCCTAGCGGAGCTGTAAGAAGAGGACCACTGTCCTCCAGACCAAAATGGTAGATCCACTAATAGCTTACACTGTGCACCTGGTAAAGCC